CAAGGGACAGGAAGAAAGTAAAGCAGGTGCTACTGTGTGCCTCATACCCACGAACTGACCTCTGAGCACTTGAAGTTCTCTTCTAAGGGCCCCAAAGTCTGCGAGACTCCATCTCCAAAATCATCAAAAGGCCATGCTAGAGGCATGGCTCAACGGGTAGAGCACCAGCCATGAACAAGCAAGCCAAGCAAGCTTGGGACCCCGAGTTCAAGCCCCAATACCACCAAAACAACAGCAGAAAACTATATATGTCACAAACCATTTTGAATTTTAATTTTGAGCCTAATATATGATCTTCATAGTCATTGCATAGTCTTAGAAACAACAACAACAACACACTTTTCTCTGTGTGTGATATACTGCTGGGGTTTGAACTCAGGGCCCTGCACTTGCAAGGCAGGTATTTTACCAGTTGAGCCAAGGTGCTAGACCTAGCTTGATGTTTCTAACTTTGTATTTATACCATGAGCTAGATTTAATCTTAGTGTATTTGAATTGTCCATCCACCAAGATGGTGGATCTACAAGACAAACATTTTAACAAGTCTTTAAAGTCTTCCTCAAATGACATGCTAAACAAAATTTCCTTGACACCTGTCTTACCTCACTCAACCTATGGCTTAAATCTTAGCAAAGAAAAGACATGTGTATCTATGAAAGAATCAGAACCAAAGATGAGAAAATTCAAAGTCCTACCATCCATCCCAATTCCCACAGGGAAAGAGGATATTCTGATATAAACACATAGATAAAGCCTTATCATTTATGCAGTTGAGGCTTTATAGCTACTTAATTTTTTCTCCTTACTTATTCTGTGAATACTTATGGATCCACATTGTTATTTTGGTAGTGGTTTTCGTATTATTCTATATTATGGATTATCCTAAAGTTTTACTAAGCCAGCTTTCTGTGTGGATAGCAATCAAAGGCACTTGCAAATTTTACTTTTAAAAAATAATGCTTCAGGCTAAATGCTGTAATCCTAGCTACTCAGGAGAGGAGACTGAGATCTGAGGAGCATGGTTTGAAGTCAGCCTAGGCAAGAAAATCTGGGAGACTCTTATCTCCAATTAATTGAGCTGTGGCTCAAGTGATAGAGTGCTAACCTTGAGCAAAAAAGCTCGGAGATAGTGCCCAGTCACTGAGTTCGAGCCTAGCATTGGCATGCACGTGCGTGCGCGCACACACACACACACATACACACATAATGATGCTTCATTAAGTCACTTACAAGTGTAGAAATACAACATGAAGTTGCATTTTATGCTCCATGCAGCTGTCAAAAGAAAGCCTGGCAGTTATTCAAAGAGTTAAATAGAGACCAGCACAGAGACTCAAGCCTGTAACCAAGCCTCTCAAGGCAGAGATTGGTAGATTGAGATTTGAAGCCAGCCCAGGCAGAGAGAGAGAAGAGAGATAAAGAAAGAGAGATAGAGACTCCATTTTAACCAATGGCTGGGCGTGGTAGTGCACATCTGCTATTTCAGCTACAGGGGAAGCACAATCTAGACTCAGTGGCTGGTGGCTATGTTCCCCACTGACACAGGAAGACACAGGTAGGAGGATCCCAGTGCGGGTAGATTGGGGCATGCGTGATACCCTACCTTGAAAATAACCAAAGGCAAAAAAAGAAGCTGCAGGTGTGTGGTTCAAGTAGCAGAGCCAAGCACGCACTTAGCAAAGCATGAAGCAATTCCCAGCGCTGCAAACAAACAAATATAGAACTGTTATTCTATGACTAGCAGTCCCCTTTGAGGCTTAACAACTTCAACACACAAGGGTGTGAAACAGTGCTGCTAGCTAAAAACCAGAAAGGGAAGCAAGCTGGGGTAAATCCCTGCAGTACTTGGGATCCAGGCTACGGCAGGAATGAACCTGGGAATTACGCCAGGAGCAGAGTCCGAGCAGAGCCCAAGTCATTGGATTCCATTTCCATGGAGCATCCAGTGTGGGCCCAGCTACTCATGGAGGAAGTAGGTTCCTGGAAGCCAGGCAGAGGGGAAACTGAGCACTCACTGGGTGCCCAGAGGCTGGCTGTGAAGGAAAGCATGTTCAATGTGTCCGCAAACCTCTTCCTGCTCCATTGGCTGTGCTTGTCATGTAATGTATGGGCTGATGAAGTAATCTGAAATAGGCATCATACTAAACTAGTTTACAAACACCTATTCAGGTGCACTCCTGTAATCCCAGTACTTGGGAAGCGGAGACAGGAGGATGGCAAATTGGAAGCCAGTCTGGGCTACTGACTGAACTCCTTAAAAAAAAAAAAATCATTGCTTACTCGTATAGTAAGTAATTTTACTTCTGCAGAAGTAAAATCTTGCCTTTTGGAGGAAAAACAAACAAAACCCCAAATCATAAAATCCTTCATCTCCTACCACTTTTTCATTATTTCAAACTAAAATCCATGCAACTTGTGCGGGGAGGAGTCGGGGGCGGGGAAGGGGGGGAAGAACAGTAGAGTACTTGGATTACCAACCAAACCCTCCCCCTGTTCCCTGCACACAGGAAGCCCCGCCCTCCGCTCCCCTGCTTCTATGCCCCCTGTGGCCACTTTGCTGTGCATTCCAGAAAGCCTGCTGCGCACCTACCTTCCGCAGAGTCCACACTTGCAAGGGATGGGTGGAAAAGGAGAAGGTCACAGCTGTGGGGTGAAGCTTCCAGCACGGAGCTCCAGTGTAATCTCCTTACGTGGGCATTACAGCTCAGCGCCGTCTTCCTCCCCACCTGCATTTCCTCCCACAACTGGGGCGCTCACCTCTTCAATCTTCTGCTCAGCTCCTTGGCCAGGACTGACCCCCCACCCCCTGCCCCAGCAGGGTTCAATTGGCCATGCTCTGCAGGAGGTACAGTTTGCTGCCTTGACTTCCTCAATCCCTGCCCTCTTCGCTGAATGACCCCGGTGGCATCCACCTGTGGGTGCGTGTTGTTGGGGTCTCTGAGCACTGGCCACCCACTTTTGGCACTGTAGAACTTGAGACCATGGCGCAGGGCCTTCCTTCCCATGGACTCCGGGGTATGTGACAGTGACGGCTCTTCATGGTGTGGGGTGGGGTGGAGAGGACGCAGGGCCAGGTCTCAGGAGGGCCTCATCCTGACTCAGTGTGGGCCCCCAGAGACAGCACTTAGCACCTGTTTATTCCCTCGATATCAAGAGTCTAGTGTCCCAGGACACTTAAAGACACCTGCACACCCACGTTCATTGCTGCACAATAGCCAAGTTGTGGAAACAACCCAGATGCCCTAGCATAGATGAGTGGATTCCCCCCTCCCTCAAATGTGGTACCTATCTATATACAATGAAGTTTTACACGGCGATTAGGAAGAACAATATTATTATTTTCAGGGAAATGGATGGACCTACAACAAATCATGTTAAATGAGGTAAGCCAAGCTCAGAGACAAACGACACATTTTCTTTCATAATATATAACATGATAAATTATACAGGACTCTAACACGCAAACAGGATACTTAGGATACTTAGGGGAGGAACACAAAGGCACGATGCCCATGTGCATCTGATCATCTAAAAGAATGTTTATTGAAATGACCTCAGGAGGAGGAGGAAGAAGAGGGGGAGGAGGAGGAGGAGGAGGACGAGGAGGAGGAGGGGGACGAGGAGGGGGGGAGGAGGAGGAGGAGGAGGAGGAGGAGGAGGAGGCGGTGGCAGAGGAAGAGGAGGAAGGGGAAGGGGAAGGGGAAGGGGAAGGAGGAAGAGGAGGGAAAAAGTATAGCATCTTTCAGTTTGACCCTTAAGGGACAGAAAATCCTGCAGCGAGGAGACATGCCATCTGTTAGCTATGAAGAGAATTCTACCCAAACCCCCAGGTAGTTGATTTTATTGCTGAAGGATTATGAAGTTCTAATTTTCATGGTCTCATCTAGAGTGTATGGGAATAAGTGTGTCTCAGCAGGGTGGAGCTGACTCAAGGTCAAGGTCAAGTGTGGTTCCCAAAGCTGAGTCCCATGTCTGAACTCTGAAAGCCTAGCCCAGCCATTGTCTAGAACACAGATGTGTATGTGTGTGTGTCTGTGTGTGTGTGTGTGTGTGTGGGCATTCCTCAAGGGTGGCCCAGAAAAACAGGGATCCACGGGCCATCGCCAGGAATGCTGGTCACAAATGACATTCTGTGATCTGAATGGAAGAGCTCTTGGTTTAGGGGATAAGGAATTAGCCAGGTCCCATAAAACTTGGGGAAAACTCAGATTTCTCAGGGCTGAGAAGTCTTCACTTACTACTTCTGAGGGGGAAAAAAAATTAACATCTATTAGGTTGCAGATTAGATAAAGAACTTTAAAAATAGTATTACTTTTGGCAGAGCTGGGGATGGAGCAAACATTCCTCCACTGGGCCTCGTTCCCAGCCCTGTGTTTAAAGAAAGAGGGTGGAGAGAGGATTCTGGGGAGAGGGAAAGTGGAAGAAAACGAGGGAGGAGGTAACAATGTTTGACAAGAAATGTACTCGTTACATTACTTATGTGACTATAAGCCCTCTGTAAACCACCCTGCAATAAAATAAAACACAATAAAATAAGACACAAAGAAAGCTGGGGGGTGGGTGGATGGGAGGGAGGTAGGGAGGAACGGAGCTGTGGAATCGTAAACTAGTGTGGTGCAAATTATGGCACACATGTTGGTTGTTCTTTCAGAGAAGTTGAGACCGATGGCATGGCAGTTCAGCTTTGATAGTATATCCATTTTAAATAGATATATACACACAGAATACTTCTAATGGTTAATCTCTGATTAAATATTATAGGTGCTCTGTCATTTGAGCGAAGCCCCCAGCCCAAGAAGTAGTTTTTCAATGCCAAGGTGTTTTTTTTTTTTAAATTAAGACAGCCAAGAAACCTTTCCTGCAGAACAGGCATGAGACAAGATGCCTTTGGATAGGTTCCATGGCCAAATGGGGTCATTATCTAGAAACCCTAAGAGCAGCTGTATGCCCAGAGATCATCCCAGAGGGGGCACCCTAAAACAAGCGAGAGTGGACCAAAGACACCAAGAGGAAGCTAGGAGCCTCCCAGGAAGTGTGCTGTAAGTCAGTGGAATTGAAGCGAGGATACTTGGCCTTTGCCCTGCTGTGCGTGGACAGGCACGCGGACCTTTCCTCCTGCTACAATCGGTTGAGAAAACCTAGCTTGAAACTGCTGGGGATCTGGATCAGCTCCAGCGCGTGTGGAGAGGCGGCGAAGGGAAAGGTGACCTGAAAGAGGTACTTGGTGTCCAGCATCAGCTGTGATGAGTCGCCCCGGTTATTCAGGAGAGCCTGCAATCAGGAGGGGAAGAGCAGGTTAGGACCCTGGAGCAGGCGCCCTGCAGCTGCCGCTGGCAGATGGGGGGGGAGGAAAAGTCGGCAGGAAAGGGTGAATGAATGCAGCAGTGGTACTCACTGCACACTATGTGGACAATAAATTAGATAAATTGTGCATGGGGATGGGAGGGAAAAACCGAGAGAGAGAGAGAGAAGGGATGACATTGTCCAGAAAGAAATGAACTCATTACCTGCTTTATGTAACTATAACCCCTCTGTGTATCACCTTTATGATTAAGAAATATTTAAAAATGTAACAAAGTCACCGGGAAGGCAGTGACACGCACCAGCCATGCAGGTGTAGGGCAGCACGGCTGCAAAGGGAAATGTGTGTCCAGGATCCACTCTCATGAGCATTTACTGGCTCTGCTTTGCTCCCATAGTCCATTTCCCACAGGATGGACTGACTGTAAGCCTGATGCTTTTTTTTTAAAATTTAGTTGAAGGGCTTGAACTCAGGTCTGGGTGCTATCCCTGAGCTTTTATGCTCAAGGCTAGTGCTCTACCACTTTGAGCCACAACTCAACTTCTGATTTTCTGGTGGTTAATTGGAGATAAAAGTCTTAGAGACTTTCCTGACCGAGTTGGCTCTGAACTGCTATCCTCAGATCTCAGCCTCCTGAGTAGGTAGGATTACAGGTGTGGGCCACCCCGGCACCTTGCTATGCTAGGAGTGTTGCAGAGCTGGTTTTGAGTCACAGTCCTCCAGGTCTCAGTCTCCAGAGTAGCTAGGATCATAGGCATGAGCATTAAGGATCTTTTATCTCAGGTTTCACCGTACTAATGTGTGTGTTTGTGTGTGTGCATGCTCACGCATATGCACAAGCATGTGTGCTGAGAATGGGCTTGAATTCAGGTCCTTGTGCTTCTTTGGCTTGCTTGCTTAGCCGGTGCCAGCCTGTCACCATATTAATTTTGAATGGGCATCTTACCATCCACAGGGAACTCACCTGTACTTTGCGGACAAAGGATGGAGTGACTCTCTTCTCGAAGTCGTCGATGGGCGTGTAGGAATTCAGGATCTTTATGATCTGCACACAGCACAGAGCCTGGGGTTAGCCACGGAAAAGAACCTGACGTTGCCTTTGAAATCCCAGGAAGGGATGTTTGCGAATGCTGGGAAGCATGGGTCTCTTTCAGATTATAATCTGACTCAGAAACTTTCATTTTATAATTTGCTCTCAGAAAGCAAGGAATCAAGGTATGGAGGGGGCCAGATGCTGGTGGCTCTCACTTGTAATCCTAGTTACTCAGGACACTGAGATCTAAGGAACACAATTCTAAGCCAGCTGGGGAAGTCCAGGAGACTCCAATTAACCACCTGAAAACTGGACGTGGCACTGTGGCTCAAAGTGGTAGAGTTCTAGCTTTGAGCAAAAAAGAGCTCAGGGACAGTGCCCCAGGCCCTTAGTTCAAGCGCCACCACAATGACAATGACAGTACCACCACCACCACCACCAAAAGAGGTACGGAGGGCAGGGCTCTGTCTGTCTCTCATTCACCCTCGCATACAGAGCGGAGCTTCGCGGACAAGCTAACATCACATTTATGTCAGATCTTAAGGTTCACACTCATTCTCTTTAACACATTACCAGGGGGAAAGGGTAGACCATGGGACAGAAGCTGGGAAAGGCCACACTGGTGGTGAGGCTCTGTCCTCTGCCCCCGCCCAAGGGGACAGGAGGCCAGCCCAGTGGGTCACCTGCACGGCAGACAGCGAGGTGCAGCGCTCACAGATCTCCTTGGCGTCGCTGTCCGTCGTCTTCTTGACCTGGAGCAACCATGCTGCCTGGGAGAGGGGCTCCAGCGTTTCCTTGGCTATGCTCTTCTGCAGATTCTTGTCTTTGAGCCATTCTTCCAAGTAGCTGATGTTGCACCTGGAGTGAGCGGAGGAGCGGGAAAGGAGTCAGGGAAGGAGGGTGAACCCCGCGGCGTGCCCCAGCGGAGCAGGGCTCCCTGAGAGGAGCAAGGGCCTGCAGTGTCTTGCTTGTGACGCATAAAGGGACGACATGATTGGGGAGCGTTAACGTAAAGCAGGAGGGTAGGTCAAGGGTGAAAAGATATGGGCAGGTGCTCTACCGCTTGGGCCAGGCCTCCATTTTTTCACTTTATTTTTCAAATAGAGTCTTGCTTGTTTTTTTTTTTTCGTTTTTGCTTGGACTGTAATTCTCCTGTTTGTGGTTCCCATTTAGCTACAATGATAGACTCTACCATACCGTGTGTGTGTGTGTGTGTGTGTATGCATGCATGTGTGCACGCCAGTGCTAGGGCTTGAATTCCCTTCCTGGTTGTTAACCCTGAGATTTTATTTTTTGCCAGTCCTGGGGCTTGAACTCAAGGCCTGGGTGCTGTCCATGAGCCTCTTTGTACTCAAAGCTAGTGCTCTATCACTTGAGCAACAGTATCAAATCTAGCTTTTCCTGAGTAGTTTATTGGAGATAAAGAATCTCATGGACTTTTCTTCCTGGGCTGGCTTCAAACTGTGATCCTCAGATCTCAGCCTCCTGAGAAGCTAGGATTACAAATGTGAGCTACTGGTGCACGGCCCCCGAGCTTTTCTTTTAGTCAGTCATGGGGCTTTAACTCTGGGCCTGGGCACTGTCCCTCAGCTCTTTAGCTCAAGGCTAGGCTCTACCACTTGAGCCACAGTGGGGCTTCCAGTTTTCTGAGTGTTTTATTAGAGATAAGAGTCTCACAGACTTTCCTGCCCTGGCTGGCTTTGAACTGCAATCCTCAGATTTCAGCCTCCTGAGTAGTTGGATTACATGCGTGAGGCACTATTGGCTGGCCCCTGAGCATTTGTTCAAGGCTAGCATTCTACCACCTGAGCCATGGCTCCACTTTTGGCTTTTCGGTAGTTAATTGGAGATAAGAGTCCCATAGATTTTCTTGCCCAGGCTGGCTTCAAGTCATGATTCTCAGATCTCTGTTCCCTGAGTAGCTAGGATTACAGGTGTGTGCTACTGGTGCTCAGCTATGCCTAGTGTTTTATTGGTTGAGATGGGGGTCTTGAGAACTTTTTGTCTTGATTAATCTGGAACTTCCATCCTCCCAACCTACCTGTCTCCATTGGTCTTGGTGCGCCCCAAACAGTGGATCCAGACAGGAGTCCAGTCAGTACCACCACTGCCTTGCCCAGGCCCATGGAAGTCCTCTTGGACTTGATCACTCTATACACGTATCTCTGCCTCCCTCGACTCTGGCCTGGCTTGTCTCTTCTCCCAAATGCTATCCCAACTACTGTTTGCCACTTACTCAGAGTGAATTGTTATTCAGCTGACTGGCACCTTTGGAGAGCAGGCGGCCAGCCTCTTTCCCCATAGTTTCCTATGATTTCTACCTGACAATGACATTCAGAGAAGGTGACAGTGTACAATGTCCTTGGGACGCCACAATTTAAAATATACTTTTATTTTATTAAATTTTTTTTTCATGGAGCTTGACCTTGGGGCTTGGGTGCTGTCCCTGAGCTCTTTGCTCAAGGCTAGTGCTCTACCACTTTGAGCCATAGCTCCACTTCCAGTTTTCTGGTGGCTAATCTCACAGCCTTTACTGCCTGGGCTGGCTCTGAACTATGATCCTCAGAGCTCAGCCTCCTGAGATCTTAGGCTCCTATCTAGGATTAAAGGCATAAGCCACCAGTGCCTAGCTCAAATACACTTTTAAGTCAGGCTCTGGTGGCTCCTGCCTGCAATCTTGACTCTCAGGAGGCTGAAACCTGGAGCATTGAGGTTTGTGGTTTGGAGCCAGTCCATGCAGAGAAGTCTTTGAGACTCTATCTCCAATTAATCAGCAAAATGTCACGTGGGAGGCATGGCTCAAGTGGTAGAGCATGAGCCTTGAGTAAAAAGGCAGGGTGAGAGCTCTAGGAAGCTGAATTCCAGCCTCCACTATTGGCACAAGCATAAATCAATACGTACACAATTACTAGTTCATAATTGCGAGTGTCAGAGATCAAGTGTGTATGGGGGGGGCTATGGCCTGTACCCACTTCCTAGTGCCCACCGGCACCCCAACCGCACAGCCTTCCTGGGGTTTTGACGCTGCAGTGGGGAGATGTGAGGCAGCCTTTATTCCTGCCAGCCTCCCCCCCCACCCCCAGGTAAGCAGTGGCTTAGGGGTCCTACCTGATCTGCATCCCCTTCCTGCATGAACACATGTCCTTGCGCAGGAAGAGGCTGTTCAGGGTGACAGCGCCGATCAGGAAGAATATCTGCTTCACGGCCTGCCTCAACAGCTCCAGGTCCAGCCCGTTCTGGCACATGGTGGTGTAGAAGTAGCTGAGCTGCTGCAGGATGGAGGTGATGGTATAGGCATCTGTGTCATCAATGCTGGACGAGCGCTTCCGGAAGCCCGTGGGCTTCAGGCCCGAGATGCCCTGCAGGCTTTCATACTCCAGCATGCCCGGCACTGCGGGGAGACGGAGAGGAAATGTTGCCCCTGCCCTCTGGGGCCTGTGTCAGGAGAGAGAGGTCTCCCACAAGGCCAGTGGAAGGGGGTTGGGGAGAGGGCAAAGCAAAAGCAGCAAGGATGAGGGGGTCCCCAGGCGTGTGTGGGGGTTCTGGGGTGTGGACTGCTGTTCTGCTCACAGCAGGGCAAGAAAGAGAACTGGTTAGCACTAACTCGAACTGTTTCAACTTCGAGGCTGCTGAGGAAAGTGAGGGAGAATTTGAATGAGGATTGGAGATTTCAGAACCATTGGCTAAGCCATGTAAGAAGTGAAAAAAAAAGGTCTGGGAAGGTGGCTCAGTGGTAGAGCGCTTGCCTTGCATGCATGAGGTCCTGGGTTCGATTCCTCAGCACCATATAAGCAGAAAGAGCAGGAAGTGGTGCTGTGGCTCAACTGGTAGAGCGCTAGCCTTGTGCTGAAGAGTTGAGGGACAGCGCCTAGGCCCAGAGTTCAGGCCCATGACCGGCAAAAAAAAAAAAAAAAAAAAAAAGGAAGTAAAAAAAAATCCTCGGGGGGCTGGGAAGGTGGCTCAGTGGTAGAGCGTTTACCTTGCATACCTGAGGCCCTGGGTTCAATTCCTCAGCACCACATAAGCAAAAAAAAAAAAAAAGCAGGAAGTGACGCTGGGCTCAAGTGGTAGAGCGCTAGCCTTGAGCTGAAGAGCTGAGGGACAGTGCCCCAGGCCCAGAGTTCAAGCCCCATGACCTGACCAAAAAAAAAGAAAACATTAGCTTCATACCATTACTTATTTCTGGAATCATCTTCAGCAAACAAAAGATTTAAAAGATGGATATTTATGCAATTATGTTTTCTTTTTTTGGTCATGAGGCTTGAACTCAGGACCTGGGTGCTGGTCTTGAGCTCTTTTTGCTCAAGCCTAGTGTTCTATCAGTCTGATCCACAGCTCTACTTTCAGTTTGGGGTAGTTAATTGGAGATAAGAGTCTGACAGGGACTGAGAAGGTGGCTCAGTGGTAGAGTACTTGCCTCGCATGCATGAGGCCCTGGGTTCGATTCCTTAGCACCATATAAGCAGAAAGAGCAGGAAGTGGTGCTGTGGCTCAAGTGGTAGAGCGCTAGCCTTGAGCTGAAGAGCTGAGGGACAGCGCCCAGGCCCAGAGTTCAGGCCCCACAACTGATTTAAAAAAAAAAAAAATTCTTACAGACTTTCCTGCCCAGGCTAGCTTCAAACTCTGATCCTTAGATTGCAGCCTCCTAAGTTGTTAAGATTACAGGTGTGAACCACCAGTGCCTGGAATGTAATTATGTTTTCCTAAACTCAGGAGCTTGAGATCTTGCTCACTTTTCTTGCTCATAGCTGGTACTTTACCACTTGAGCCATACCTCCAGCCTGACTTCTTACTGGTTCACTGGAACTTTTTTGCCCAGGCTATCTTTGAACTATGACTCTCCTCAGTAGCTAGGCTTACAAGTATGAGCCACTAGCACCCAACTACATTCTACAATACAAGTTTATTTTGTCATCAATTTACTTCTTACCTATTATTGGTTGGATGTTATTTTCCATTACAGTAATGAACTGATGATATATCCGTATAGCCACATCACTAAGAATCTGTCTGTATTCCGAAAGGTCAAAATTGTTCAGGCAATTCTTATTCTGACGGGGGCTGTTATGTTTCATGAATTCCTAAATGCAATTTTGAGTACATACATATTAGCATTCATAGAAAGTGAAAACAGTGTGTAAACTAATGACAGAGTTAGCATCTAGCATAACTTTGCACTTCAAAACGTAATGTCTGATTTGGCCCAAATGAGTTCTTTTTGTGCAGGACAGGGGCTTGAACTCAGGGCCTGGCAGTCTATAGCTCACAAATGGCACTCTACCACTTGAGCCACCTTTAGTTCCAACTTTTTGCTGGTTAATTGGAGATAAAGGTCTCAAGGATTTGTCTGCCGGGCTGGCTCCTGAGTACCTATGGATAACAGACAGGAACCAGTAGCATACAGCTCAAATTAGCTATTAAAAGTTTGGAGCAAGCTGGATGCTGGCCGCTCACAACTCTAAACCCAGCCACTCAGGAGGCTGAGATCTGAGGATCTCGATTAGAAGCCAGATTGGACAGGAAAGTCTAGGAGAGACTGTTATCTCAAATTAACTGCCCCAAATGCCAGAAGTGGAGCTGTGGCATCCTTGAGTAACAATGCTCAGGGACAGTACCCAGGCCCTGATATGTTAGTATGAACTCTAAATGTGAACCATAGAATTCTAAAAGGGAAATACTCAAAATCATAGGTAGCAATTAGTATCTGAAGGCATAAATCATAAAAGAACAGGACTGTTAGATCTAAATATAACAAAATTCAAAAACATGGCAAAGATTGCTAGGTGCTGGTGGCTCACACCTGTAATCCTAGCTACTCAGGAGGGTGAAATCTGAGGATCATGGTTCAAAGCCAACCAGGGCAGAAAGGTCCCCATGAGACTCTTATCTCCAATTAATCACTCAAAAACTAGAAATGGTGCTGTGGCTCAAGTGGTAGAGAGCTAGTCTTCAGCACAAAGAAGCTAAGGGACAGCACCCAGGCCCTAAGTTCAAGTCCTACAACCCCTCCAAAAACCCCCACAAACACACCAACAACAATAACAACACTAACCAATGCAAAGAACTCCAAAAAGGAAAAATTAGAAGAAAACCATAGCTCATTCATGATATGATTTCATTAGGAAGAAAGAAGCTCTAGGAAAGACAAACTCAGGCTAGGGGTCAGGATAAGACACAAAGCACCAGCATCCCTACCTCTTCACCACTATACTGCCTGAGGCAGTTAAGGAAATGACAAGTATTGGAAAGCCAAAAGGACAGCATCTCAAAGTCTTCTAGATGTTCCTAAGGAAAAAAAAAAAAGTTGGATTACTTGTGTGTCTGAGCCAAGACTGCACATGCCTTACCTGTGTGGGTAGTAGAAGGCTTTTGATCAAAATTAATTTTTCTTTTTGTAGCACTGGGGGCTTGAACTCAGGGTCCAGCACTTACAAGGCAGGTGCTCTTCCGCTTGGGTCATGACTTCAGCCCTTTTTACTTTAGCTGATTTTTGAGATAGGGTCTCCAGCTTTTTGCCTAGGATCGTCCTCAGAGTATAATCTTCCTACCTACAGCTTCCTGCATGGCTGGGATCACAGGAATACACCACCACCACCACCACCACCGGCTCTGTTGCGATGAGAGCTTCACTAACTTTTTGCTGTTGTTAAAGTTTAAAAAATGTTTTAAGGTGTTATTATAGAGGTGACATACAGACAGCGTTTATAGTTACATGAGTCAGGTACTGAGTCCATTGCTTTTTGGACAATGCCACTCCTTCCCTTGCTCTCTCCCAGTGTTCCCCTCCTGGCCCCATCCTCAAGTTGCAGGTTCATTTTTCACATAGTGGCTAGTGAATACCACTGCTGCATTTGTTCACCCTCTGTCCCACCATTTCTGTGCCCCTCTGACCCTCCCAAAGACAGATAAACAAGACAAAAGGAAAAGAAAATAAAAATAGCAATGAAGAAAAAAAAACCTTCGTTCAATTTCCTGGAGTTCATTTCGATACATATTATTTTTTATGATCAGATGCATGTAGGTATTGTGCCTTTGCTTCACTTTTTGCCTAGGATGGCCTCAAACTATAGTCCTTCTGATCTCTGAATCCCCAGGGTTATTTTTCTTTCTTTTTTTGGGGGGGGGTCTGGTTGTGGGCCTGAACTCTGGGCCTGGGCGCTGTCCCTCAGCTCTTCAGCTCAAGGCTGGTGCTTTACCACTGGAGCCACAGTGCCACTTCCGGCTTTTTTTTCCTGCTTATATGGTGCTGAGGAATCAAACCCAGGGCCTCATGCATGAAAGGCAAGCGCTTTACCACTGAGCCACCTTCTCAGGCCCTAATTTTTTTTTTTTACACACAAAGAATTTCATCAAATTTATGTTTTTTTGTTTTTTTTTTTGTCGGTTGTGGGGCTTGAACTCTGGGCCTGGGCGCTGTCCCTCAGCTCTTCAGCTCAAGGCGAGTGCTCTACCACTTGAGCTACAGCGCCACTTCCGGTTTTCTGGTGGTTTATTCGAGGAGTCTCACGGTCTCTCCTGCCCGGGCTGGCTTTGAACTGCGATCCTCAGATCTCAGCCTCCTGAGTAGCTAGGATTACAGGCGTGAGCCACCAGCGCCCGGCTCAAATTTATGTTTTAATGGAATGAGCTTGTGTTTGTTTCTGTGGCTGGTAACATTTTACAATCTGTTTCTGTGCAACTAATGTCAGAGGTAATGAAACCTGAAGCAGAAACACACCAGCAAGAGTCTTTTTTTTTTTTTTTTGCCAGTCCTGGGGCTTGAACTCAGGGTCTGAGCACTGTCCCTGAGCTTCTTTTGCTCAAGGCTAGCACTCTACACTTGAGCCACAGTGCCACTTTCAGCTTTTTCTGTTTATGTGGTATTGAGGAATCGAACCCAGGGCTTCATGCATGCTAGGTAAGCACTTACCACTAAGCCACATTCCCAGCCTAAGGGAGTTTTTCTTTTTTTTTTTTTGTCAGTCATGGGGCTTGAACTCTGGGCCTGGGCGCTGTCCCTCAGCTCTTCAGCTCAAGGCGAGCGCTCTACCACTTGAGCTACAGCGCCACTTCCGGTTTTCTGGTGGTTTATTGGAGATAGGCTCACTGTCTCTCCTGCCCGGGCTAGCTTTGAACCGCAATCCTCAGATCTCAGCCTCCTGAGTAGCTAGGATTACAGGCGTGAGCCACCAGAGCCCGGCAGGGAGTCTTTTCTTGCAAGTTCAGTCTAACCAACACAGGACACCATTAAGCAGGTAATCAAGCTCCTGGATGATTTGCACCAGAAGGTGGAGAGATGATGGACAAGCAGGGGTGAGGTGGGAGGGCCTACCTCAGGAAGACAGGGAGGAGAGAACAAAGATGTCTGAGGGCTGTTCCTGGGGCAGGAAGAGGAGGAAGGAGCAAGAAGGCTCAGGCACCATGGTTAGAGATGAAGAGGGAAACTTGGAAAGTGTTGGACTCAAGGAGGAGAGTTCCAAAGAGATAGCGTCAGTGCTTTAGTGAATTTCAGGACAGTAAAGAGGAGAGCTCTACTATTGGAGGAGCAGCTGTCCAGCTTTCAGGAAGGAGCTAGATAAGGTAGAAGCTAGAAGGGAGGAATAGGAAAGAGTACTGTGAAGGTCTAATGTAAGCAGGCAGGGGATGGAGGACTGGGAACAGAGGCTGAAGAGGCTATGGAGGCCCAGGACCTAGCTTTAAAGCGCTGTGTAGAAGGAAGGTGGGGCAGGTCCTGAGCATGGAGGAAGGCAGGAAGGGAGGTGAAGCTGACATGGAAGATGTTGCTGAGAACTGAGCTTTCCCTCCATCCTGTCACGCACTTTTTGGAGTATAAATATGAAGCTACAGAACCTGAGTCGCAGGAGGAGATAAATACAGTGTGTCTAGGGCTGGAACAAAATGTACACTTAAAAAAAAAACAAAAAACCTAGCTGGGCACCAGTCGCTCACGCCTGTAATCCTAGCTACTCAGGAGGCTGAGATCTGAGGACTGAGGTTCAAAGCCAGCCCAGGCAGGAAAATCCGTGAGACTCTTATCTCCAATAAACCACTAGAAAACCAGAAGTGGCTGCTGTGGCTTAAGCGGTAGAGCGCTTGTCTTGAGCTGAAGAGCGCAGGGACAGCGCTGAGGCCCAGAGTTCAAGCCCCACGACCAAAAAAAAAAAATCTAATTTATCAGCCAGATGCTAGTAGCTCATGTCTGTAGTCCAAGCTATTCAGGAAGCTGAGATCTGAGGCTCAAGTTTCATAGCTAGCCTGGTCAGAAAAGTCTCTGAGACTCTTTTTCCAAAATAACCAGCAAAAAGCCACACTGGAGGCATGGCTCAAGTGGCAGAGCACCAGCTGTGAGCAAGGAAACTTGAGTGAGCCCAAAGTTCTCAGTCTAACCAGAAGCAAACAAACAAGCAGCCATGTGCAGGTAGTTACCTCCAATGTGGCTGGCTCATTATGGAACACTAGAAGTGCTGCCTATTTGGAGGTGAGGAGTGTCTCTTAGCTACACTATCTTGTTTTGTTTTGTTTGTTTGTTTTTGTTGGTTGTGGACCTTGAACTCTGAGCCTGGGCACTGTCCCTCAGCTCTTCAGCTCAAGGCTAATGCTCTACCACTTGAGCCACAGCACCACTTAGCTACACTATCTTAGCCTTACAATTAACTTCATGGGCACACACAGCTCAGTTCCATTTCTGCACAGAAAATGGCTGTATGCACTGTGGGTTTTAGGGGCAAGAATTCCCCGGTTGGAAATGGAGGACATGAGTAATTTTCCACTTCTTTCCAGCCCAGCCCATTGATGCTCACTGGGCTGAAAGCATGCACACTCTCATAGCTACAGCTCCCACGCCCTGGGCACAGGGGCATTGTGGGTAGTGGCTTCCAGGATGCTGTCTCAACCATATGATTCTGAGAACTACTAACAGATATGTCTACTTGTCTGGTCCTAACTGTTCGGCTTCACGCCCTAGCTGGGCCTCAAACTGGTCTGAGGACTCCTGTATAGCTCATGGAAGATGGAGGCTCACGATGGCCAAAATGGTCATGTGGTCATTCCGAGACTAGATCCGCCAGGGTGCAGTGTTGAAAGGCTATCCCCTACCTTCACCACCTGCTTGATGCCGTTGATGGCGCTGTTCATGAGGGACTTGAGCATGCTGGCGTCGTTGAGGGCGTCTGCGTAGCGGACACACATGAACAGGATGTGAGCCGGCAGCCCCGGCATCATGTTCACCACCACGCCGCGGGGCTTCAAGTCTGGAGAGGAGAGAGACGGCAAAGATGCCCACTGAGCTGAGCTTGGCTCCTCGGGAGCTGCTGGCCAGGCCAAGGGTCTGTGAGTCAAGCAGGGCCTAGACACACAGGGCCTATGAACTATTGGTTCACTACTGCTTTCTAGTGATACACAGAGGTCTAGGGCCTGGGTGCCAGCGGCTCATGCCTGTAAATCCTAGTTCCTCCAGAGGCTGAGATCTCAGGATTGCAATTCAAAGCCAGCCCAGGCAGACAAATCTGTGACCCTCTTATTTCCAGTTAACCCACAAAAGCCTAGAAGTGGAACTGGGCTCAAGTGGTAGAGTGAGCAGAGAAAGCTATGGGAAAACACCAGGCCTAGCACACGCGCATACCCTCAGAGCCAAGGATATGTGCACGTCTCCCTCCCCCAGCAGGATTGAGGTTGAGGAAGTATAGGGCAGAGGCAGGAAGAGGGAGGATTGGGAAAGGACTGTTTTGCTTAACATAGCAGCGGCATGACCAAGATTCAGAGGGCTGGGTTTTCCTACCAAGGATGAGGTTCTGAATGAGCTTGGGCTCATCTTCTCTTCTGTATTCCAGCATCCCCAGGAACTCCTTGGGTCCCGAGGACAAGGGCCTGGCATTGGCTGCAAACAGAGGCAATCCATCAGCCAGACTCACAAATAAAACCCCAGGGTGATACAGACACTGCTCATCTCCTCCTGTGCATGGGCTGCTGGGGCAGATTCAAGCTGCCCTGAGGTGGGAAGAGTATCTCCCATAGCGGCTTCCCACACCCACAGTGGGCCTGTGGTACCTCAGGGCAAGCAGCTGTGCCAAACCCATAGGTGCCTGGCCTATATCTCCAGTGCAAGGAGAAGAGGAGAGACCCAGGTTGCTGCCTGGGTTCCAGGTGTGAAGGAAACAAGGTACTTTGCTTGCAGCGCAAACTTCTTTTTTTTTTTTGGTCAGGTTGTGGGGCCTGAACTCTGAGCCTGGGCGCTGTCCCTCAGCTCTTCAGCTCAAGGCTAGCACTCTACCACTTGAGCCACAGCACCACTTCCAGCTTTTTTCTTTTTGCTTATGTGGTGCTGAGGAATGGAACCCAGGGCCTCAGACATGCAAGGCAAGCGCTCTACCACTGAGCCATCTTCCCAGCCCCTGCAGCGCAAACTTCTAAAACACCCAGTCCCAGCATGGGGTGGGGGGATGTGGGGAGAGGGAGGGCCATGTTAACTTCCTATGACTGCCAAGACAAATCACCAATAAACTTTGTGGCAACACACTGATTTATTTATTTATTTAATTATCAAATTATGTATTTTCTTTCTCTCTCTCTTTTTTTTTTTTTTTGGTCGGGGCTTGAACTCTGGGCCTGAACACTGTTCCTCAGCTCTTCAGCTCAAGGCTAGCACTCTACCACTTGAGCTACAGTGCCACTTCCGGTTTTCTGGTGGTTTATTGGAGATAAGAGTCTCATGGACTTTCCTGCCTGGGCTGGGTTTGAACTGCGATTCTCAGATCTCAGCCTCCTGAGCAGCTAGGATTACAGGCGTGAGTCAGAGGCGCCGGCTTTGAAATTATGTATTTTCCATGCTGAAGACTGAACCCAGGGTCTAATACATGCTAAGCATATGCTCTAGCACTGAGCTGCATTCCTAGCCGTGTGTGTGTGTGTGTGTGTGTGTGTGTGTGTGTGTGTGTGTGTGTGTGTGTGTGTGTGTGTGTGTGTGTGTGTGTGTGTGTGTGTGTGTGTGTGATACTAGGGCTAAATCTCAAGGTGCTGTCCCTTAGCTTTGTTGCTCAAGGCTGATGCTGTACTACTTGAGCCACTGTTCCACTCCTGGTTTTCTGCTGATGACTTTGAGATAAAAGTCTCAGAGACTTTTCCTGCCTAGGTTGGCTTTGAACAACAATCCTAAGATCTCAGCCTCCTGTGTAGTTAGTTAGGATTTCAGGCGAGAGCTGCCCGTGACTGGCTTGAACAAAATTTTAATTGTACAATTCTGGAGATCAGAAGTCTGCAAACAGCCAAACCCATGCAGTTGAGCTGCTCCTGGATTTCTCCCCCAGAGTTGTGTGTTTGTACATATTACTTTTTTTATTTTTAGCTGTGTGTTTGGGTGATCTGTTACACAATAACTGATAACTGACCCAGACAGACTGAGGGTAGACCTATTGAGATGGAGGTAATAACAAAAGGAAAGCAGAGGAAGAAGACCTGAAGTTCGGGGAAAGAACTGGACACGGCACTTCTTACATAGGGAGCAGTTCAGGCGCTCATGCATTCCTGGTGTGGAGGCAGAGTGAGGACGGCAGACCCCGGCCCGGCTCTCAGGGCAGATCAACAGCTGTGACTCATTGTTGACAGGAAAAGAGTCTCAGTTTGGTTTCAGACATTTCAGACTTGAGGCAGGAGTTGCATACGGGCTAATAAAGGAGTTCTTCAACCAAACGAATGAAGGAAAAGGAACAGAGGGTTGCAGACACAGCCTGAGCAAGAAGGGCTGGGAGGGAGAGGGGAAAAAGAGGCCAGTGAAGATGGTAAAAGGGCAGAAGACAGGCAGAGCCCATGGACTTCGCAGCAGGAGGGAAGAAAGGCTGAGGCTCCTTTCCAGGGCTTGTGAGGAAGTGTGCACTATGATGTTCTTCCCTCTCCTTTCCTCTGACAGAAACCGGGATGCTCAGTGGGGAGCAGGTGGTTCATGCTTGTAATATTAACTACTCAGGAGGCGGAGATCTCAGGCTTGAGGCTAGTCTGGGCAGAAAAATACATGAAATTCCATCTCTTAAAATAACTACCTGAAAGGGGCTGGGAAGGTGGCTCAGTGGTAGAGTGCTTGCCTTGCATGCCTGAGGCCCTGGGTTCAATTCCTCAGCACCACATAAGCAAAAAGAAAAAAAAAGCCAGAAGTGGCGCTGTGGCTCTAGTGGTAGAGTGCCAGCCTTGAGCTGAAGAGCTGAGGGACAGCGCCCAGGCCCCACGACTGGACCAAAAAAAAAAAAATAATAATTACCTGAAAGCCAGGCTGGAGGCATGGTACAAGTTATAGAGTACCAGCCAAACAATTGAGAGGACCTAAGGCCCCAAGTACAATTCCCAGGAGTGACAAAAAAAGGAGAGGATTCTTTTCTTTTCTTTTTTTGTCAGTTGTGGGGCTTGAACTCTGGGCCTGGGCGCTGTCCCTCAGCTCTTCAACTCAAGAAGAGTGCTCTACCGCTTGAGCCCAGTGCCACTTCTGGTTTTCTAGTGGCTTATTGGAGATAAGAGTCTCATGGACTTTCCTGCCTGGGCTGGCTTTGAACTGCGATCCTCAGAGCTCAGCCTCCTGAGTAGCTAGGATTATAGGTGTGAGCCACCGGTGCCTGGCTAAAAGGGGAGGATTCTTATTGAATCTGTGTATGTGACAAGGATAGAAGATGAATGTCAAGGCAATGACATTTGAAACTTGTTCACAATTTCATTCTTAAAACCAGGAGCTAAGCTGGATGTGGCGGCTTTCATCTATAATCCTAGCTACTCAGGAGGACTGGTGGTGGTTCAAGGCCTACCTGGGAAAAATTTGAGACCCTCTCTTAACCAATAAAAGCAGGATGTGGTAGCATCCACCTGTCATCCCGGCTGTGGGAAGAGTACACAGGAGGATCATGGTCCAGGCTGGTGAGGGCAAAAAGTGACCTTCTATTAAAAAAAATAACAACTGAGGTAAAAAGGATTTGTGGGTATGATACAAGCAGTAGAGCTCCTGGGTAGCAAGGGAGAGGTCCTGAGTTCAAATCCCAGTGTTGCCAGGGAGGGTGCAGCTAACAGGAGGTTAAATGTATTCATTAATAGCTCCTGTAGTAACACAGGCAATTCTGGTGTTACCTGAAGGGTAGCGAGCTGTCTTTCTGCCCGCTGTCTTTCTTTTTAGCCCATCCATGAGACTCCAAAATGGACACATGGAGAATCCTTCCCTTGAGTTTCGCAGGCTTTGGATCACATATAAGACATAGAACACAGCCTTCCTACCTTTATCCACGGTTTTGGCCAGATTCTTCACTTGGTCTTGCAGCTTTTTAATCACTCTGTCCTTCGTGTCTAACTCCTCTTCCAGATTCTGCAGAAATCCAAAGGAACAAGGAAGTGCATTTACTTAGAAGTCTCCGTGCGTGGTTTTCAGGAAAAGCGTTATGGTGCTCACAATTTGCTCACTCACAGCGTACGACTCAATGGATTTTAGAATTGCCAGAACTTGGCTACTACCACCATTATCTAATTCCAGAAATTTCCATCATCGCACACAGTTGATAAAAGTTGCCGGCTGCTCATCACTAGAGAATGAAGGCCCAACCGGCCTCCACGGCAGCACCCAGGGACCTGTGGAGGGGCAGAAGGCAGAAGGCAGGGCGCCTCTACAAACCCAGCGCGCAGCTCCTCATAGGGGCTTGCAGGAGCCCAGTCCCTGGGAAGGCCCTACATAGACACCCGGCCACCTCCTACGTGTAACCAATGAGGATTCGGTCTATTAACCATTAAGCTCCCTGCTGTCTTCAGATGTCAAGATGCTCACGCTCTTGGAAAGAGCATGATACTTTTGATCTCTAGCTGTCTATCCTGTGTTCTAGGTGACAGGTCGTGTGTGTGTGTGTGTGTGAGTGTGTGTGTGTGTGTGTGTGCTTGACTTCAGGGCGTGTGTGTGTGTGTGTGTGTGTGTGTGTGTGTGTGTTTGACTTCAGGGCCTGGGTGCTGTCCCTGAACTCTTTCATTTAAGGCTAGTGCTCTATCAATTTGAGCCACAGAGCCCACTTCTGGTTTTCTGGTGGTTAACTGGAGATAAGAGTCTCGCTGACTTTCCTGCCCAGGCTGGCTTTGAATGAGTTGTGATCCTCAAATCTCAGCCTCCTGAGTAGTTTAGGATTCCAGGTGTGAGCCACTGGTGCCTGCTCCTGTGTTTTTTTTGTTTTTGTTTGTTTTTTTGGGGGGTCTGGTCGTGGGCCTGAACTCTGGGCCTGGGCGCTGTCCTTCAGCTCTTCAGCTCAAGGCTAGCGCTCTACCACTTGAGCCACAGCACCACTTCCAGCTTTTTTCCTTTTTGCTTATGTGGTGCTGGGGAATCGAACCCAGGGCCTCATGCATGCAAGGCAAGCACTCTACCACTGAGCCACCTTCCCAGCCCTTGTTTTTTGTTTTTTAAGCAATAGCTCCACACAAAATTCCACTCATCTACCCACTGGGAAACTTCCCACCCTGTTTTCCAGAGTGAGCGCCCTTCTGGGAATTACTCACTTCGCCTTCAGCTTCGGATTGCCCTGCCTTCGAGTGCTCTCCAGCCTCCTGCAGTGCCTGGATCGTGCCCAGAAGCTGCTCTTTCACTCTGAGGTGTGCTTCATGCTGGGCTTCTATGGCCCTGAGGAAGGGACAGAGGCAGGGTGGGCCATTGTGCAGATGGCTCGTGTTTCCAAAGATGGAAAACCATCTCAGCCATCTCCCATGTCAATACTCACTTTCTCTGAGTTCCTTCCTCTTCTCTGCTGTGAGGGAGCTGAGCCGACAGTTCCTCCAGTTTTCCTGTGAGGAGAAAAGCTGTCAGTACCAGGATGGGACATATCACTGCATTCTCATATGGGGATTGTAGTTTGGTGGTAGAACATTGCCCTGGCATGCACAAGGCCCTGGGTTCGATCCCTAGCACCAGTTTGGTTTGGCATTATTTTTAGTTACCAGCAGTTCTAAGCTGTATCTAGCCAAAGATGGTTGTTTAGAACAACACACCCTAAGTATGACTTTTAAATGTTTTTAAAAAAATCAATATTGAAGACTTATACTAGATCACATGGAAATCTGTATTCTCTTCTAAAAACTTGGAATATCGAGTGACATTGGGCCCAGCATTGTCTCTTGGCAAAAGCCAATGGAGCTTGGAGGAAGCTGTTCTCTTTAACCCCACCCACTCCACCCCATACTATGTCCTCCAAGCAGTTCACTTCTTACCTTGGTATTACTTGCCTGGTCCAAGAGAATCAGAGCCTAAAACGCCTGCATGGGATGCACTTCCTGCATGACTTCCTGTCTTTCCTATGTCACTTTCTGGTTCTCCTATATCCCTTCCTGTCTTACTACATCATTCCCTGGCTTTCCTCCACCACTGCCTATTAGCAAACCATCTTCTAAAAGCAGGCCAAGGAGAGTTTCCATTACCTTTCATTTTCTCATTTTGTTCATTCAGGCGGAGTTCAAGATCTTGCTTCTGCTTCTCTAGCTCTGAAATTTGCTGCTTAAAGTCTGGGATCATCTTTAGAGGAGAATGATAAACAGAATACGAAATGGTTTCATTTATGAATTTTATAATCTCAGAGACAAAAATCCATTTTTTATGTTCAGCCTGTGGAACAAATTGTATACATGGGCCAGTAAAAGCCCACTCATGGAATGTTTCTTTTTTCTTTTTCTTTCTCTCCCTTTTTTAGCCTCAAGACTTATACAATAGTCTCAAGAAATTCCAGCATGTGCCAGGTGTTGGTAGCTTATGCCTGTCATCCTAGCTACTCAGGAGGCTGAGATCTGAGGATAGCAGTTCAAAGCCAGCCTGAGCAGGAAAGTCCGTGAGACTTATCTCCAATTAACCACCAGAAAACTGGAAGTGGTGCTGTGGTTCAAGTGGTAGAGTGCTAGCTGTGAGCTGAGGGACAGAGCCCAGGCCCAGAGTTCAAGTCCCATAACCAACAAAGAAAGTAAAAAAGAAAGAAAGGAAGGAAGGAAGGAAGGAAGGAAGGAAGGAAGGAAAGAAGGAAGGAAGGAAGGAAGGAAAGAAGGAGGGAGGGCCGGAGGGAGGGAGGTTGGGAGGAGGGAAAGGGGAGCCATTAAGGTCCCCAGACGCTGCTGGGAGAGCAGAGGGATTCAGGAGGAAATGCAGTTCGTGGCCTTAGCCAAGTCCCATCCACTCCCCAAAGAAATGGTATGCTACCCAGTTTTTTCTGGAGACTTGGAGTTAGTAAGAAAGGGAGTGTTTTCTTTTTCTTTATTTTATTTTTTTATCAGTGGTGGGGCTTGAACTCACGGTCGGAGTGCTGTCCCTGAGCTAGTGCATTACCACTTTGAGCCACAGCACCACTTCTGGTTTCTGGTGGTTAACTGGAGATAAGAGTCTCATGGACTTGCCTGCCTGGGCTAGCTTTGAACCATGATCCTCAGATCTCAGTATCTAGGATTACAGGCATGAGCCACCAGTGCCCAGCAAGGGAGTAGTTTCTGAATGAGATTCTTAAAAGACTTTTCTTTGCCAGTTAGATGAGAGCCAGGAGGGGGAACAAATGGAGTAAGTTGCAGGGGCATTCCAGAACAGAAAGCTCTTGACCTGGGCTGATTTTGAGCAAGCGTATGACTGGCCTGAACAACTCCCCACATCAAGGGCCAAGTTTTTGCTTCAATTTTGTGCCTCTTAGAAGGGGATAGGACTAGATTTAAATATGCAACTTTAAGAATTTGAACCCATTATATGTTGATCAAACATACTCTGAAATCCAAGGGCTCCCCAGCCTAGGCTCATTTTAGAATCTTTTCTTCTTCTTCTTCTTTTTTTTTTTCTGGTTGGTCCTGGGGCTTGAACTCATGGGGGCTTTCCCTGAGCCTCTTTGTGCTCAAGGCTATCACTCTACCATTTGAGCCACAGTACCACTTCTGGCTTTTTCTGAGTAGTTTATTGCAGGTAAGAGTCTCACAGACTTCCCTGCCCAGGCTGGCTTTGAACCACCATCCTCAGATCTCAGCCTCCTGAATAGCTAGGATTACAGGCATGAGCCCCCAGCCCCCAGCTTAGAATCTTATCTTCTGACTCTATTGTTTTATTACTGGAACAAGTAATTTCAATCCACTGTTCTGCTGCTATAAGACTGAATTTTAACTCCTCCCATGAGTAACTGCTTTCCGACAATGGCCATGACCAGGGCCCATACCATGTTTTCTGATGTCAGCCTGGTGACTTGGTGCCGGATGCTTTCATTGATGTCATTTTCCTCTCTGAATAATTTCTGCAGATGGTTGATTTCTTGACTGAGATGTACCACTTTGAAGTTCAGGGCTTCGATCTCTTTTTCGTAGCAATCCTTCTGGGATTGGAAATGGTTTTCCATAACTCTGTCCAGGGAAGGGAAGGGAAAACAGGCACTCGGCCTTTGTTCTGTGTGAGGGAATCATACTTACTTATACATATGTGGTAACAGGAGCTTCCATGAGTGGATTCTTCTGGATAGTACTGAAGCATGATGTGGGGTTCATATTGCCATGAATGATAAAAGTAAATTCTTTGGGGGTTGGCTGTTCTAGAGTTTGAACCCAAGACTTAATGCTTGCTATGTACTTTACCACTGAACCATACCTTCAACCCTACATTTTTATTCTATTAATGGTTTGAAACAGATGCTCTGTATGATATCATGGTTATTGATAAGGGTCATTATAGATTTGTTAAAGTTCATTGGATGTACAACACCAAAGTGAGCCCTGATATAAACTACGGGCCCTGAGTGATGATGACATATGCCACTGTGGCACAGGATGCTGACGGTGGGGGTACTGGTGACAGAGGAGACAGGGGAACCTTGCATTTTCAACAACAACAAAAAAGGAAGTTTAAGTCAGGCGCTGTTGGCTCACATCTGTAATCCTAGCTACTGGGGAGGCTGAGGTCCAAAGTATCACAGTTTGAAGTCACTCTGTGCAGAAAAGTCTTTGAGACTCCATCTTCAGTAAACCATCAGAAAATCAGGCTGGAGGCATGGCTCATGTGGTAGAACACTATACCAGCCAAGCAAGCAAGCTGAGTGATTCTGAGGACCTGGGTTCAAACTCCAATAAAAGAAAAGTTAAACCTGGCGCCAGTGGCACCTGCCTGTAATCCTAGCTACTCAGGAGGTTGAGATGTGAGGATCATGGTTCAAAGCCTGACTGGGCGGGAAAGTCTGTGAGACTCTTATCTCCAATTAACCACCAGAAAACCGGAAGTGGTGCTATAGTTCAAGTGGTAGAGCACTCACCTTGAGCTGAACAGCTCAGGGACAGTGCCTAGGCCCAGAGTTCAAGCCCCACGAATATTCTCCCACCCCCCAAAAAAGAATGAAAGAAATCCAACAAACATCTTTAATGTAATTCTATTTGATAATAACCAGTTTTTAACTATACAGGCTATAGGTTTTAGAATAAGACAGTTTATCTCAGAAAGAAGGTATCTCTTATTCCTAAGCTAATTACTTTACTCTTGAAGTACTTCCAGTTGTTTCTTGTCTAGAGTCCCAAGAGGAATTTAATTTCTCACCGTGTCGCCTTCTTTAGTCCCTCGTATGCAAACCAGAGTTCACCATCCTCATTTAAATGTTCCAGATCTTCCACAGAGAGTCTGGAAAATCAGGAGGTGAGAAAACCTGTCATTTCTGGCTTGTTTCACCTGTTCTATGTTTGATCATGCAATAAAAAATGCCCACCTGCTTCGTACATCTTCGACATCATAGCTCTCGAGAAGCTGTCTGGTAATCTCTGACATCTTTTCTGGAAGGGCAAGGCAGAGCTGCACAGATCACATTTGTGCACTGTTTCCCTCTCCCCTCCCACCCCTGGACCTCTCTAGGGCCAATTGTCTATGTTTGTAGAACCTGAAGTTAAACACCTTATGAATTTCCAACCAACTGGCTATTCCAACTTCCCATTAAGCATGGAAGCTCGCAGTAATGAAAGAACCCAGCTACTCGGCAGTGATGAACTCAGTCTGTACGTCATGGACCAAGCGACCTGTGCTATTACCTCTCATCTCCCGTTTCTGCGACTGCACGTGTTTCTCCACGTCGATCTTCTGTGCCTGGAGCAGCTCGATCTCCTTCTCAAACTCAGAGATGGTCTGAAGGACAGGTAGTGACCAGATAGGGAAAGAAAAGAGTGAGGAGGTTTGCCACCCGACAAGACGGTGCCAAGCAAGGCAGCCTCCCCCACCCCCTGCCCTGAAGTTTCTGAATTGAAATCCTGCTAAGCCATCACAGTTCTTACAGTCTGCCTTGAAGCAGGCTTAGTTGCTCAAAATGATGCTGTTTGGGGAGATGAGTGGGGATTGGGAGGATTATAGTTTGAGACCAGCTCAGGCAAAAAAGTTAGCAAGACTTTTTTCACTGAGATGGGGCAAAGAAAGAAAGAAAGAAAGAAAGAAAAAGAGAGAGAGAGAGAAAGAAAGGAAGGAAGGAAGGAAAGAAAGGAAAGAAAGAAAGAAAGAAGTAAGTTTCAATGAATAAGGCAAGCATAGTGGCTTATCCCTATGATCTACCCAGGAAACTATAGGTAGGAGGATCAAGGTTCAGGCTACCCTTGTCCAAAAACATGAGACCCTACCTGAAAAATAACCAGAAAGTAAAAAAAAAAGGGGAGGGGCTGGGGGCATTGCTCAAGTGGTAAAACACCTGCCTAGCAAGGGTAAGTTCAAATTCCATTACCGCCTCATGCTGTTGCAAATTTATAGATATAGTTGGCTTGCTGCAGCTGGTGACAGAAGAGGCTCCCCCCTTATATGGGAAAAATATAAAAAGTATAGAGAACCCGCAGTGGGAGGGGTGGAGGCCCATCTGAGAAAGGTGTAACCACAGACATGAAAACTGTATTTCAGTGCAGACCAAATCTTTGAGGAACAGGGGCAAGGTTGCCACCTTCTTCACTGGGAGATCTGAACTCAGCTGGTCTAAGACAAGAGAGTAGCGCCAGTCCAGGCATCAGGGAAAGAAGGGCTATGGGGAGAGATGGGGCCCCTGCGAACTGGGACAGCTCTGGTGTGAAGTTGCATCCCACTTAATGAGCTCAGCTCACCAAGTGTGTGTGTGTGTGTGTGTGTGTGGTGTGTGTGGTGTGTGTGGTGTGTGTGTGTGTGGTGTGTATTTATGCCAGTTCTGGGGTTTGAACTCAGTGCCTGGCCACTGTTCCCGAGGTTTTTTTGCTCAAGGCTAGTGTTCTAGCATTTGAGCCACAGCTTCATTTCCAGCATTTTAGTGGTTATTTGGAAGTAAGAGTCTTGGACTTTCCTGCCTAGGCTGGCTTCAAATTGGATTATCCTCAGATCTCAGCCCCCTGATTAGCTTGGATTATAGGCACGAGTGAGGCCCAGCAAGACCACAGGTTTTAATGAAGGAACTATAAAGACTCAGGGACCTTGGAGAGGACAAGTGTTCCCTGGTACTTTCTCAGCTACTCCCAGCATCCGAGGCTCTCAGCTCCCAGCTCCACAGCCCACATTTACAGAGCACCTGATCTGGTAGACCTAGCCCTCTAATTGACATGTATGATAAAGACAGTGGTCCTGTACAGGTTAAGTGAACTGAAGGTCAGATGGTATGTTCAGGCTGACCAGGACATCCTATCCTAAAGTCCTGTTCTTCCTTGTCATGTTTCAGAGAATTGTTGATTTGTGCTTACAGATGCTCCTTAGATGAACAAGCAGCTTGGTAAAGTAGACCTATGTTCCTTCAAAACCAGACATCTTTTTCTTTTTTTTTTTTGGTCAGTTGTGGGGCCTGAACTCTGGGCCTGGGCACTGTCCCTCAGCTCTTCAGCTCAAGGGTAGCCCTCTACCACTTGAGCCACAGCGCCATTTCCGGCTTTTTCTACTTATGTGGTGCTGAGGAATCGAACCCACGACCTCATGCATACAAGGCAGGCACTCTACCACTGAGCCACATCCCGAACTCCCAAACCAGACATCTTAATGTGTCACATTGCAAACCTGAATCAGATTTAACCAGCACAGAGGAAGTGAGCGACCCCTACTGGTGCCTCCTCCAAGTGCAGGCTCACTACCTGCCAATTTTTATTAGCAACCATTAGTTGTAGAAGGGAAGCTTCATTATAACATTTCCATACACACATATGATGTACCTTAATCAAACTCACCCCCTCTATTGGCCTCCTTTACTCTCTTCCCCCTTCTAAAGCAATTTCAACATGTTTCATCCTGGCAAGTGTCTGTATCTGTATCCTAACAAAGCCTGTTTTCCTTTGCAGTCTTTTTGTGTGTATGTGTGTGTGGACATTTATTATATTCATCGTACCGAGGATTTTCACCATAATATTCCACTCATGCAATGTATCAAATTTTTGCCAGTCCTGGGGCTTGAACTTAGGGCCTAGGTACTGTCCCTGAGCTTCTTTTACTCAAGACTAGCACTCTAGCCACAACTCCATTTCGGCTTTTTCTGTGTATGTGGTACTGAGGAATCAAACCTAGGGCTCCATGCATATATACTAGGCAAGCACTCTACCACTAAGCCACCTTCCCAGCCCAATGTATCAGATTTAACTTCCTGTATTTCGTTCCTTCTTTCTAGTCCCCCATCCCTGGACTCATTGTTCAACAGATTTCAGTGCCATTCCTACTGTCATCTTCATCCCCAGACACATAGCATTTTGCTATGAATTCCCTCTGCCATATTCTCCCCACCCCCGCCCCTCCAATTCTCTCTAACTGGAGCCAACAGCAGGACTCCCACAGACTGACATCAGTCATTTGGGACAGCTCAGCACAAGGCAGACACGAGCAGGAGACAAGGGGGGATTGCTGGCTCTCTGTGGATGGAGGGACTTGATCTGGGAATTGAAGGGGTGTCTAAGAGCAAGAGGGCCCTACCTTTGCTTGCTTGCTCAGTCGGGCCACATCGCCCCTCAAGCCCTCAGAGGTGACCCGCTCTTCCTCGAGCTGGTGACAGAGCTGCATTTTCTCCTCCTTGAGAGCCTTGATTTCTTCCTTCAGACACTGCATCTGCTTCTCATAGTCTTGTGTCTTTAGCTCAAAATTTTTCTCCAGCAGTCTAGGCAGCAGAAGAAGAAATCAATGTGAGCTGGGTAGCTCATGCCCATAATTCTAGTTAGTCAGGAAGCCGAGATGTGAGGATTGTAGTTTGAAGCCAGCCTAGGGAAGACAAATCTGAGAGACTCTTATTTCGGATTAACCAGCAAAAAGCCAGAAGTAGAGATGTAGCTCAAGTGGTAAAGTGCTAGCCTTGGGTGAAAAAGCCAAGCAAGAGTCTGAAGCTCTGAGTTTAAGTTCCAGCACCTGCACACACAAGGGGAAACAAAGGAAGCTGGGCATTGATGGCTCACGCCTGCAATCCTAGCTACTCAGGAGGCTGAGTTTGTAGCCAGCCTAGACAGGAAAGCCCGTGAGATTTTTATCTTCAATAAATTATCCAAAAAGCTGTAGGTGGAGCTGTGGCTCAAGTAGTAGAGTACCAGTCTTGAACACAAAGGCTTAAGGACAGTGCCCAGGCCCTGAGTTCAAGCCTCAGGATGGGGGAAAAAAAAAGGCAAGTGAGAAATTCATAATGGCCAGTATTCCCATCTAGGAGGAGCAATTTGGACATGAAAACTTGTGCAGGGACTGATGGTGTGTGTGTATGTGTGAGTATATGTGTGTGTGTATATATACATATACCCATATATATATATATATATACCCATATATATATGGAAGGGCTTGGCTGTCGTGACTCCCAAAGTCTCTTGCTTCCCCAGGATATTCACCCCACTCCCTCCCATGTGGGGTGCTGTCTGCAAGCCGAGAAACTAGAGCAAATGGCAGCGAGGGAAGGAAGCAGTGGCTGTGAGCGCACTAGAGATCGTACATCCTTTGCCGCTCTTCTTTCTGCACGTCGTCAAAGAGCTGCTTGGTGAGGGCATCCATTTTTTCTGTGAAGAAAGCAGGCTTTTAGAAAAAGACATCTGCCAAACCAAACCAATATCCTCTTTTGTTTCCTGCCAGCTTTAAAAACGTGAGAATGTGTGGAGGATCTGCAGTGCAGTATTTATCGTGCCTGAGGCATAGGGTGAAAATGGATATTGCTCTGTGTGTGTGTGTGTGTGTGTGTGTGTGTGTGTGTGTGTGCGTGTGTGCGTGTGTGCGTGCACATGTGTGCATGCGCCAATATTGGGACTTGAACTTGGGGCCTAGGCAGTAATTGTCCCTTAGCTTTTTCGCTCAAGGCTAGCAACTCTACTACTTGAATCACAGCTCCACTTCCAGCTATTTTGCTGGTTAATTGGAGAAGAGTCTTGCAGACTTTTCGGCCCAAGTCCAGAGTTCAGACCCTAGTGTCAGCCTTTAAAAAAAAAAAAAAAGGTTCATGTTTCTGTTATCCTTTCTTGGGCTTCCAGTCTGAGCTTCCAGCCTGCTCTGGACTCCACACACACTTACTCCCCATGAAGCAGAAATCTCCTTTCACTACGCAGACACCTCAGAGCCCACTCTGCAGTCTGGGTGCCGCCTGTCGTTGGCACCAAGCGACAACCCGTGAACTTCACCTTGGAGCTCTTCCGTCTTCTCGCGGAGCTTCAGCTGGGTCTGCTCCTGCTCAGCTTCCAGTTCGGAATTACGCTTCTGAAGCCTGGCCAGTTTCTAGCAGGGGAAAGCGAACCACTTTCTGAGAATTTCCTATCAAGTCCATCCCAATGGCCACCCTCTGGGCGCCCAGCCTCCCAGCTGTGGGTGCTGTAGGGCTTGGGGAGGGGCAGCAGGGTGGGTGACCACAGAGACCACAGCTGTGGGACATGGCGGCTCGCGCTTGTGTAGGGCCGATGGCAGGCATTTGTTTACATGATGCCATCTGACCGTTTTGGCCTCATGACAATTCTGCCAGCCTCTTTTTGTTACTCCCATGTTATACAAGAGGGGACTAAAACTGAGAGAGAGGAAGGGACTTGGCCAAGGCTGACCAGCCAGATAGCCAGATAGGTGAGATTTGAATCCAAGACGTTGGGTTTGGGGATTGATTTTTCTCTCTGGGTCTTTCTTACACCTTCCTCAAGCTGGGGCATTGTTGCTCAAGGAGGATATTTATTTCCAGGGCCCAGATGTGATGGATGAGTGGCAAGAGATCAAGAATCTTGTGGAAGAGATGGAGGCAGCCAGCCAGGGCTTCCCTTACTTGGCCAAAGTGGACAGGAAGAAGAAACCCTCGGCCCTCTGTTCTCCAAAAGATGCCCCTGGATGTGGATGCGAATGAGCTTTGCTCTGCTGTCCAGGAACTGCGTGGAAGGCACACTTGTCCCCTCCGTGGAGGGAGGCACAGACCCCCCATACGCCCCACCTCTGACCTCTGACCTCTTCCACAGTGTCCCTGTATCTCCGGTCCTTCTCCTCGCAGCTGTGTCTGTAGATGGCTGCTCTTTCCAGCTCTGCCTCCAGCCTCTGAACCTTCTCCACGTCGCCAGCCCGGAGAGCAGCCAGGCTGGTCAGCTTCTCCACCAGCCCGTGGTTCTCTCTGTTCTGGAGATAAGAAGCCAAGTCAGGTTTGGCCAATGAGAGGAAAGCCGCTGCTTTCCTTCCTTTGACTCCATCACAAGACGCCTGCGCGGCCAGTTCTGGCATCTTCAGCAGGGGATGGGGAGGCAGATGTCTTCCTTGGCTCTCACGATGGGTGTCCCATCTGATCCTGGGGCCGCAGGACAACCTTAGTGCCACTGTGTTCTCTCAGAAATGATGCCAAGGCTGGGTGTGGTGATTCATGCTCCTAATTCTTTTTTTTTTTTTTGGTCGGTCGTGGGGCCTGAACTCTGGGCCTGGGTGCTGTCCCTCAGCTCTTCAGCTGTAGACTAGCGCTCTATTACTTGAGCCTCAGCCCCATTTCCAACTTTTTCTACTTATGTGGTGCTGAGGAATCGAACCGAGGACCTCATGCATGCAAGGCAAGCACTCTACCACTGAGCCACCTTCCCAGCCCCATGATCCTAATTCTTGCCACTCAAAAGGTGGAGGTTGGGAAGATCACAGTTCAAGGCCAGCCCAAGCCTTGAGACCCCCTCTCAATTTCAGTATGATGCTGTGTGTTTGTGATCCCAGCTATATAGGGGGTGTAAACAGATCACAGTCCAAGGCCAGCCTGGGCAAAAGAATATAATCCTGGGCTGGGAAGGTGGCTCAGTGGTAGAGCGCTTGCCTTGCATGCCTGAGGCCCTGGGTTCAATTCCTCAGCACCACATGAACAAAAAGAAAAAACTGGGAAGTGGCGCTGTGGCTCAAGTGGTAGAGTGCTAGCCTTGAGCTGAAGAGCTGAGGGACAGCGCCCAGATCCAGAGTTCAGGTCCCACGACCGGACCCCCCCCCCCCCCAGAAAAAAAGAATATAATCCTATCTAAAAAAATATAACAAAAGCAAAAAGGGCTGTGTATTGAATGGTAGGGTGCCCACTTAGCAAGCAGAGGCTCTGAAGTCAAACGTTAGTCTCACCCCCCAAAATATAACAAAGTCCTGATCTGCAGTACTTCGGCTATGATGGTATTCGAAGACAGGGAATGTAATTTAGGTAACAGAAGGCCATTGGATGAGTCTAATGGTAATTTTAACATTGCTCTTAGAAGAACCTGGGGCAGACCCAAGGCATGTAAGGATAGAGGGGACAGCTGGTGACATACTCAGGGGATCTGAAGGAACCCACCCTGCCATTCCCTCCATCAGATGCATACAGCTTCCAGAACCACGGGACCATGAATTTGGCTGTTTCAGCCTTTTCGGCCCCCTCCCCCCCCCAAGCAGGACACTTTATTACAGCAGCCCCAGCAAACTCATATACCTGGAGCTGTCAGCAGCATCATGAGGGGAATACTGCTGCTGAAGGTCAAGTTCATGTGCGCACATCTTCATCCATCCACCAAAGATCTCTGGGCTAACTTCAGTGCTCACTTTAGGACAATTACCAGAAACAGGACCAGGAGTGTGTTCTGCAGATCTAGACACTGAATATTCCACAAGTTTCCACAGAGGGCATACGGAGTGTGTGTGTGTGTGTGTGTGTGTGTGTGTGTGTGTGTGTGTGTGTGTGTGTGTGTGTGTGTGTGTGTGTGTGTGTGTGTGTGTGTGTGTGTGTGTGTGTGTGTGTGTGTGTGTGTGTGTGTGTGTGTGTGTGAACTTGGAGCCCAGATGCTATCCCTAAGCTTTTTTGATCAAGGCTAGTGCTCTACTACTTGAGCCATAGCTCCATTTCTAGCTTTTGGGTGGTTCATTAGATAAGAATCACATACCCTTTCCTGCCCGGGCTCACTTAGAACCATGATCTCAGCCTCCTGAGTAGCTCGGATGACAGGTGTGAGTTATCTGCATCCAGCTATTCTGTAGCCATCTAGCATGGCTGCAGCCTAAGCCTGTGTATGATAGGCAAGTCATTATACTGTAGCTCCTCTGAGCAGAGGATATGCACAGAGTGCAGACGGTGTCTGTGTGCCTGAAGGTGACACAGCTTTGCACTGCACACACGTCTTGGTGAAGGGAGCCAAGTTGGATTTCAATCCTACTTGCCCTCTTGGGCAGGTGCCCTTGGTGCAGTGAATAACCAAGACATCCATACATTATGTGTGGTTCCCTTCCTTTCTAGCTCGGGGGCCTACCTATAGGAATTGTTTTCACTTACTAATATGAATATAAAGCTTTGCTTGTTTGTTCCGAGAAGGAGTTTCCTTATGTAGCTCAGGCCCATCTGTAACTCCTGATCCAGCCTCCCAGATGCTGGAGCAATAGACATGAGCCACGGAGCACAGGTAAATCTTCAGAGCAGAGCCACAGATCTGGTCCGCAATGGAATAAAGGTGTGAGAAACATAGCTATGAGCGATGCACGATGCACACCTACCTGATCCTCCAGCTTCTTCTGCAAACGCTGGACCCTGTAAGTCAGCTGGATGTTGAGCACGAAACGTCGGATGTTCTGGAATCTTCGGCGGGCCAGCCACGCCCGGGCGTATTTCTGAAGGATCACAGCCTTGTGCTCCTCCAGCATCTTTAAGACAAGATTTGGTGATGACCTGGAATCTCCACCACTTCTCACCCCCACCCCCACCCCTCTACTCCTCCCAACCTCCATGGTGAGTTGCTGGTCCTTAAGCCCCAGAGCCTCATGACATGCAAGCCATACCTTCCGGTACCTCCTCCTCGCCAGGAAGCCCCGGGCATACGCCTGGATGGTGATGGTGGCTATGCGGATCAGCTGGTACAGGTTGCGGACCAGGTACCCACGGCAGTGCTTCTGGATGATGATGGCTGCCCAGGCCTCCTTCAAAGCCCTTGCGGTGATGGCTTTCCTTGGGGCGGTAAGAAGGTAGAGTGAATGTGCTATACAGAGCCTCCACTTCCCCACTGAGTCGCAGGCGTGGACAGTGGCTTCTCTGTGAGGAGGGCCCCAAGGTGCCACTGACCTCCCTGCCGTGGATGCCTATGTCATGGGCCTTGGGTCCCTCTGCCTCGGGTTCCCCTCTGTATGGTCTTACCCCCCCATCCCGCCCCATAGTTGCAGGCCACCTGGGACTGGCCTTAAGATCTTTACCCAGAGGCTTGCTGGGAACCCTGCTGGCCTTAGGGACCCTCTGCCTCCGCCTGTTCTCATGGGGCCTCTGACCCCCTGCTTGGGTCCTGCTCATCAGCTTCCCAGAGATGACCCAGCAAAGCAAGCCGGATGGCTGACACCCCCACACCTCACAGTCTGCTGGCCCCGGAAGTACTGCTGGATAGTCACAGCAGCGTGTCTCTCCCGGAGGAACTTTTTCCTCTGTAGCCAGCCACGGACGTGCTTTTGGATCACAATACAGCCCTGCCTCAGTTTATCCAATCGGAGTTTCTCTAGGTAAGCCACTTGTCCAGCTCGGAAGAAAATCTTGCTTTTGCCAAACTGGTATTGATTGGAATCCTGGAAGAGAAAAACACTGTTGATCGGAAACAAAACCTTTCACATTTCATCTTGCTTTCGGAAATGATAGCTAGAGATCCAAAGATTCCCAGACCATTGCTACATTGAAACTGTAAAGTAGAAAAAGTATAAGCGTGATCTAGAAACTTCTACTTGGAGTTGCTGGTTAGAGCAGTGGAGGAAGAAGTAGAGTTCGGGTTAAATGTCTACCAGCAAGGTAGCAGGGGCTGGAAACTTGCAGGTGCTTTTCAGTTGGGCTGCTGGAGAACGTGAGCCTCCTTCACTTGGAAGGATCTGGAGAAGTCTGGTGTTCTGTCTTGAGTATAGTTTCTTCTCACTAATCCCTTTCCTGGCCATTATGACTTCCTTTCTCTTCCCATTCTAATGTACCATGATCAGTAATCTAAAGCCACACTGAAGCTGGGCACCAGTGGCTCATGTCTGTAATCCCAGCTACTCAGGAGGCTAGGATCTGAGGGTCACAGTTCAAAACCAGCCTGAGCATTTAAGTCTGTGAGACTGATCTCCAATGAACCACCAAAAGGCTGGAAGCAGAGATGTGGCTCAAGAGGTAGCCTTGAATGAAAAATAACACCCTGGTTCAAACCCACAGTACTGGTGCAGACCGACAGACAGACAGAGCCACACTGTATATGTCATGCCTGAAGCTCCTAGGCTTGATTAGCCTCTGACCCAGATCGTGAAAAACTGGATTAGGAGACAGGAAGAATGAAGCAGGACTGGGCAGTGTTATAAGAGGCTGGCACTAAGGTTTGGGGCCCTGGAGGACATGGCTGGTGCCAGGACATCATGCCCGGCGAGCATGTCTGCTCTGTTCTCTTCAGTGGGCAACAACTTTCCTCTTGGGTGGTCATGACAAGCAGAGCCCTGAGCCTTGGAACAATGATGAAGAAATAGCTGAGTGGCCAGCTGCTAGTGGCTCACACCTATAATCCTAGTTACTCAAGAGACCAAGACCTGAGGATCTCGATTTGAAGCCAACTGGGGCAGGAAAATCTGTGAGAGTCTTATCTCCAATAAACTCAGAAAAGGAAGCGGCGCTGTGGCTCAGGTGACAGAGTACTAGCTTTGTGCCAAAGAAGCTCAGGGACAGCGTCCAGGCTCTGAGTTCAAGCCCCAGGACTGGCACATGTGTACACACACACACACACACACACACACACACACACACACACACACACACGAAATATCCTGGAGACCCACTTGTGGGAGGAGCCCATGTTTATAAAGGTGGGGACCACTGACCTGGATGAGCCTGTGCAAGACCACCTTGCACACTTCCTTTTTGTCACCAAAGGAGAGCTCCGGCTGGGTCATGAGGATGCCGTAGCGGCTGTAGAACTCAATGTATGTCCACCTGCAGAGTCAAAGCGGGGCGTGAGCGAAGTGCACCAAGAAGGAAGCTTTTGGGGGGGCCTCTGCCTCTCCTGCCTCTGCTGCTGGGTGGGGATGGTGGAGTTGGCTCTGGCAATGATGGTGATGACCTTGGGCCCCCACTAAGAGCACCCCAGTATGTGCGTCTGCTTCCTCCCCTTAGCCCCTCATCCCCGGCAGCAGGGTTGGGCTGGTAGCTTCTTCCCACATGCAGTGTGGGCTGTGGTTTACGTATGTGAAGTCTCCCCAGTGGCTCACGCACTGAAGGCACAAGCTTTCAATCCTCATAGGGATTACATTGACTTAACCAATGTGTTGATCATTGATGGAGTCATAATCTGATGTCATTAGAGCTTGGTTGAAGGAAGTCAATCACTGTCTGTCTCTCTGTATCCTGTCAACCATGAGGTGAAGCCACATTCCTCTAGCACGAGCTATCACGTTCTGTCTTACAGTATAGACCCAGAAGCAACAGAGCCAAGTGTCTATGGATGGAAACTTCCAAAATCATGAGCCAAAACGTACCCCACCACCCTGAAGTTGATCTCAGGTAGTCTGTTGTCATGATGGCAAGTTAACTAACACTCATGGCACACTGGTGGCTCATGCCTGTAATCCTAGCTACTCAGGAGGCTGAGATCTGAGGATCAGTGGAGGAAGGAAAGTCCATGAGCCTCTTACCTCCAATTAAGCACCAACAAAAGTTGGAAGTGGAGCTGTGGCTCAAGTGATAGGGTGCTAACTGAGCAAAAGTGTAAGGCCCTGAGTTCAAGCCCCAGTACCAGCAAAAACAGAGTAACAGTGTGTTTCTTACCCTGTGTGACCTTCACACAGGACAGGGGGAAGCTAGTTGGGGCTTCACAGAAGCCAATGGTATGTGGCAAACATGGCAATCACACCCTTGGTTCTTAGCATACTCCCGCAGCAGGAAGAAGGCTGAGTCAGTACCTGGATGGGTAGCTCTGGGCACTGATGCGAATCGTTTCTAAAACACCACAGGCTCGTAGCTGCTGGACAATCCTTTTGGAGTCAAACCTTAAAGAAGTCAATTGGGTTTTTTTTTTTGTGTCATTAGTCTATTTAACACACATATCTAGTACACCATAGGCGCTGGAGAGTTTGGCCCCTTTTCCCAGATGTTTTCCTGGTCTGTGATGAAGGTGAATTTAAAAACATCCTCACCGCCTTACTATAAAGGGGCAGTAAATCCAGATCAGTTATACAGTGAGTGACCACCGCTTGATTCCCACTGAAAATCATTCCTGGGACCCTCCTTATAGTGGCTCCAAGGGACCACGGAGGTGGCGAGCTGGGTTTACATGGAGGGGTCTGGACTTTGAGTTGTTAGGCAACAGGTTCAGGCCTTGTCCTGTGCCAGACACACCGCAGAGATTTCAGAAGAACCTGCGGGGTTGTCCAGAGATGGGGGTAGGGCGAGGCCTTTGGCTTCAAATGACAACCAGGGAGAAAGACGAGTATAAGCAGCCTCATTCCAGCACCCACTGAACATGGGGATGGCCTGTACAAAACTCCCAGCGGACACACAGACACACCCATCAGTCCCCAGGCCGCTCATGTCCCAGGTGTCTCTTATAGGTCCAGTGACTCTACAGGTTGTAGTCACAGATGCCAACACATCTTCTGACCCTCCCAACACACACATACACACACACACACACACACACACACACACACACACACACACTCGTGTGAATTCTTTCAATAATCAGACAAAAGAAGGGGGTTGATCTTCTCTGTTACAGACCATTATTTTGGGTCTCACCCTTTCCTTAGAACCCTGATGAGGAGACAATAGAACAGTAGGGCCATGGGAAGACATGGAGCCATGGGAAGATATGTAAAGAGAGACTTGGTTTTCATCATTAACAAAACCCAGAAGCAGCCAGGCACCAGTGGTTCATGCCTGTAATCCTAGCTACTCAGGAAGCTGAGAGCTGAGGATTGGGGGTCAAAGCCATGCCAGGCAGGAAAGTCTGTGAGATTCTTATCTCTAATTACCAAAAAAAAAAAAAGTCAAAAGTGGTGCTGTGGCTCAAGTGGTAGAGTGCTATTAAACAAAAGAAGCTATGGGACGGCACCCAGGCCCTGAGTTCAAGCCCCAGAACCAGAAAAAACAAACAAAAACAAAACAATACACCAAAAACCCAAAACCCAGAAGCAGAGTAAAATCTACAGACGTTCATTTAGCAAAGTGGCCAATGTCAGGACAGAAACTGCTTTTGCTTCAGTTTTTGGTCTCTGGGGCACACGGGCTACTTACTCGAAAGGCAACTTCTCATCATTTGGCTTGATGCAGCGAACGTAGTGGGGTGTGGTGGCGTTGAGGGTCTCCATGAGCAAGGACAGGGAGCTGCGGAACTAGGAAGTGGGAGGGGGGAGAGGGAGGGCAGTGTTCTGAAATCACTTCATGCTTAAGACCAAGGCAAAGTCAAGTCGAGCAGGGGAAGCTGTTCGACAAGAAAGGTTAATTTCATACATTGCCAGCTAGAAGGTGGGTGGGGAGGGGGTTCACCCCATGCCTGTGGTTGGTCAGCAGATCTACAGCTCTGTCCGATACCCCCAGATAACACTGCAGTGTGGTTCCCAGGGCCTGGTCTGCCCTGGCCCTTCACTCCCCGGTACCTTGCTTCCAACTGTGGTCCGGAAATGCCTGCTGTTGGGCTTGACGATCTGCTTTGCGGATCTAACTGTGATCATTGAACCGAAGGGGGAAGAAGGAACGGGATTTTCTTGAAAAAAGTTGGCGCACAGTTGGAACTGGAAGAAAAAGAGACGAGGTCAAATGGCTACCCATGTGTCTAGCCACAGTCCTCAATGATGGGAAGTAAAGAAAGGGTCACAGCTACTCAGTGTCTAGCTGTAGCCTGAGCTCAGTTACACAGGAAGATCCTCCTGGCTGGGAATGACCCTGGCTTCTCTTGCAGAACTGAGGACAGAGAGGACAGCAGAGACACAACTCACAGCCTCGTGCTCTTGCTTAGCCTTTTCTAGTCAAAGCTAGCGAGCTATCATTTGAGCCACAGCTCCACATCCAGTTTTTTAGTGGTCATTTGGAGATTAGAGTCTCATGGGCTTTTCTGCCCAGGCTGGCTTTGAACTGTGATCCTCAGATCTCAGTCTCCTGAGTAAGCTAGGTGCCACCAGCACCTGGCATTACTTTTTTTTTTTGTATTTATGCGCCTCAACTCATGGAGGTGGAGAGAGTCTTCGCTACAAATGTAGACCAGTGTCAATCACGCAGTGAGTAACACGGTGACCCTTGATGCTCTACAAACCTTGCTTTCCCTCAGGATTTCAACTAGCATGTCGTAGACAGTGTCCCTGTTCTTCTCAAGAAAGCCTTCACATTTATACTCCACCTGTTCAAGAAAATGGTAACATTTCCAAAGCAGATAGTATCCAAGTTTCATTTCTGTTTATTTCATTCTTTCCATCTTGCCCCTCCTCTCCTCTTCCCTCCTCTTCCCTTTCCTTTCCCTTGTTCCTTCCCTTCATTTCCCTTCCTCCCTCCCTCCCCTTCTTCTCTTCCCTTCTTCCCCTCCCTCCCTCCCTCCCTCCCTCCCTCTATTTGTCCCTTGTGGGAGCCATAACCATAAGACAAAGTAAATCAGACAGAGAGCTTTGTTGGTCGAGAGAGCATTTGTGGGGTCAGGGCCATTGGGATGCTGGGTACCTGTGTTGGGGACCCAAATCCCATCAGTAGGATTTTATCTCTTTGGCTGACTAAACTGAGAATCTAACCTAAGCTTGTAGGGTATGAGATTTCTTTTCCAACTACAAAATACTAGGATGTGCGTCTTAGAAGCAACTGTAAGGGAACAAAGCATCTAGACACTACATAGTATAAAGGGAAATGCATGAAGTAAATCCCCTGGGTATTTTTATTTATCTTTTGTGCCCCAAGAATGGCTTGAACTCAGGGCCTTGCATTCTGATTTGGCTTTTTGTGTTCTAAGGCTGATGCTCTACCACTTGAGTTACTGTTCCATTTTTGGCTTTTTGCTTGAAATAGGAGATAAGAGTCTCTCTGACTTGTCTACACAGGACTGGCTTCAAACTATAATTCTCAGATCTCCACTTCTTTGAGTAGCTAGGATTACAGGCATGAGCCACTAGCCCCTGGCTAATAATGCTATCTTGATTACTACAGTTTCATAGGAAAAATAGCAAAGAGATTAACGATCTTATAATCAACCAATAAACACACACAAAGGCCATTAAAACCCGTGTCATGAAGCTAATGTGAGACTCACCAGGCACCTGTACCCCCAGACACACAGGCCACCTTCATGGGGACACCAGGCCCCGGGGACTGGAGTCTGGCTTGCTCTCTCCAGGGTGGCTCAGTTCCTGGGTGGGCAGTCCTGTCACATACCTTATCAGCAAAGTGCTGGATGATAAAAGATGTGTTTGACATTCTAGGTTTTTCAAATAAAGAGTTCTTGTTGACAAAATTATTATACAGCTTTTGAAGCCAATTTTCATCCGTCCCGTGTGGTAACTGGAAGAGAGAAGCAAACCAAACAACAGGTGAAGAGAACCAGATGAATAATTACTAGGGATTTGGTGCCAGTAGCTTACACCCATAATACTAGCGAGTGCCCATGCGCACGTACACACACACACACACACACACACACACACACACACACACACACACACACACACACACACACACACACACACACCTGCACACTGGCTGCACACAATCTGAGAGGCCAGCCCACCCCTTGCTGGGTGTTACCAAGAATGGTACATACACTGAAAGTGGAAAGGTCCCCAGATTGTCTCCACCACCCAGGTGTCTGGTACAGGTTACTATTCTACAATTAATGTCCATTTAGTTGGGTAAGGCCTCTGGGTTATACAAATATGGCTCCCTGGAAAGACTTGTGGGATTTTTCCTGTGTGTGTTACGTTGATACTGGGGCTTGAACTCGTGTTCTCATTTGGCTTTTTTTACTCAAGGCTGGCACTCTAGCACTTGAGTCACAGCTCCACTTCTAGCCTTTCTGGTGGTTCATGGGAGGTACGAGTCTCTTGGATTTGTCTGCTTGGGCTGGCTTCCAACCTCTATCTTCAGATCTTCAGTCTCCTGAGTAGCTAGGATTATAAGTGTGTGCCACTAGTGTCTGGCTTGTTTTGCTATGCTCTTCTTTACTATTTAGAAGCTGACAAAAGCACTTAAAAGCAATTATCTAAAAAGTTACCAAGCATTCTTCATCCAGTAACTCCAAAATGCCCATTTTCGCTTCTATCAGGTCAATAACTGGCTGATTGTCATAAAAATCGATCAGAGTCCAAGGGATATCTTCCTTCATGTATTCTTCTTGTTCGAGTTTAAAGACATGCTGGGTGTGTGGAAGTTAACATGGGAAATAAAAACAGTATCAAGGTGAGATCAGATCCCAGAAGGAGCTGAGCACATAGGCCTCTAGACCTGTGGAGGAAGGGCTGCTTTATAGCGGGAGGCTGCGAAGTGCCAGGTCTGGTGCTGCTGACATCCCCTGGGACTTAGCTGTGGTGGTCCCACCATTGAGCCTATGTGACCAGCAGAGTAGAACAGGCACTCTGCCTGGTCCCAGAGCCCAGCCTGCTCTTGGCCATCAGCCATTGCGGCTCTCTATTATTTGAGTCAGCCTCTTTGGCCTGGTACAGCCTGGCTGCAGGGCTTGGGGTGGGGGGAGGCACTATTGGGGGATGCTGGCTATACAGCCAGTAAGATGCCTACTGCTTGCTCATCCTCAAGGGTAACAAGTACCTTCCCCAAGGTCAAGCATATGGCTCCGGCTTACCCAGAAGGATGAGGGAGAATGGGCAGCATTTGGGTGGGGGAAGGTGAGCAGGAAGAAAAGCCTTGGGAAAAGACACCTCCCCTCCTCCCCAACACACACACACATCAGGTAGTGGCCTGGTAGGTTCACTGTGTAAGGTACATGCAGGGGTAGAGGGGCACCGCTGAGGAGGGCGGAGGGGGATGGAGGGCAGATCACATGGGACTCCCAGGTCCTTCCTAGAGAGTTCAGGTCCTGTGGCCTTTCCATGGCTAGTGAGGACTCACTGAAGGGGGAGGAAGGAGGAGCAGCTCCATGTCTGAGAGTGGCTGTGAAGAGGGAAGGCTGGAGGCAAAGGAGATCAGGGAGAACTCGGCTGAGAGAGGCCAAACAGGCCTGGAGAGGAGAGGAGAGGAGAGGGCAGCGGACAGGATGAAGGCTGGGCTCAGGACACAGGACGGTGTGGCTGGCTTAACCAAGAGGATGGAGGGGAGGAAGGGGAAGAAGCCACGAGGGTGGCTTTCTCTCTCTCTTCCTTCCTTCCCTTTCTTTCTTTTTTCCCCTCTGTCTTTCTCTTCCTCTCTCCTTTCCTGCCAGTGACTCACTTTGCTAGGCAGGAGCCACCTACCCAGTCCTTTTGACTTTATTATTTTGCTTAGACCTTACCTCAGTCCCAAATCTTCCTATCTATGCCTTCTGCAGTGCCCAGGACTACAGAGAGGACCCACCATGCCACGCTTATTTGTTGAGATGAAGTCTTACTAACTTTTTGCTTAGACGGGCTTTCAACTGCAATCCTCTTAAGTCTCTGCCTCCTGAACAGCTAGGATTACAGGCATGCTGCACCACTACCCCCAGCTGCAAGTTCACTTCTCAACCTGTGGAGAATCTCCCGGGGCACATGGTTGCATGGCTTGGATGAGAACAGTCCTCTGTGCTGATGTGTGTAGGTACTGCCCCTCCCAGGAGGGGAGATGACTTAAGAGGAGGGAAAAAGGAAAAAGGAGAATGAGAAGAAGAGCAAGAGGGGAAAGAAAAGAGGAAAAGAAAAAAAATGTACTCTCTAGAGTTTCCGGAGGCATGGCTTAGGTGATTGAGGGTGCTTGCTCTAGTAATGCCAAAAAAAATGTAAAAAAGTTGCTGGGCGCTGGTGGCTCATGCCTATAATCCTAGCAACTCAGGAGGCTGAGATCCGAGGAACGTAGTTCAAAGCCAGCCTGGGCAGGAAAGTGTGTGAGACTCTTATCTCCAATGAGTCACCAGAAAACTGGAAGTGGTGTTGTGGCTCAAAGTGGGAAAGCACTGGGACAGAACCTAAGCCCTGAGTTCAAACCCCACAGCAAGGGTTGGGGCGGAGGGGAAAGGGTGCGAGATGGAAGGGTGCAATTTCAAGACCTGACCACAAGGGGGATGCAGAGACCCGATGAAACCGGAAATGCGGTTCCTTTAACAATCTGGAAATTTGAAGAGGGAGGGAAGCCAGGGGTAACTGGGCACCGCAGGGCTGAGGACTGAGGACTGAGTCACCTACCAGGTTAAACTGCTGTTGCAGCTTTTCATTAGCGTAATTGATGCAGAACTGTTCAAAGCTGTTCACATCAAAGGTCTCAAAACTGAAATAGAGTTTAAACACAGTTAAGATGAAAACAAGCAGCAGGACACAGGCATGCATTTACCATTGCTCTGTTCTCTGCAGGTTGTAAATATACCGCAGAGCTGCCAGCCTTAATATCTGGGCAGTCAGTTAATAAATTACCCTCCTGCTGCTTCTCCCCTGGAAGACATCTGGTTATGTACCAAGTGTCTATCCCAAACTAGGCATTAAACTAGGCATGCCACGATATGCTCTACCATTTAATGCACACACAGCTCTGACATCAGCATTATGATCTCAGTGTACTGACCAGGAAATGAGTCTGAGAGGCTAATCAACTTGCCAAAGGACCGACATTTTGTTACAACTTGGTCTTGTGTAAGTGTCAGTGCAGGGGCTTGAACTCAGGGCCTGAGCAATTTCCCTTAGCTTTTTTCGCTTATAGCTGGCACTCATACTTGGACCACAGTTCCACTTTGCAGCATTTTGCTGGTTAATTAGAGATAAGAATCTCTCAGCTTTCTCTCCCCGGGCTGACGTCAAACTGTAATCTTCAGATTTTAGCTTCCTGTGTAGCTAGATTTACAGGTGTGAGCCACTGGCATCCAGATGAATTGATCTACTCTTCAAATAAAGGGCTGCAATTTTTCAAAAGTATTTTTAAGATGGAAAAGAACGTGGAAAAAACAGCAATTAATCACATATTTCCACCTCAATAAAATGGACTGTTTTTAGCCCCACTATCACGTTTGCAAAATTTTCTTACATGTTTACTGGCTACTCAAGCCTATTCTTAGAACAAGACAAAGGAGAATCATTTCCTGGCTTATGTGGGCAATGCACTGGCATTTTATAACTGTTGACATACTCTTATTAATGGGGAGCCATAGGTATTCAATTAGATCTAAATTAAATAGTAACTCCCTGTTAGCATCATCTCACCTGGCACAGGTAGATGAGAGACTGGCCTCCCAAGTTCTCCACCACCCCACCCCACCTCACCCCTGGGCCACTGCTGGGACTCAGGTGAGGGCCCAGGGTGTAGCTCTGGCTTTCTATGGGGAAGGGGCAGGTGAGCACTGTCATCAGGGTGTGGTGATGTCTTTGGGGGACAACTTTCCTTTCTTCCTCTGAGAAGCCAGGCCTGGTCCTGGAGGCCAGGTACCAACAAGCAAAAGCTCTGAGAGAGGAACTTGGGCGGCTCCGCCCTCAGTCTCTCCACCTTGTCCCAGCCGCCACCTTATTGTCACTCTGTAGCTATCTCAAGCAGGAGCTGGGAGATGGGGGTTCGGGAAGGAGGGTGCTGGAGTGCTGGTCTTTTGGAGGAGGGGGAAATGAATGGCAGACATTAGCATGCAAGGCCTTACTTAGGAAGTGAGAGTGGTGGACAGAGCCTGTGTCCTGCAGTAAGGCCAGGTGCTAGCGTGCCAGGACCCTCTCCCCACTGAAGGGGGGAAGACACAGCAGATTTTGTCTTGGGGTCTCTAGAAAAAATACAGAAGGTGAGAGCCAGCTGGGCGCCAGTGGCTCACGCCTGTAATCCTAGCTACTCAGGAGGCTGAGAGCTGAGGATTGCAGTTTGAAGCCAGCCCAGGCAGGAAAGTCTGTGAGACTCATCTCCAATGAACCACCAGAAAACCGGAAGTGGCGCTGTGGCTCAAGTGGTAGAGCACTCACCTTGAGCTGAAGAGCTGAGGGACAGCGCCAGACTCAGCGTTTAAGCCCCATGATGGACATAAACAAAAAAAGCAAAAATAAAAACAGAAGGTGAGAATCTCACTTAGGGCTGGGGTGTCCCACCCAAGGAGCAGCTGTGGATCCAAGCGTTGCTTGTGGCTTCTCTGAAGAGGGCAGTGTCACCAGGTTGTTTGAGGATTAAGAGAGAAAATCCACAGAGGCGGATCACATGGGCGCTGGTACATAGTGAGCTTTCATGATGGCCCTTATTAACTTCCCACTTATTCCATGTGCTCTTTAATAAAAGCCACCATGGCCAGGAGAGAGAGAGAGAGAGAGAGAGAGAGAGAGTGTGTGTGTATGTGTGAGTGTGTACTGAGCCAGGGCCATTGTTCCTTAGCTTTTTCACTCAAAGTTGGCACTCTATGACTTGAGACACAGCTCCATAGCCAGCTTTTTGCTGGCTAACTGGAGATAAGGGTCTCATGGACCTTCTTGACTGGGCTGGCTTTGCACCATGATCCTCAGATCTCAGATTCCTCACTAGCTAGGATTACAGGCGTGAGCTACCAGTGCCCAGTCAGGAGACTGTTCTTTTTTTTTTATTTCCAGTCATGGGCCTGAACTCTGGGCCTGGGTGCTTGTCCCTCAGCTCTTCAGCTCAAGGCGAGTGCTCTACCACTTGAGCCACAGCGCCACTTATGGCTTTTTCTGCTCATGTGGTACTGAGAAATCGAAGCCAGGGCCTTATGCATGTGAGGCAAGCGCTCTACCCCTGAGCCCCCTTCCCAGCCCAAAGAGACTTCTTAACATCGACCCATACAAAACAGAGATGGCCATCTTCATCATCGTGCAAAACTCCAAAGAAGAAATAGAAGAAAATGATTTTTTAAAAAAAATAACAAGGACATTTGACACAAAACGAGGAAAGAGGGACTCACTGAAGAGACTCTTACCCATAAATGTCCAAAACACCAATAAAAGTGTGCTGCTTGCCTGAAAACTGCAAGGCTTCGTTAATTTTCTCCACAATGAAGTCGAACAGGTGCGCGTAGATCTTTTTGGCCAGCGCGTCTCTGGCGTTGCTGGCCTGGGCTCTGGTCATGGGTTTCACCACGGTCTCAGAGCTGGTGACGATCTTGCGGTTGCAGAGCCACTGAGACACTTTGCCACGCGCCAGGCCCAGGAGCTCGCAGAATACCTTCAAGTGATCGTCATCCTCCTTCAAAAGCAAACACAAGCCCTGTCAGAGCCACCTGCTGTCCACAGGGCGAGAAGAGGAGCCCCTGCTCTGGCCCGAGAGACCAGGGACAGCTGGAATGCTAGGGCAGGGCTGCCAGGCCCCACTGGAATAGAACTCATTAGAATAGCAGGTGAGGCTGGGTGCTGGTGGCTCCCGCCTATAATCCTAGCTACTCTGAAGGCTGAGATCTGAGGATGGAAGTTCCAAACCAGGTGGGGCATCCAAATCCAAGAGTCTTATCGCTAATCAACCTGCAAAAAGCCGAAGTAGAGGTACAGTGCCAGCAGTTGAGTTAAAACAACAACAATAAAAAAAAAATCAAGAGAGAGCATGAGGTATCGGCACAAAGACAAAACAAAGTAGCAGGGAAGGTGGTGGACACCATCACCCCTGCACACATGCAGGCTGCCACAGCTCCCAGCCCCGCCCTGCCCCTGTGCAGCAACTCTACAACTGGCCACCTGTCAGCACGAGCACTCTCCCTGCCCCACCCGTGCGGCTCAAAAGTGTCACTGCCAGTCGGTGTGTGTGTGTGGGGGTGGGGGGCGGTTTCCCCTAGCTTCTCAGTGACACAAAGGCTGTGGTGGAGATTCCTGAGCCCCGGCATGAGAGCAGCACCATCACCTACAGACCAGGAGAGGGACAAGGGTTCCCGATGGTCTTCAGCCGTGGCAGACTGGGGGCTCATGTCACTGGGGACGGATGGGGGGTACTGAGCCATGATCTTTCCCCCCAAGCCCAGAACTCCCCAGGCGGGCCCCATCCTAGACAAGTGGCAGTTTGGGAGGGGGGGCAATCTAGGCAGTGCCACGCCCTCTTTAGAGTGACATCACAGCAACCTCCTACCGTGGACCCATGGGATGGCCATGGCCATGGGCCATTGGTCTACATCCTTCTAAGAAGGAGCCAAAACTTCTAAGACAAAAAAGCCAGTCCTGGATGACAGTGGCAACAGTACTTCGTCCTGCCTCCAGGTGGGACTGACCTAGGGCTTCATAAATGCTAGGTAAGTGCTCTACCCCCCTAAGTCATATTGCTATCCAGGAAGAAAAATAAGGCAATTGTGTTTTTAAGAAGATGGTTTAGCCCGGCTCTGGTGACTCACACCTGTAATCCTAGCTACTCAGGAGGCTGAGTGCTGCAGGATCTTGATTTGAAGCCAGCCTGGGCAGAAAAGTCCCCATGAAACTCTTCTCTCCAGTTAAGCACTCAAAAACCAGAAGTGGCACCGTGGTTCAAGTGGTAGAGCACTAGCCTTGAGCAAAAGAGCTGAGGGACAGCACCCGGCCCTGAGTTCAAGCCCCACAACTGAAAAAAAAAAATGGTTAGCTAGGTAAGGGTGCTTATGTCTATAATCCCAGCTACTGAGGAGGCAGAGAGCAGGAGGATTATGGTTCAAAGACAGCCAAGGCGAAAACCTGAAACATGTTAATACAAAGGTTTAGAGGGGAGGGGAGGGCAGGGGCGGGGCTCAGTGGTACAGCACTAGCCTCGCATGCAGGAGACTCTGGGAGCCAGCTCCAGCGCTGTGTGTGTGGGTGTTGGTAAATGATGTATTTCATATAGCTTTTTGGGGGATGGGGTATCAGTATTGGGATTTGACCAGCTCGAGATCTTGCACTTGCAGGGCAAGTGATCGCAGATACATTTTTTTTCTTCTTTATGTGAACACTAGTGGCTCTCGGGGAACTCAGGCCACCCACAAAACATCACGACTAACTATTCACGCAGTATTTGTGCAGTATTCAGTGAACCTTACGTCTAAGTGAAAAGGAAGTCTATTCTAGAACTCAGAACACATTCGCTCAGCAGGGAAGCCAGCGCCTGTGATGGTGGAGGAGTGGTCCCTTTTGCTCCAATCTATGCAGTGACCTTGAGACCCTGCCCACCTGCCACTCTCATCTACCCATGCCAGCTTCCCGTCCCACTCTCTCCCACCCCTCTCTGGGATACAATGACGTCTCTGTCCTTCCTCTCCTATTCGAGGGGGCTTCACCTTTGCCAGTCTCTCTGCTTTGAATATTCTTCCTGCTGACATGGGTAGGACTTGCTTTGTCTCCTTCAAGCCTCTGCTGCTTCCCGCTTACAAGAAAGCCTTTCCCAGAGTGCCCTGGGCAAAAGGCACGCACTCTGCAGCCCCAAATCTGTTTTGCTTTCGTTCCTAACAGTATCACCAGCACCTGCTACCCCTCCCCGCCCCACCGACATTTGTGTATTGTGTCTCCCTTTCCTCCTGTCATGAATGTCTTCCTAATTCAGCTCCATGCTGCTTTCCCAGGATCTACATTGGCCAGTAGGGACCCTTTTAATTTTATTTATTTACATTTTTTTTTGTCGGTCATGGGGCTTGAACTCTGGGCCTGGGCACTGTCCCTCAGCTCTTCACCTCAAGGGTAGTACTCTACCACTTGAGCCACTGTGTCACTTCTGGTTTTCTGAGTGGTTTATTGGAGGTAAGAGTCTCACAGCCTTTCTAGCCCAGGCTGGCTTTGAACCATGATCCTCAGGTCTTAGCCTCCTGAGTAGCCAGGATTACAGGTGTGAGCCACTGGCACCTGGCTTAAGAATTTTTTTTTTAAATAGAGAATGCACTATTACCCCCATCCTCCACTGTTACAAGCAGAGGAAGCTGAACTCTTTGAAGACAATCCTTGGAAAACCCTTCTTCCTGGTTCCTGCTAAACCAGTCTGCCCAGCAGATCCAACAGCCAGTGCCCAGTGCTCAAATGCAAAGGCAGGTCAGCCACTGTGGGCGTGGCCTGGGGCCCCAGGAAGGCAGAGCAAGCTGGACTCACACTGATGGAAGACCGCTCGCTGCCCACCCCGGCGATCTGCACGTTGCCCAGATGCAGGATGGCGGCCAGGATGGTGAAAACATCCATCTGAAAATCCTCCTTGAAACCTGGAAACAGACATTTTCCCCAACTCAGGAACACTGGGCCTCTTCTTGTCCCAGTAAGAGAAGCTCATGGGTTCCTCCCAAGACACTCCTGCAAGCTACTCAGTGCCAACAGCTGGGACAGGGGACCTGAAGGGGAGCCGGGGACAATCTGACTCACCGCTCTTTGCTATTTGTCCTGTCTGTGAGGAGATCATCACACCCACTCACCACCGTGCACCTGTTGTAGCTTTTGTTTGTTCTAGGTGGTTGAGTGAGTGCGTGATGGGTTGTTTGACTGACGCCGTTCCTCAGATTTGAACTCAGGGCTTCACATTTGTTAGGCAAGTGCTGTACACGGACTGGCTCCCTACCTCCACCTGTGTTGTTGCTGGGACCACCATGGCCTCCTCCTCTAGCCCCTTTGTTGAGGGTCCTGGGGTTTAAACTCAGGGCCTTTCCCTTATTAGGCAGGCCCTCTACCACTTGAGTCTTGCTCCCAGCCCTTCTTGGTTTAGTTATTTTTTTCATAGAGGATCTCATGCTTTTGCCTAAGTTGGACTTAGCCCATGATCCTCCTACAGCTGACTCCCAGGTAGCTAGGATAAGATGTGTATGCTTTGCCCTTGGCTTGTTGTCTTTTGAGATACGGTCTAGATGACTTTTGCTCAGGTTGGCCGCTGACGCTACCTCCTGAGCAGCTAGGATTACGGCAAAAGGACTGAGAACAAGTAGAGGCCCCAAAAGTTCAATCTCCAAGACCACTTCTCCCACACACCTGACACTCAAATCAGAATTTCATGGGAGTCTTCGAGACACATACATGCTCCTGGCCACCCCTTTCCTTTCCTCCCCTCTTCTTCCCTTCCCTATTACCCTTCCCCTCCCTTACCTTGCCCTCTCTTATCTCTCTTTCTCACTCTCTGTCTGTCTGTCTGTCTGTATGTCTCTAAGTGGTCACCCCTTTGGCTAGGACATTTTATTACTCACCCAAGAGTGCAAATGTCTTCTGAGTCTCTACCATGTCCGCTCTGTCATTCACACCCTCGATGAGTGTACTGCCTCCCATGCTCGTGTAGTGAAACTCTTCTGCACTCCCTGAAAGAAAATTATTAGTCCTGCCCATGGCACATAAATTTGGACACACATGGCAATTAGAAAGAAGGGAAGGCAAAAGGGCTGGGGGGTGTGGCTCGAGTGGTAGAACGCTTGCCTAGCAAATGCAAGGCCCTGAGTTGAATCCTCAATAATGCTGGGAATGGAAGGGGGCAGGGGTAGGGGAGGAAGCCTGGGGCTGCAAGTATGTGCTGCCCAGATTCATGGTCTCACCCCAGGGATTCTTGCAACCATTCCACCCCTGAAGCTGAAGGATTCTCTTTCTTTGGGCAGAGACACACCATTAAAAAAAAAAATGTGATAGCTGGGTACTGGTGGCTCATGCCTGTAATCCTAGCTACTCAAGAGGCTGAGATCTGAGGATCTTGGTTTAAAGCCAGCTTGGGCAGGAAAGTCCATGAGACTCTTATCTCCAATTGGCTACCAGAAAACCAGAAGTGGCCCTGTGGCTCAAAGTGGTAGAGCACTAGCCTTGTGCAAAGAAGCTTCCTATGACAAAAATAAATAAATAAATGAATAAAAAATGTTGTGCTATAATCATAAGCAGAAATTCATGAAGAGTTTAAAGCTTTTTAGAAAAGAGACCCTGCCACATACCATACATCCATCACGTACTTAGTTTAAGATGTTTAAACTCCGACTGCTGTGCAGATGCACACAGCTGGTAGAAAATGTGATAATTCCGTTCATTTTCTGACTGAAAAATAAAGAAAAGACCCTCAATTATTTCCAGCCCAGTGGAAAAGGCCAGGTTTCCACTAGGGGGCGAATCTGGATGAATATCATTTGTAATCCTAGATACTCAGGTAGGTGAGATCTGAGGATCAAGGTTCAAAGCCAGCCAGGGCCATCCCCAAACTGGATGCAAACTTGAGCTATGGCTCAAGTGGTAGAGCATTAACCTTGAGCAAAAAAGCTTAGGGACAGCATCCAGGCCCTGAGTTCAAACCCCAGGACCAGCACAAAGGAATAAAAGAAAGGAAAAAAGAAAAAAAGAGAGACAGAAAAGAAAAAGATTGCAAAAAAATTAGAGCAGCTAAGAATAGCTCAAGGCTAGCAGAACTCTACCACGCGAGCCACAGCTCCATTTCCAGCTTTTTTGGTGGTTAATTGGAGATAAGAACCTTACGGATTTTCCTTCCTGGGCTGGCTTTGAACTGTGGTCCTCAGATCTCAGCCTCCTGAGTAGCTAGGATTATAGTCGTGAGCCACTAGCTCCCAGCTTAAATTTTTATTAGCATAAATTAATCGTACAAAGGGGTTTCACTAAGGTAGGTACATGTGTTTACTTTGTTCAATTTCACTCCCTTTAGTTTACTCTTTTACCTCTCTCTTCTACCCCCATCTTTTGAAGGGTTTATAGTGGGTTTCATTATGCTGTTTCTATATATGTATATATTGTATGTCTAGCAGGTTCATTTCCTGCTCTCACCCTATCCTTTTCTTCTATCCCTAACGATTGGTTTCCTCCCGATGTTACTTTTTACAATCATGCATTATTATTATTGATAGTAATAATAGTACTTATTAAGTCTAGACAGTTTTTCAGCTTTGGGTTTATAGAAAAATGGACTAAACTTTTTTTTTGAGCATTAAAAAGTTGAGGGCCTGAAGATATAGTTCCAGTGATGGAGTTTTCCCTAACTCTAGGTCCTGAGTTCAATCTCCAAGACCACAAAAAGAAAAGTTGAAAAGTTCTGCCCCTGTCTCATAATCCAAAGAAACTGCCCAAAAGGTTTTGTTTTGTTTTCCACAGCAAGCCAGGATCTCTGGCCCTGAACTTTATATCTTGCATATACCAGCCAAGGGCTCTACCCTGGAACTATGCTCGCAGTCCTCAATTTTTGATGTTTAATAAACAGAAATGAAAGAAAAAGAGAGAGAGGAATGACAGAAGGGAAAGGAAGGAAGGGAGAGAGAGAAAGAGAGAAAGAAAGAGAGAGAGAGAGAGAGAGAGAGAAGGAAAGACAGATCTAAACTGCAAATGAGAAACAGGAAAACTCCATTCTTCAAGTCCCAGAACAATGGAGGTGGCCTAGAGAGCATCTCGGTGTGAATGAGGAGCTTGGGAGGAGGCTTTGGCTAACTCTCGGCTCTTACTTGGAAGACAACTCTGGATTTCTCCAGCAGGTAGGTTCTCATGTTGGCCCCTATGATCTGATTGCTCTTGTCGAAGCTGACTTCTGTGTACTTCCCAAACCGACTGCTGTTGTCATTGCGCGTGGTCTTAGCATTCCCCACAGCCTAGGAAACACAGGGCTTTCCTGAAATAACAAGCTTTGAAGATCTTTATGCCCAGGTGCCAGTGGCTCACACCTGTAATCCTAACTACTCAGGAGGCGAGCTGAGGATTGTGAGTCAAAGCCAGCCGGGGCAGAAAAGTCTGTGAGACTTTTCTCTCCAATTAACCACCAAAGAGCAAGATGTGAAGCTGTGGCTCAAGTGGTAGGTCGTGGGGTTCAGAGAGTGTGGGACTTAGCCTGCCTATCTGAGACTCTGCTCTCCATCCAGAACGCACCACCACCTCCAGCACACTGCCCACTCCTTCTGCGGCCGTACCCACCTCGGTTATGGGATTGGATGCTAGGACCTTGTCCTCCACGTGAGCCTTGCTGCTCGATTTGCTGACGGTGGCGAAGTACCTCATGGCATAGCGGGCTGACACCGTCTTCCCTGCACCTGACTCTCCACTCACAATAATGGACTGGTTACGATGGTTTCTAAAGCAAACAGATAAGCAAACAGGCCGGGCTGGGCAAGAATAAGTTAATGAGACCAACTCCCCCATCTGAAAAGTAAATTCAAGTGTGGTGTTGCATGCTTATCTTTGCAGCTAATTAGGAGACAGAGGGAGAAGGACCAAGATCTGAGGCCAGCCTGGGGCAAAATGCACAAGACTCTATCCAGAAAAAAAAAAGAACTAAATGGAAAAAGGCTTATATGGCATCATGCCTGTCCAACAAGGCCCTGAGTTGAAAATGCAGACAAAAATAGAAGGGAAAACCAGATTCTTTAGTCTACACAATTCAGTAACTTTCTGATATCGTCTTTTTTTTCTTTCCTTCTTTAATGTGATCATATAGAATGGACTCTCCTGTCTCCTGGCATGTTGAGGGTGCCCTAGACAAATCCCAGGTTCAATGACTCCCCAGAAGCTCTCAACATTGTAGTGATGAGCCAGCACTGGCTTGGTCCTGAAGAATAGGGTCTCACTCTGGGGATGGGGGAGCTGATGTCACCGGATCTTTGATGACCTGGACAATGTCCAGCCTAGTCCATCTCTGCAGGAAAGAAGCACCATGTTCACGGCACTGCACTGTCCTTAGGGTGACATTGTCCTAGCAGGTCCAGGTCCTGTGCCTCAGTTTCTCATCTATGAAGTAGAGGCAATGGTAGTAGCACAATGGACCCAGAGGAGACCATTGACTGGGAAAGCTCTTTTGCAAAATGCAAAAGGGATGAATAACGTTAACATGGTGGATTTTGGGGGGGGGGGGAGAATTAATTTGCCATACTGGGGATTGAACTTGGGGTCTCCCGTTTGTCAGGTAAATGTTCACTCATATCCCCAGTCCTTTTGCCTTTAGTTTGCTTTGCAGATAGGGCCTCATCCAATAGGATCCCCCTATTCTCTGCCTCACAAGTAGCAGGAACTATAAGCATGAACCACTGTGCCTGGTCTTTCACAGTTACTTTTAATGAGTCTAACTTAGATATATGCCTTTATTGGGGGAGGGGAGGGTCAAACTAATGCAAGGGTGTTGGGAGAGCTGGAACAGAAGTCAGTCTAGCAGGACGCTACCTGGCCATCTGCTTGTAGGCCTCTTCTGCCACTGCGAATATGTGCGGATCCATATCGCCCATGTTCTGCCCGCTGTAGGCGTGGATGATGGCGTCTCCGTAGATGGGCAGCTGCTTGTAGGGGTTCATGGCCACCAAAATGATTCCTGCAGAAAGAGGGGAGAGCAGACACAAGATCCTTAACAGTCATACACTGCTGTGGCCAGCAGCTGTCCCCCAAAAGTTCACACGCTACAGATTCAATGCCCAAGATCATATGTTAATGGCAATGGAGGCGGGGACTTGGTGAGGTCCTGGGGGTGAGGCCGCTGCAATGGCATTAGTGGCTTTGTGAGAAGAAAAGAGGTCTGAGCCACCGGCTCGCTCTGTGTCACCTGATGTAGCAGGAAGCACTTGAGAGATGCCAGCATCAAGCTTTTGGACTTCCCAGACTCCGGATCGATAAGCCAAGAAAACTCGTATGCTCAACAAACTACCCAGTCTCAGGTATTTAGTTACAGTAACAAAAATCAGAGCAAAATACCCATTTCTCTCTAGATTCTTTGGAGGAAAAAAAAAAAAACCTCCCAGCTCTCTCACTTACTAAACCTGCTTGACCTTAGTCAAGTTGCTTAGCTTTGTGTGTGTGTGTGTGTGCCAGTCTTGGAGCTTGAACTCAGGTTCTAGGTATTGTCCCTGAGCATCTTTTGCTCAAGGCTAATGCTCTAATACTTGAGCTACAACTCCACTTCTGGCTTTTTTTTTTTTTTTTGGAGATAAGAGTCTCATGGACTTTCCTGCCCGGGTTGGCTGTGAACTACGATCCTCAGATCTCAGCCTCCTGAGTTGCTAGGATGACAGGTGTGAGCCACGGGCGACCATCAAGTCACTTAACTTTTGGATCTCAGTTCCTTGCATACCACTTTTCGATGCTGGGGAGCAGATGAGATTTACAATTCCCCATGTAGGTGCGATCAGCCCATCAATCTCTCAGTAAGCACAAAATGCAGAGTCTAGTGTGACCCTCATGACCTCTGTTTCCCTCGGTCCTCCATTCTTGGTTCTCATGGGAAGTTCTCCATGGAGACACGTGTCTTGGTAGAAAGTCTCCGAGCTCAGCATAGACACCAGGGAAGGTGTGGTCAGGATCCCAAGTCCAGCAGGCACAGGCCTGGGCACCCTTCTCCACGTCCCAGCGCACGCGCATGCGCTCTCTCTCCTTACCGCTGTAGGTATAGATGAGCTTGGACTCTGCAAAGCGGATGCGAAGGTTGTGGAGCACGGCGGGCTCGTGGAGGTAGCTGAGGGCCGTGAGGTCGTTCTCGCCCACAAGGATGTCGGGGTTCCGAAGTGGAGGCAGTGAGCCTGGGTCCACGGGATAATCCAGCTCCTGTGGACAAAGTTTTTTGGGGTGAGGGTAGGGGGGGTTGTGCTGAATCTCCATCCTTCCTCCCCCTCACCTCCCACGGAGTCGTCACTAACACAGAAAAGCAAAGCTGAGAGCAGAGAGAGAGAGAGAGAGAGAATCATCATCTCCACAGGTCACTCTTAGAGGAAAGAAAAGTGGGGGCCTGGGGACCAGCATACAAAAAAGAGCCAGGCGCCAGTGGCTCACGCCTGTAATCCTAGCTACTCAGGAGACTGTAATCTGAGGACTGCAGTTCAAAGCCAACCCAGGCAGGAAAGTCTGTGAGACTCTTATCTCCAACAAATTACTCAGAAAAAGCTAGAAGTAGTGGCTCAAACGCTAGCCTTGAGCACAGAGAGGCTCAGGGACAGAGCCCAGGCCCTGAGTTCAAGCCACTAGACTGGCAAAGAAAACAAAATAAATAAATAACAATGTAGAGGACACATCCTAAGGTCCCTTCCAGCTCCAAGGCTGCTGAATCTCTGCTCAGCTGACATGGTGGCAAGACATATCTGAAGACGCCCACGTGGCTGGCAACCACTCTGTCAGGCCCCTGGCCTGGCGATTGCTGCCTGTAGTCTGCCGCAGGCCAAGGACCCACAGATCCCTCCAGGATCTCCATCCCTACCATCCTCAGCCCTGGGCTGGTCCTTTGTTACCAGATTTAACTTAGTTTTCCAGAGCAGTGGCTGCACAGAATGCAAATGAGGTGGGTGTCCCCAATGGTGCCCACAACAGATGAGCAGACCCTCCAAATGCTTGCAGGTTTTAAGATTGGGGGGAACGGGGGGGAGGGAGGGAGTATAGCCCGGAGAGGTTGAGTGACTTAAGCAAGGCCGCCCAGCACACCTGTTCAACTTCCTGCTAGTTATCTAGTATGGCCTAGCTTCCTTTGTGACCTGGTTCTCAACCAGCTGCCCATTGGCACTGCCACCATATAGACCCATGCCAAGTACTCAGCATTGGCTGGACCAGTTAGATAGAGGGAGGTGGGGGGAGATGAGTTGGGGTCAGAGAGACAGGGCTTGCTCTCAAGGTTCTGGGGCTGATGCCAGCCTGGCTGTGAAGTCCGGGAGGTTTTATGAGCTCCACACCCCCCCCTCCCCAGTCAGTGCCCTGAGGGCTCGGATGGTGGGGGCACTGCATGTTTACATCTGGTGAGGAATCTGGGGGCCATCTTGGAAGCAAGAGAAGGAACTCAAAAGGAAGGTCTGCAGGTGAAGTTGTGTGGCAGCTTCCCATGCACGTCCACGGGAGGGCCCCCAATCCCTGACACTCCACTCCACCTGTATTTAGAGAATTAAATCTAGAAAGAAGCTTCTCACAATGAATGTTACGTGTGTGCGTGTGTGCCAATTCTGGGGCTTGACCTCAGGACCTGGGCACTGTCCCTGGGCTTTTGTGCTCAAAGGCTAGCACTCTACCATTTGAACCACAGCGCCACTTCCAACTTTGTGGTGGTGAATTAATTGGAGATGAGTCTTATGGACTTGCCTGCCTGGGGCTGGCTTTGAACTGGTATCCTCAGATTTCGGCCTCCTGAGTAGTTAGGATAACAGGCGTGAGCCACTGGTACCTGGCTTGCACTGTTTTTAATTAATGAGCCCCATTTCCAGTTCGGCCATGCTGTGAGGCACGTGGGGGAGAAGCAGAGGAGAGGAAGAGAGAAAGGAAGTCTGAGACCAGTGGCTAGGGGGATTGGGGAGAGGTGGAGGCAGGGGGGGACATTGCCTTGCACAAAGCAGGCTTTGTTCTCCATGGTGCCCGGAAGGGTTGAGGTAAAGAACCACAGGCTGCCAGCCCTGATCCTGCCTCTCCCCCATGGGGAGAGAAGTCGCAGGAAGCCCTGCGGATACCCCAAGCAGCACAGAGCCACTGCGGCCCTGTCCCCAGGAAATGTGCCAGGCCAGGGAACGGCCAGGCTGCAGTCGGATCACAGCTGGCACTCCTCATGTCCCCTCTGCACCCCACTATTTTTCCCATGGTGGTAGTTCCACGGGCTTCTCACCGTGCCATCCTCCAGCAGGAGCCGCAGGACTTTGTCACCAGCTCGGTAGTCCTTGGCTATCTCGGCAGACTTCCAAACTTCTTCAGGATCCGGAATCCAAACCCTGTTGTACTGAAAGACGAGACAGACTTCGTTCCCGCCTTTCAACGCTTGGCTGCGCACAGGAAGGTTTCCCCCATTAGGGTTGCTTCTGCCTGCTTTCCACCCACGAGGTCATTCTTTACTGTCTGTATATGCCATGGGCCAACAACTTTTTGCTCTGGGTATTTATTTCTTTATTATTTATTAATTTATTGTCGGTCGTGGGGCTTGAACTATGGGCCTGGGCACTGTCTCTGAGCTCTTCAGCTCAAGGTGAGTGCTCTACCACTAGAGCTACAGCACCACTTCAGGTTTTCTGGTGGTTGGAGATAAGAGTCTCATGGATTTTTCTGCCCGGGCTGGCTTTGAACCATGATCCTCAGATCTCAGCCTCATGAGTAGCTAGACTTACAGGTGTAAACCATGGGCACTTGGTGCTCTGATTATTTTTTATTTAAGGCTCCCCCAAGTCAGCATGAGCTGCAGTTCCATTTATGCTCATGTGGCTGGGATGAAAGTGTTATCTAGTAAGATTGGGGGGGAGGGACGGGGAGAGAGGTGGTATCTCATGCACTTTTTGCCTAGGTTGGCCTGGAACTTTGATCCTCCCAATCTAAGCCTCCTGTAGCTATGACAGGTATGAGCAACTGTACCTGGCTGACCGAGACAGTGAGAGAGACAGAGAGAGGGGGAGGGATGGAGGGAAGGAAGGAGAAAATAAAGGAGAGAGAAGATGAGGAAGAGGAAGAGAAGGAAAGCAAGGGGAAGAAGAGAGGGAGGGGGAGGGGAAGAAGGATAAGAAAGGGGAGAGGGAGGGTGAACGCAAGAAAGACTTACCAGCCAATGACAAATTCTTCAGTACAGATACCGTAGTGGACAGAACCTCCCAAATATAAACACAACTCTGAGACACAGCCGCACCCGCCACTCCCACACATATCCTGGTTGCTATAGGCTGTATATTCCCTATCTCAGGTCTGCTATTAAAAATGTTTACTAGCCAGGTGTCAGCAGCTCACGCCTGTAATCCTAGCTATTCAAGAGGCTGAGATATGAGGGCTGCATTTTGAAGCCAGCCCAGGCAGGAAAAGTCCGAGACTTATTTCCAATTAAGCACCAACAAAGCCAGAAGGGGAGCTGTAGCTCAAGTGGTAGAGCACTAACCAGCCTTGAGCACAAAAGAGCGCCCAGGCCCTTAATTCAAGCCTCTGGACCTGCACAAAAAGAAAAAAAAAAAAGTTTACTGAGGCTGGGTGCTGGTAGCTCACGCCCGTCATCCTAGCTAGTCAGGAGGCTGAGACCAAAGGACTATGGTTCAAAGCCAGCTCAGGCAGAAAAAAAAATCTGTAAGACTTCCATCACTGGTGAACTTGCAAAAAGCCAGGTTGGAAGTATGGAGCGAGGAAGTGGTGGCACAAACTCAAGAACCTGAGTTCAAATTCTGTACCAGCAAGGGGGAAAAAAGTTTATTAATAACCCCATGAAGCTCAAATACTTACAATAGAAGGGGCCATTTATCAAGAAGGGGCCAGGATAACATTTCAGAGCTGAAAAGCTCCCTGAAAATGACCCCTTCCAGATGCAGAGAGCCAACTTCAGCCAAAATGGTGGCATTCTATCATGTCACAGGGGTAGAAATGGAGGGGTGCGGCTGGGCCCCAAGTGCTTGAGGTCTTTCTGTGGAAAGCCCTGAGAGGTCACGCACGTCAAGTCCCCGGGCCAATCAGTGTCCTGTGTTTCACTGATGTCTCAAGGCCAGAGAGGGCCGGAGCTCACCACACGCCACACCGCAAATCTCAAAGGACCAGAACGCCACTTGGTGCCATGCCAGCGACTTCAGGGTCGCGTTTGTTCGTCGAGGCTGGACCTCAGGGTCAACCTGAGCTCCACAAGCTGCCAGGCATTTAGGGCGCTGCAGCCGGGCCCAAGCCTGGTAAGTCAATAACACAAGTTGACTCAGCTCCACGGATGGGCTGCCGGTTCAGGCCTCCCTTCTCCATCAGCTGCAGACAGGGCGAGGGAGCCGACGCTGCAGCATTGGGACAAATAATGGGAGCAGTTCTCAGGGCGGCAGCTTCCTGTGAGGCAGAACCTTCCATGGCAGGGGACCAAGAACAGATGAGGCCATGCTGTCCCAGCCTCGGCCAGTCCTCCCACAGTACTTGGGAGTCAGGCTGAAGGCTCAGGGCCACTGAAGCCTAGAACTTTCCAGAACTTCCCAGCCTCCAGCACACGTGCTGCCCATCTGTCTCAGGGGGACTTTGGGCATGGGGCCAGGAAATGGCTATGGAGGGTGTTTTCCTTTCTGGACAGGAAAGAAGTCTATAGGGGTCTACCAGGCCAAATTGGGGAAGGAAGGGGTGCATTGTGTCTGTCTTTTCTTCTTCACTTGTCTCCTAAGCTCCTTCATGACAGGCTGCTTCTAGAAAGTTCCATCCACACCCTTTCACACACACACACACACACACATTTGCAACTCTGAGACCCAAGCCTGGATCTCACAATGGAAGTCTGCGCCACACCTCCAGGTGGTCTCCCACACTCCAAACCCCGTCTCTAGTGGTCACCTGAGCCTGCTCTTGGCCCTCATGTTAGAAACCTGGGCCCACACTGGGTGCCAGTAGCTCACGCCTGTCAAGCTGGCTACTCAGGAGGCTGAGATGTGAGGATCACGGTTCAAAGTCAGCCTGAGCAGGAAAAGTCCGTGAGACTCTTATCTCCAATGAACCACCAGAAAACTGGAAGTGGTGCTGTGGCTCAAGTGGTAGAGCGCTCGCCTTGAGCTGAAAAGCTGAGGGACAGCACCCAGGCCCAGAATTCAAGCCCCATGACCGACAAAAAAATCTGGGAGGAATGCTGGCTCAAGTGGTAGAGTATCATTCTCTTGAGCAAAAAAGGTAAGGGACAGTGGTCAGGCCCTGAGTTCAAAGCTCCAGTACTGGCATACACACAAACAATAACTCATCAATGTCACTGATTTCATGTCCATAGCTCACTCTGAGCAGGACAATTCACTCATACACACCCTCTTCAGTCCCTGCTGCTGCGCCCTGTTGTCCAGAAGCTCCTTGCCCAGTAGGGAACAGAGTTAACAGGGGGCCAGGACGGAAGGTCAGGCCCTGCTTAAAATGGATGGGAAAGGTGGGAAGCAAGCGGTGAGCCAAGCAATCAAGGGACCGACCAAGCAACCCAGTTGGGAAACAACAGGAAGTCTGGCAGAGCGTGACTTAACCATGAGTGGCGTGGCAGGGACTGGGGCAGGACACAGTGAAGTGGGTCCTCACGGCTGGGCATGGTGACTGGAAGGTGACCAGCTCCTCCAGAGTGCTTCAAGTAGGCAATGGCCAGACCGGTTTTCTTTCTTTCTTTTTTCTCGGCAAGATTTCAAACTATACAATGGCTGCTCAGAGCACCAAGGCTCACTGCCAAGGGGCTTTTGCAAAGACCTGGGTAATTTTAAACCTTCCCTGCAGCAGCAAATGGGCTCTGGCCATGGATCCTGAGTCCCCTCTTTCCTCTTGGAACCTCTCTTATGTGGCTCCCCAGGCCAGTACCCCTGTGTATTTCTTGAACCCTGACCACACATAGGCTGGAGTCTTTTCCTTCTAGCTCTGCTCATCTTCCACAGCCACCTGGAGAAGAGTTTCTCCTGGACTGGGAAAGTGGCTTAGTGGTAGAGTGCTTGCCTGGCATGCATCAAGCCCTAGGTTTGATTCCTCAGTACTACATCCACAGAAAACACAGGAAGTGGCGCCTGTGGCTAGCCTTGAGCAAAAGGAACTCAGGGATAGTGCCCAGGCCCTGAGTTCAAGCCCCAGGACTAGCAGGGAAAAAAAGAAAAAGAGCATCTCCTAGCAATGCCTCCTGGGGGCTCCCCATCTTAAGGGCTCCCCAATATGTCAATACCCCAGCTAGACTTCCCTTGGGATGATTTCCTCCTTCTGAGGTCCCTAAGGCTGACCACGGCACACCCAGGTCTGTGCCACTAATATGATGTCATCTCTCCTTTCCAGCTGCCTCCACCCTCCACATCCTGGCCCTTGGGAGGGCCTGGCAATTCACCAGTCACCTGACGGCTCTCTCCTCCGGTCACAAGGACACGGCTGTACCTGACTTCCTTAAACACCTCCCTCAATCCTGATCCTGCTGTTCCCTCTCAAAGCCTCCCCAACGTCCGCTCTAAAGCCCATAGCCAACCTTCGGCAACCACTCTCCTGCTCTTCTCAGCTGGGGCCCACCAGGGGCCTCCTGTAAGCCTCAGGATCGCAATCCTGGCACTTTTCTCACTTCTCGCCAATCACAGAACTCCAGTGTAGACTTGCTATGGATTTTTAATCTCTGAGCTTCCCCCAAGTACAGGGCTGTGAGTGTAGAGAGGGTTGTGGGCAGTGTGTCTTCAACACTAATGCAGGAAGGGAGATTAGACAGGCCCAGGCAGGGGGCAGAGAGATAAAGGGGTGGTGGTGAGCGGTACCCTTAAGTCCACGGGGGAACTGACTGCCAGTGGGGACCCCAGAACAGCCCACCTGTCACCCTGAAGCAGGGTCACTGTTGGTCTCTGGATACAGAGTGGGGTTTCAGGTTGTTCCAATGCATTGATTGTATGGAAAGCATACCACTGATGGTTCAGTGAGGCCCAGGGTGCCAGGCACACAACACTGACTCAGGATATGCGCATGGGCTGGCAGCCTACGAGTGAGCTAGTTAGTGAGAGAAGGTCAGCCATCTTGTTGTCTTCTTTCTCTGGGGTTCTCATGCTCTTTTCCATCCAAGAGTGTCTCCGTGTAACTCTACCACCATAGCTTTCCTATGTTGGGCTTGGGACTCAGTATTTAATAAATATTTGAGGTTTGAGGCTCTTGAAGACAGAGGAGCTCACACCTGTACATTTTGCTTCAGGGGGAAAAAAAAAGTTGTTCTTTAAAAATAGGTTAATCATTGACAGTTTTATCTGTCTACAAATAGTAACTTCAAGGAATAGTTTGTTTTGTTTTGGATGGTACTGGGGATTGTACTCAGGGCCTTGTGCTAGACAAGAGCTCCACCACTTGAGCCACACCTCCTGCAATTTATTATTTGGGGGGGGGTTTGTGTGCCAATCCTAGGGTTTAAACTCTAAGCCTGGGTCCTGTCCCTCCCTTGAGCTTTGTTGCTCAAGGCTAGTACTCTACCACTTGAGCCACAACTCCACTTTTGACTTTTTTTGGTGCTTAATTGAAGATAAGTCTCAAGGACTTTCGTGCCTAAGCTGGATTTGAACCACAATCCTCAGATCTCAGTCTCCTGAGCAGTAGGATTACAGGTACCCGCCATTGGCTCCCAGCCCCATTTCTTTTTTTCTTCTCTTCCTCTGTCTGCCAATAGAGTCTGGTTACCTTTTGCCCAGGCAGGCTTTGGACTGGGATCCTCTTATTTTCACCTCCCAAGTAGCTGGGATTACGGGTTTGTACTAACATACCCAGCATTAAGAATAGTTTTGTTCAAGAATTTTCTTCTACAATAGTAATGTGAGGATTTGAGAAGCACTGTTGGCAAAAAATATTCTAGAGCAAAAAGAGGGCAGTTTCCGCCTCCAATCCTAGGTACTTACGAACCTTAGCTCTGAAGATCTTGGTTTGAAGCCAACCCAGGCAGACAAATCAAAAAGAACTTTTACCTCTAGTTAACCACCAAAAATCTAGAAGTGGAGCTGTGGCCCAAGTGCTAAAGCTCTAGCCTTGAGCAAAAAAGCCAAATGAGAGGAGGCAGCCCTCAGTTCAAGCTCTAGAACTGGCACAAACAAAGAGCAATTCAAACACTGGACAGTGTTAGGATTCTAGCTGAGATTTTTAGTGCACTAGAGAGAAAATCCTGTTCTCTTTGGATTGCATTTATAATATTATCAGTCAAGCAAAATAGAAGAAAAAGTTTGCTTAAGCCATTGAAGAGTTTTATAGTAATCTTTTACAGTGGATCTATAGCTAAAAGGACTTTGAAAATTTATAAAATTAGGTTAGAGTGGTAGAGCACCTGCTTAACAAGAGTGAAGCCCTGAGTTTAAACCCCAGTACAATAATAATATATACATTATAATTATAATTATTAAGAGATCATGTATGTGCGAGGGAAAAATGAATGGATTCTAGTCTTCCCCACTTAAATTGGGAGACAGCAAGTTTTCGACATATGGGTGTAAGGGCTTTTATGACAATCTCCCTCCAATTATTTTGCCAAAAGCACCAACACATACATTACCCCAGTCATCACCCAGCTCATCTTAGAGGGAGCCCGGTGGGGAATGCACCCCATCCTAGGTCAGGGCTGGAACTCTAGGCGTCAGAGGAACACTCACTCAGGTGTGTCCTCCTGTCAGAGACACCACACAAAGTCAGTATCCCTCTTGGCTCCTGAGGGGCCCTCAACCTCCAGGGAGGGGTGCGCTCTATCTCTGTCATCCCAGGAAACTCAACCCAGGAACTTGACCAGAGTCTCCAGGACTTAATGTTCTAGAAAACAATGATCAATACCAGGGCCCAGTTTTTTTTTTTCTAGGGGAGCATGAGGATCGGGTAGATTACAGACCCTGTGGGTGTTGGGGGTACGGTGGTGGTGGTGTGGCTGGTGACAGCGGGTGTGGTGACGGTAGTAGTGGCAAGTGCAGTAGTGGTCTGTCCGGTGGTGGCAGCAGGTGCCGTGGTAATGGTGGTGATGGCTGTGGTGGTGACAGGCAGGTCTGGCTGTAGCAGCAGTGGGTGTGGTTGAGATGGTGGGGGGGGTCTGTGGGAAGGGGGGTCTGGGTGGTGGTGATGAGTTTGGTGTGGTGGTGGTGGATGTGGTGTCGTGTGGTTGAGGTGGCGGCGGCGGGAAGGCCCAAGTGTGTCAGGCCCGGGAGATGGGGCCACCTGAGCGCACGCAGGACCTCTGGGCCTGGAGGAGCCCCCCCAGGCGGCAGCCGCGCCCCGGCCTTCCTCCCCGGGTGGCCGGGCGTCGTCTCCAGTCCCGCGCCAGGTGTCCGGGAGCGGCCCGGGCACCGGTCCCGTCAGCGTGGCGCGGAGCCGGCGTCCCCTCACCCACGCGCCCTCCTCGGGCCGGGGGGACCCCCTTACCTGTGTGTACAGCTCGGCCACCGCCATGGGCCAAGGACGCGGAGCCCGTGGACCGCAGAATCGGTCCGGTGCTCGCCGGGTCGCCTCCCGCCCCGCCGCCGCTGCCGCCGCCGCCGCCGCCCGGCTCCCAAGCCCAGAACTTTTCTGTGGAGCAGACGCGCACTTTTCCCAGCGCCCGCGGCGAGGGGCGGGGGACGGAGACACCTGATTGGCTCAGGCGGCTGGAAGGCCGCGCTGTCATTGGCCGAGGCCGCGCGCTAAAGCTGGTCCACCTGGCGGGAGCCACGCCCGCCCTCAGAGGGCAGCAGGCCGCGCGGGCTAGCTCCCAGGTAAGCCGCAGGTGTTCCGGAATGTATGGGGGGGGGGGGCGGGAAAGAGAGGGGAAGATTGCATTGCGGTTCTGGGCATATAACCACTACACTGAAAACCCACGGGAACTATTATGTCTAGCCACTCTCCATTTATACACACACACACACACATATATGTTATATGTTACATATATATTATATATATATGATACTGTACAGAGGGGTTACAGTTACATGGCCACTCTCCATTTTTATTCATTCTTTTTTTAAAATTTTTACTGTGCCAGTACTTGGGTTTGAATTCAAGGTCTGGGGCGGTCCCTTAGCTTGTGTGTTCAAGGCTGGTGTTCTACCTCTTGAACTGCACCTTCCACTTGCAGCTTTTTGTGGTTGAGAAGTCCCATCGACTTTTTTGCGGGGGGTTGGCTTCGAACCTCAATCCTCAGATCTGAGCCTCCTGAATAGCTAGGATTACAGGTGTGAATGCCTGGTGCCTTGCTAATATTTGAATAGTTCCCGTTTTTCTCATCTGTGCCAAGCATAACCTTGGAGCGCTTGCTCACATTTTTGCCTTGTGGCTCTCACTTCTACAAGTTGAATCAACTTAGGGTTTTCATAGGTTCTTCCAGCCAGTATCCTGTCCTTCAATTACCATCCATCCAAACTTCTAGTAAGGTATCCCATTGTGCTTTCCAATATAGAGGGGGAACTTGCCAACTTTTAAATTGTTGGGACTGCTTAGGATAATATTGTGTGAAAAGGTTATATTTTGGTTCGCCACCAGTCTTCAGAAAAACCAATTGTTTTAAAATATGATTTATTTGCAAGACACTGACAAACTCCTTTATAGTCATATTTTTATTTGAACAATGCTCAATAATAGCTAGGAGAATACAGCACTAATGACAGACATACTAAGCATAACGTTAGGCAGCTATAAATTTAGCGCAGAAAATGTCATTCTGATATTGTTTTGGTTTTCATTTTAGCATTAAGTGATATCTAGTGAAACCCCATGTTCCAAAGGCTTTTGTTGATATGAGGTGAATTACTTACATTCTAATAAATGTCATAGGAGATATGCTTGAATGGGTGGTTTAAAACTAGAGTTTGTTGGTAATGCCTCTCACATCTCAGTATTTCTGCTTCCTTTCCAATGGATGAGTATTTCACCTCAGAGTGGTTCAGAGATTTAAATATAGCATGTTTTCCTGGGCGAGTCAAAGAATCCTTTCTCCAGATCCAACAACAAAAAAGACTTTTTGGGGAAAAAAACCCTGCAATGTCCAATTCTAATGTCCAATTTCAATCTAGTTCAAAGGGATGTGTTTCATAGCAAGTAAATAGTTAATAATCAAAATACAATGTTAAATGTCATGAGCTCATTTCTGTGCAAGATCATTAGAACAATTTCAATTTCTCAAAGATACAAAAAAAGTCAAATTCTAGAATCCCACAAAAATACATAACTAGGTATCATAAATCACAATACATATCCACATTTAAATGAGGAGGGGGGGAGAAGCCATCAATCGATGGAAAAAATACTGACTCCAGTGATTAAGAGAAGCTAAAGCGTAGGCTACAATTTTTATTACACATAGAAACAATAAAATAATTGAAACCATTGGCTCCACAGAATGCATGAAAATGTACTGACCGACCAGCATAAAATTGTTTCAACTTTAAAAACAAAACATTTTCTGCATGTTTCAACTTTAAAAACAAAACATTTTCTTTCAAATATTTCCAATAATATTACAACACTAAGAAATGTTAGTCATTTTCACACATTCTGAATCTAATTTTGTCCATGAAGTTAAACTAATATATTTACGTAGACCAAATTATAAAATGAAAATGTAGAAAATGCATTTTGAAAGTATTTAAAATAGTGCTTTTTTAGTTCATGACCTATTGAGAAATCTACTGTAATTCCAAGTTGATTTGTTAAATTTAGGATAGTTCCATGGGTTAGAATTTATAGAGTTACTTTCTTCTATCAACTTTTTATATTGTAACATAACATTCTTAAATGGCTTTTAAAGGGAAAGATTTAGAATTGTACCTTTTACTTTTATTGAGAAGAAATTAGTGAAAAACAAGACATTCAAGCATTATGAACACTAACTCATTTCCACACTTCTAGATACATTCATGTCCTTACTTGTTACCCAGACATACTAACCCAGAACTTCTCCAAGTCAGCAGAGCCAGTGGACTCTAAGAGACTGTTGCTGTCCAGAATCCAAATCTCTGTTTGGAAATGACAGAAAGCAAAGGGAGGAGAAAGCAACAGTTGTGGGGGGCAGGGAGGGGGAGAGGAGATGATGTAGGAAGAGGAGAAAGGAATTCATAGTTGGAAGCCACACTCAATCTAAATCTTCACAAAACCTTGAGAAAGCAGAACAATAGATCCCTTAGAGAGGACAAGTCTGGTGACCTTAAGGCAGCTCTAGGAGGGAAGGGAGCAATAGGGTTAAGGCGGCCCTCACAGCACAGCCTGAGAACAGTTAACAATGCACTTCCATGAACATGGGCAACTCTAATACCAGAGCCTCTCTAATGCGCATGCACACACCACATCTCCTAGCTCCAGGCATACACCGACTTGTATATGGCCTGCCTGGTGAACAGCCCTCAGACAGCCTGCTGTCCTGGGCTCAGGGTGAAGGACTCACACTGGGGATTCTGGTGGCTGCAGGCTTTGCAGCTCACTGGTGGCTCTAACAGGGACCCTGAAGGGCATGTGGAGAGTGACCTTCCTCTGCACTCCAGAGGCTGCCACTGCTTCCTGTCTCTCTGGTTCATCAAGCACACAACTAACAAGTCAATTCCTAAACCCAGAGTTCTGAACAGCCTCCCAGGCTGTCTGATTCACCATCAAAGTCAAACCTAGTTACAGCAGGTAACAAACAGTAAAGAAAATCACCCTGGCACTGGGCAACTTGAAACTAGTCCACTTGTTTAGTCCTATGTACCAAATGCCAACTCTGGTAAAAGAGCACCTCCTAGTGGTCCAGGACACCCATGGCACCAGAGACAGAACAGAACCTCATGACTTGTTCAAAGTTAGTCCCCTGTCCCACACCTGCTACTGCTCCACTTGAGACACAAGTGCTGGAGGCAAACTCCTGTCACTGCCTCAAGGAGCTGCTCTATGTCCTAGCCATGCTGCTGTGAGGAGGACATGAGGTAACACAGGAAGGGCGCCAGTGTGAAGCACATCCAGGCACATGAACTGGCTCTGGAGTACTGCCATCGTCACTAAATTTGGCTCTCTGATTTATCCCAAGTAGACAGCATTGCCCAGGGGACCTTTGATTGACTTCCGAGGAACACTGTGAAATTGGTAACTTTGTGTGTGTGTGTGTGTGTGTGTGTGTGTGTGTGAGAGAGAGAGAGAGAGAGAGACAGACAGACAGACAGACAGAGACACTGAGAGAGACAGATAGACAAGAGGCAGAGACACAGAGAAAGGGAGGAAGGGAGGAAGAGAGAGAAAGGGAGGGAGGGAAGGAGGTAGGAAGAGAAAGGGGGGAGAGGAAGAGAGAAAGCATCCTAGGATAACTTCTCAGGATGGTGGCTGGTCCCCTGTCCCTAGGTTTATCAGAAAAGCAATTTCTCACCCCAATAATGACACTGAAACGCAAAGTATTTTTCACAGCCTCTGGGATTATGTTCCTAAAGACTTGATCTACATTATACATAATTACTCCCCGATAAAGAGTCCATCTCAATTTATCCATTGAAATGGCAGAATAGTAAAGAAAATCATCAAGACGGACAGGAAGCCCATCTCCCATCAGATAAGACGGCTTTGGAAATTTCTGTACTCCTGAACCACAAAGTTGGGTCAGGTACATGGGGGATTTTCAAAACTTCCAAAAGTCATTTTGTAGCTTTGATTCTAGAGTTATTCCCTCTGAGGGGAAGATCTGCTCTAAGGAAGATTGAAGGCTTGGCCTAAGAAAAACAGAGGGAAGGAAAATTCCTTTGGCCTTTTCATTTTGCATTCCTAGAATAAGAGTTGAGCCTGTGGTGAAGGCGAATGGGTATCGGAAGGGGGCTATCAAAGAACTGTTGGAGTTGGCCCTGGTGGCTCGAGCCTATAATCCTAGGTACCCAGGAGGCTGAGATTATGAAGATCATGGTTTGAAGCCAGCTGAGGCAGAAAAGTCTGAGAGATCTGATCTCCAATTAACTAGCAAAAATGCCTAACTGGAGGTGTGGCTCAAGTGGTAGAGTGCCAGCTAAGAGCAAGCAAGACAAGTCAGAGCAAGAGGCCCTGGTTCAAGTTCAAGCCCTGGAACAAGAAACAGAGAAAAAGAACAACTGCTTCCAAGACCTCTTCTTTTGAATCCCCAGTGTATGTCATAGAGAATTACGAACAATCCAATTAGTGATAGAAGTTGAAGAATGTACTGAGGAGAACTGAGAGCAGCAGGGACTTTGCAAAGACTGGCTGGAAGGAAAGTCCCCAGGCAGCCAATGGGGCAATTGGAAATGGAATATCCTCCCTCCATGATCTTCAGTGCACACACTACACAGGCAAGCCAACAGGAGACAGGTACAAGATTAGGTTGAGGGACTCAGAAGGTGAGAGAGAGCAAGAGAGAGAGGGAAGGAAGACAAATCCTCAAACTAGCCCAAGGATACTCGCTTGGCAGAATAGTGTAACTTCAACAGAATAGCTTCTGGATTCATTTACCAGGCGGCCTGAGGCTCCCTGGTGGAAAGATGTTTTTGCAAGAGCAAACCAGAGACGTTCATCCAGATCCCTACCCTAGGGTTCTGGGGAGGCCTCAAAGCAGGAACCCTGGGGTAGCAGGAACTGCGGGGTAGGGGGGAGAGGGAGGAGGGTTGAGAGCTCTGGCCAGGGTACTGAACATGGCTCCAGTTCTCTCCAGAGTAGAAAGATTGAAGGAAGGAGAGAAGGTTCCAGAACACAGAAACTTTTGGACATGTGTCCAGAGTAAGACAGTGGGTGCTGTGGTGTGACCCTGAAGACTGGACAATTTCCAGGGTGTGTGTGGGATATGCTAGCCAGGACTGCTGTGGTCAGCCTACACCCTGGATTTATTAGCAACATCCTATCCATGTCCTGTGGACACAGACTCGGGGATATTGAGTACTAATGAAATGGTTTTAAGCATTAACTACTCTTGGAAGCCACACTGATCACCGGGGACAACCGAGAGAATTAGACAGTATTAGTGTTTTGGGTTGATCCTGTACATAACGAAATGTATTACAATGAAACATATGGCTAGGGGTATAGTGCAGGTAGGTAGAGCATTTATTTGCCTAGCATGAAGTCCTGGGTTTGATCCCCAGCACGGGAGAAAAACAAAAAACTCCACCAAAACAATAAATCAGTACAAGATATAAGAAAAATTACTTAAACTGATTCATTTTCAAATAACACACTTACAGTAAGACTTTCTAAAAGCATGTGCATATATTGAAGAAAGGTGGTAACATAAATGTGTGATTTTACATTCTATTAGGTAATAAAATGAACTGATATGCTTTCCACGCTGGTCTTCCCAACAAAGGATAGAATAGTGAGGACTCTTCTCTAGGAGCCAAGAGTTGAAAGGAGGAAATTTCAGACCTTAGGATAGACCTTAGGAATCAGTGGTTCAAGCTGGACACTGGTTGCTCATGCTTGTATTCCTAGCTACTGAGGAGGCTGAGATCTGAGGATCTGACTGAAGCCAGCCTAGACAAGGAAATCTCCAATTAACCACACACACACACACACACACACACACACACACACACACACACACACACACGCTGAAAGTTAGAGGTGTGGCTCAAGTGGTGGAGCACCAGCCTTGAGCGAAAAAGCTAAGGGACAGTGCTCAGGCCCTGGATTCAAGCCTTAGTACCAGCATTTAAAAAAAAAGAAAAAAAAAAAAAAAAGAAAAATCAGTTGTTCAACTCTCATTTTGTAAACAAGGAAACTGAGGCTCAAATAAGTTAACAGACAGTATTCCTCTTTTAATAACAACATTTATCACTGATTTGAACCTGTTTGACTTTTATAAATAATATTGCACATATGTTAAGAAGATATGTCATATTTTGATAGACCATCTATGAGTTAAATTATATGTCTATTATTATAATTAAAATCAGTATCTACTGAAAGCTAAGGTTTTGCACAACCTGAAAGATTTCTTGTACAAGTTTTCTAGAAAAAAAATGAATAGATTTAATTAGAATTTCAGAATGAAGACTTACAGAATCTGGGTCTTACTGATCCAAATCCTCTGTAAAATTCCACAATATTATATTTCTTATATAACTCTTCCTAAGGTATTTCTAACATGATGCTTTTTTTTTTAAAATTAAAATATCTAGTGGCATCTGAGAACATTTCTAGAAGTTGTAAAGCCTCAAAAACCTGAATTTTAACTAAATATTTCTTATATACCTTCTTTTGCATAATTAATAGGATAATCAAAGTTTTGAGACCTGAATCATGAATAATCTGACAATCCTTTCTAGACAGCGACTGAGATTCATTTCTTAATAAATGAAGAGGCAGAAAGAAAACCCGGCAAGGCTGAATATATGCACTGCGGGAATCAAAGTCTGGAAACAAAAAGGTAAGTCACTTTACAGAACACCGTTATCCTGATGCCATATCCACGCAGGGACAACGAACGACGTAACACGTTGAATAAATAATGACGTCAACAACGGCCACTTTGTCTAATCCTACCCCTAAGTGTCAAGCATTTTGTCACACGTGTCCAGTGACGGCTACTTGTGCAGCTGAGTGTATAGATATTTGCATATAATCCAGTCAAAACCGATCTCATTGAATTGTAAACAGAGTCGATAAAAGAAGCTTATTGTTATAGTGCTCCATAGAAAGACCATTTACATGTTAATAAGTAGCAGCCAGTTAAGATGCTCTGTAAGCTACAGTACAAGTGGACGGACATCTATGCTATAGCAAACCATCATTCTTCCACTATCGGTCTATCACAAGTTACTTGACTGAGTCCACAGATTGCCAGTTGATTTTTTTGGATCCAGTTCAACCAGATCGAACATGATTGCTTCCTAAACTGCTAATGATATGTACTCAATGGCAACTTCCTTTTAGTTCTTCTGTTCAGTTCAGAGGAGGTTGAGGTTGGTACCTTCCTAGTAACAGTTCATATATATATATATATATATATATATATATATATATATATATATATATATGTGTGGAATTTACATAGGTCATACCACTTAAATGCAGTGGAAAATTCATGCTGGCAACTGGTGACCCATTATCTTTCCCCCCTCCTTGTCTTCCTTCCCTCATTCAGATGCAGTAAACTCAGTAAACTGAATGAGGATGAGGGATGCTTAATGAGAACACAGCACACATACAAAAAAAGCCTCTTTTCTTTCAAGTGACAGAAGCATTCTAGGGAGACTTCCAGTTAAATAACTCCTCATTTGAGAGATAATCAGTACTTCTCTTTAAAAATGTATTTTTTTCAGTAGCTCACTGGGGAAACAAAAAAAAAAAAAATGGTTCAAGTCCAGACATTAAGAAATGTCTTGTCACTGTCTGCCTGGACATTGCTTTCAGACCCGTGCGATGAAGCCCAGGCCCAGGCTGGCTGGAATCTGGATAGTTTCTAGGGCAAGGGAAGATGGGTTAAAAGGAAAGGTGACAGGAAAGATGTGCTTAGCATCCATGAGCAGTTGAGGAGAGTCCTTCCTGTCTCGCAAACGCACCTGAGAAGATGGAAGCAAAAAGATAAACAGGCATCAGTGCTTTGAATCTACAAAGGTTTTTCTTTTGGCTACCAAAATTCCTACCAATTTTTTCTACCATTTTTTTTTCCTCATGAAACATGTTCGTTTCTGTTTTAAAATCTCTTCATTAATTTGATCAATAAACTATTATCCAAAAAAAAAAATACAATGATCAAAAGAGTAGCAGAGCACCTATCTTTAAGGAAGACAATATAATAAAAGAAAACTATATTATCAATAACATTGTGAAAGTTTCACTTAGAAGGTGGTTGTTGAAGCAAAAGGAAAAAAACGCTCTTACCTGTATAGTACGAATGAATGATACAGACACTCTTTCTTCAAACTCGTTAACTGGAGTGTACAAATTCAACACTTTGACAATCTGGAAGACATGAAATGATTCAAGGTTTTTTTTTGTTTTTTGTTTTGATATACTAGAAAACACACTGAGCTGGGATTTGGTGACTCATGCCTCTAATTATAGCTATGCAAAAGGCTCCTATCTGAGGATCTTGGTTCAAATCCAGCCTCGGCAGAAGAGTCTGTGAGACTCTTATCTTCAATTACATTTAAAAAAAAAAAGGCAGAAGTAGAGTTATGGCCTAAGTGGAGAGTGCTAGGCCTTGAACAAAAAATCTCAAGGAAAGTACCAAGACCCTGAGTTCAAGCCCCAGGACTGACACCAAAAGCAAAGCAAAACAAAACGAAAAACAGGAAAGAAATCTCAGGAACCATTTACTTACCAAAGAATATGACAATATCAAAGATAATTTTATGGAGTCTAAGCTCCATGAGGATAGGGCGTTTTGTTCTGGATTGTATCCCAGTGTCTGGAACATTTTTGCAGACTATTGTATATAGACACTTGGTATTGGCTTAAGGGTGACTAGAGATGCCTCCTTCCTTCCACATCTATATGGACATACCCCTTCTCTGTCTGGATGAAGTCAGCACAGAGGCAAGGGCAGCAATGTACTCGTCTAGGGGAGGTCTGACTGCCATTTTCCTCCCTCCCTGCCCAGGAAGCTGCTGTACCTGGGCAGTGGTTAGAGCATTACACATGGAGCAGATGGCTTCTGCATCATCATCTGTTTTCTTCTTCACTTGCAGAAGCTGAGCAGCCTGAATGAGAGGCTCTAGGGTCTCTTTGGCCCCGCTGTTCATCAGATTCTTGTCACGTAACCATTCCTCCAGTTGACTGACGTTGTACCTACACCGAAGGGGAAAGAGAGAGAAGAGAGAACAAGAGAGAAAATTTAAATTTACTGAATGCTGTCATAAATGTCTTTAATTTTGTATGTGTGGCTTTGTCAATTAAAGTGACAGGCAATATTTCTGTTCAATTTTCTTACATCTAATCAGCTGTGCTTTAAAATTTAGCATTATCATCACGAGGTTTAGAATCATTATTATGTAAGATTTAAATGACAAGAGAAGATAATTGTCTCAAACAGAAAATGGAACAGAGTCAGCACAGGAAAAGTTACGAAACTTGCTAATGCACAAAATAGAATATATAATGTGGTTCTGTCATCACTAGATGTTTGACCAGAAATTGCTTTCCTGACTCTCTTACAAGATAGCTTCCTTTTGCTGGGTGAGAGTCAATAATTCTCATGTACTCTCTCTTCCTTAAGGCAAACTCCCAACCAGATCCCCTATCAGATGCACCATGCTCAAGCTTTCTTTTTTTTTGGTCCCAGTACTGAGTCAGGGCCTGGGTGCTCTCTCCCTTCGCTAGTTTACTAAAGGCTGATGTTCTACCACTTGAGCCACATCTCTACGTCTGGGTTTTTGGTGGTCAACTGGAGCTAAGTGTCTCAATAACCTGTCCAGATTGGTTTTGAACCACAATCTTCACGTCTCAGTCTGATGAATCGCTAGCACCTTGCTCTGCCAAAGTACATTTCTAAAAGCAATCAGGCACCAGTTTCTTCATTATAATGTAAATATTTCTTATTGCGTGATGGAAAAATACATGATAGGAGAAGAAGTAGCTATGTTCTGTAGGGTTATATTATCTCTCCATTCCTTCGAACAAGTTGGCTTTGCAGGGGAGTGATGCTTCCAGTCACAGTGGGAAAGATCTGTTGACAGGCCCCACCCACCTGCAGTGTGACAGCCAGGCAAGGGGAAGTGGCTCCACAAACAGCTCTTCCTTTGCTGCTGGGAACCAATATGAAGGCACCACCTGGCAGGCTAGATGGGCAGAGACCACAGGCTGTCCAGGCTCACCTGATCTGCATGCCTTTACTCCAGGAGCACATGTCTTTGCGCAGGAGGAGGTTGTTCAGGGTGACGGCCCCCACGATGTAGAACATTTGCTTGGCCACCTGCTTGATAAGTTCTGGGTCCATACCGTGCTGACACATGACTGAGTGGAAGGAGTTGAGCTGTCGGAGTATGGAGTCCAGTGTGTACGTGCCTTCATCAGCAATGCTGGAGGTTCGCTTCCTGAGTCCCGTGGGCTTCACCCCGGACACACCCTGAATCGTCTCATGCTCCAGCATGCCGGACACTGCAGGAGAATTTCAAGTGTTAGAAAAGATTTAGAGGGAAATGTCTCTGGTACCCAGATATATGTCCACATACCCCACAGGCGCTCATGTGCATGCACAAGTGTATACACACACACACACACACACACACACACACACACACACACACAAAGAGGTGTGGGATTGGAAACCTTCATTATTTTAGGTTTCCCACAGCAGTTAGATTTTGGGCTTGCCTCAGTTTCCCAGGGGAGTATGCTCAGCTTCCCTTAGAAAGCTTCTGAGCTGGGTACAATCCTGGTTACTGAGGAGACAGATCTGAGGATTGTGGTTTGAAACCAGCCTGGGAAGGAAAGTATGTGAGACTCGTATCTCCAATTAACCACCAAAGTGCTGGAAGTGGAGAATACCGGCTCAAGCGTTAAAGAGCCAGCCAGACTTATGTGAAAAAGATAAGTGACAGTGCCCAGGGCCTGAGTTCAAGCCCTCGTACCAGCACACACACGAAAAGAAAAGAACCCTTCTGAGATGTTCATTTCCTGCCTAGAGCCCTTCAGAAGCAAGGAACAAGTCCGGTTCTCCTTAATATCTCCTTGTACTAAACTCAACTCTTACAGACCTCATACTGACTCCCAAACTTTGGTTAACGTTGCTGTTATGTAACTGAGATGGAGGCAGTTTAGTGGTCAGCTTCTTGTTCAGCTAATTAAAAACAGATCAAAGTAGAAGGAAGATGGGCTGCCCTTTGCTTCTGTGATACCTCCTATGCTTTGGATGATGGATTGCTTTCAATTCATGGCCTTTAGGGGACAAGTGGACAAATCATAGCCATCTCGAATGGCTTCTTAGTTTTTTATGCTTCCAGCTGGTCAACTGTGAGCCTATGAAAAATTGAAAACTCTGAGCCCTTCTAGAGGAAGCGAAGAAGTAGAAATGTGGAAAATATGGGAAGCTGGAGTAGCTTTACAAAACTGCTGATAATTTGCCTGAAGATAATGATGTCTGGTAACTTGAAAAAAATGACCATTTCCCACCATCAAAATTAGCAGCCTGCAATTCGTACAAGGTCCCTGATTGCTATTTACTCATGCTACACATTCCATAGTTATAGAGCTAGTGTAAAATATGAATGAACACCTGAGTAAGCACACATAGAGAGGGCCAAGCAACCAATCACACACCTAGCTGAAGCTACCTAAATACAAACACACGGGCTGCGAAGGTGGCTCAGTAGTAGAGTGTTTGCCTTGCATGCATGAGACCCTGGGGTTCAATTCCTCAGCACCACATAAGCAGAAAAAGCCGGAAGTGGTGCCGTGGCTCAAGTGGTAGAACTCTAGCCTTGAGCTGAAGAGGTGAGGGACAGAGCCCAGGCCCAGAGTTCAGGCCCCATGACCAACAACAACAACAAAAAATTACAAACACACACCTCAGCTACTCAGCCAATGAGAAGTCACTACCTTCAGTCAGATGGCCTGTAATATTTTCAGCAGGGAGTGTCTGAGACACACTTGCTCTTGTTGGCATGGCGCTTCCCAGCCTTCTTGCCATAGACTGTGAGGTAGTGTACAAGCCCTCTCCAGACTTTGGGGTCTTAGATGGGCCCCTGGGAAGCACTGGGGAGTAGTGTGCTAGTTTAAAGTTTAACGTGTTTTTGAAAATTGGGCCAGGAATAATGTCTGTTGCAGGGTATTAGACATAATCTGATCTTAAGAGAGAAGCATTAATTATTGGAACCCGATGCTACTGTTTCCAGAGTACAGAAGCAGTGATTTCTGTTGCATTTCAGGTACCATGGTTGGGGTTCAGAGGTTACTCAGTTGATTTTCAGCCTGCATCTTACTATTTTATATTCTATGAAAATATACCCCAGGACATTTCCACAGTCCATCCATTCATGGATGGGGGCGTGAGATAGGCTGTGGAGTTCACCAACACTCTAGCCTTACCGATCATTGGCTGAAGGATGTTTTCTAACACCCGCACCAGCTGTTGGTAAATCTGAATGGCCAAGTCACTCAGCACTTGCCGATACTCAGCCAGGTCAAAATTGGTGAGGCAGTGTTCATTCTGGCGAGATGTGTTATGCTTCATGAAGCCCTGAAGTCAAAAAGCGAAGATAATGAAACAGGAAGTCAGGGGTCGTTTCTATCTGGTTTGACAAACTCCAGCTTTCTGAGCATCTTCATGTTCCTTTTCTTTCCCACCCAGGATCCATCTTCATCCCACCCCACCCTGCCCAGTCAGTGACATGAAAATCATTCCCACATGCTGGTGTTTGTTAGCTTCTATCATCTCCCTTTTCTATTTACTTGTTTTTTTTTTTCCTTTTTTTGTGTTTAAAAAAAAAATACATTCTTTTTTTATTTTGGCCACACCCCCTCCAGCATCTGTTGTTATTAGATTTCTTGATTATAGCCATTCTAACTAGGGTGAGGTAGAATCTTTGCATTTCTTTTATGGCCAGAGAAGTTGAGCATTTCTTCATCTGTCTACTGGCCATTCTTATTTCTTCTTCAGAGAAGTTTCTCTTGAAGTCTTTAACCCACTTATTAATGGGGCAGTTGTTTGAGGATTTGCTTTTGGGTGACTTAATTTTTTGAGTTCTAAGTATATTTTAGATATGAGGCCCTGTCCGTTGTATGGCTAGTGAAGATCTTCTCCCTGTCTGTGGGCTTTCTATTGATCTTGCTAGCTATGTACTTTGCCATGCAAAAGCTCTGCAGTTTTTTTTTTTTTTTTTAAAAGAGCTCAGGGACAGCACCCAGGTCCTGAGTTTAAGCCCCATGGCCAACAATTTTAAAAAATACATTCTTATTAATGTGTTTTACTTGTTTCTTTTCCTCCCTTATTTTATTAATTTATATTAGCACTTCTTATTTGCTCTTTTATTTTATTTTATTTTATTTTTTTTGTCGGTCGTGGGGCTTGAACTCTGGGCCTGGGCGCTGTCCCTCAGCTCTTCAGCTCAAGGCGAGCGCTCTACCACTTGAGCTACAGCGCCACTTCCGGTTTTCTGGTGGTTTATTGGAGATAGGAGTCTCACGGTCTCTCCTGCCCGGGCTGGCTTTGAACCGCGATCCTCAGATCTCAGCCTCCTGAGTAGCTAGGATTACAGGCGTGAGCCAACAGCGCCCAGCTTGCTCTTTTATTTTAAAAAATTAGTATAGTTTAGCACTTCTTACTAGTTTTCACTTCACACACATACCTAAGCAACCTAGAGCTAAGCCTTTCCCATCACAATGTTGATAAAACAAATTAGGAAACTTTAACTTAAGAAAAACAATGAGTGTTTAATTCATGAAAGAGCGAGTTTCCTGCCAACACAATGATCTCAAGTACTACTCTCTTAATGTCGGCCCATTCAGCACAGTCCTATTAAATAAGCATTGTACCCAGAGGGGCAGGCATGATGTTGAATAGACCAGCCTCTATACACTGGTAACTAAATGAGCATTTCTTTATTGATATCTCATGAGATCCACAGCATGACTTTCAGTCAGAGCTTAGGACAGGATCTTCTTCAATGGACAGGCAGTTACTTCTTTGCAGTCATTTTGCTTTGACAGATACCTGATAAAAACAACGGCTTGTTTCCTCCTTGTGTCCTACCCTAAGGACCAGGCCTAAACGCAGGTGCTGATGGAGCTTACTCTCTTATTTCTCCACCTTTGTCAGGATGGTTCTCTACCTCTGTGTCAGAAACTGCCGAGCAGCTTCTCTGCCAAGTCTCTCCAGAAAGGATAGGGAGGCATGGAGGCCAGTAAGGACCCCAGGCTTGTTGAGATTGTAAACCGAGAAAGGCTGAGAGGAGTTGGACAAATTGATGAGCCCCACTGAACTTCAGTTTCTTTTCTTTTGTTTTCTTTCTTTTTTCTTTGGCCAGTCCTGGGGCTTGAACTCAGGGTCAGCACTGTCATTAAGCTTCTTTTTTACTCAAGGCTAGCACTCTACCACTTGAGCCATAGCACCACTTCTGATTTTTCTGTGTATGTGGTGCTGAGGAATCGAATCCAGGGCTTCATGCATACTAGGCAACCACTAAGCCACATTCCCACCACCTGAACTTCAGTTTCTATAAACTGGGATTTATTCATATTTTCTGAAGATGTTGTGAAAGTTTAATAACTTAATATATAATAAATGCTGTCAGATTCATATTAAGCAGCCCTTATTTAATAGTAATAGTTTACATGGTTTAACGTGCTGAAGTCTATCAAACAACCAATGAACACAACATCACTACAGACAAAAGTAATCCAAATTTTTGAACACATGATCTTTGATTATATCTTAAGTTTGATCATTTTTAATGATGGTGAGTCAAAACTGATTAATTTCTGCAAAGTTCAATAGTTTAATATTAGTTCTAGACAGACCACTTTGATAGTGACACAAATTTTAATTTCTGATAAGTATTCATTGACTGATGTGTATTTTATTTTTGCTCTGTTTTTTCATAATATATGAAAATCTAAGAGGGAAGAAACTAGTTACTCGTTTATTTGCTTGTAGATAACCAATGCCAACGACCTGACTTTCCAGGCTGCCACTGACTCTGAACTTGGGCTGTAAAATCAACACATGGTCACACATTTTTTGATTTACTAATTTTCCACATAAAGGCCAGAGAAAGGACAGCTTGCCACTTTTATAATCAAGGTTTCTCACCTCTTCTCCACTGTACTGCTTCAAACAGTGCAGAAACCGGCATGTGTTAGAGAGCCAGAAGGAGACAGTTTCAAAATCATCACCTCTTTTCTGAAAGAGAGAAAATGTCTAAATTTGCTTTTTCCTTAGAGAAATAACAACCTGGGGGTGGGGAGGGTGGAAAACAACAAACCCAAAATGCAACAGATATCAAAAGGTTCATTTCTTTCTGACCATTATAAGCATTTTTTTTTTTTTGCTAGTCCTGGGGCTTGAACTCAGGGCCTGGGTACTGTCCCTAAGCTTCTTTTCACCCAAGGCTAGCACTCACTCTACCACTTGAGCAAAAGCACCACTTGTGGCTTTTTCTGTTTATATGGTACTGAGAAATTGAACCCAGAACCCAGGGCTTCATGCATGCTAGACAAGCATTCTACCACTAAGCCACATTCCCAGCCCTGAAAACTATTTTTAAAAATAAATCACATTGCGATCTTACATCAAACTTCACCACCAGCTTCACTGGCTCTTTGCTATTTTTCTTGCCATCAGAAAAGTGTTCCCCTGGGCTGGGAAGGTGGCTCAGTGGTAGAGCTCTTGCCTTGCATGCATGAGGCCCTTGGGTTCGATTCTTCAGCACCATAGAAGCAGAAAAAGCCAGAAGTGGCACTGTGGTTCTAGTGGTAGAGTGATAGTCTTGAGCTGAAGAGCTGAAGGACAGGGCCCAGGCCCAGAGTCCAGGCCCCATGACCCACAAAAAAAAAAAAGGAAAGAAAAGTGTTCCCATGAGTGGGGCATGGAAGCTCACACCTGAAACCCCAGTTACTCTGGAGGAGATTGGGAGGAATGCACTTTGAAGCCAGCCTTGGGAAAAAGTCAGCAAGATCCTATTGAAATAGGCTGGGTGTGTGGGTATATGTCTGCAGTCCTAAATGGGTGGGAGGCCATAGGTACAAGGATCTGAGTCTGGGGTCCCCGTTCTTTTCTGAAAAACCTAAAGAAAAAAATGGCTAGTACTCAGGATGCTGAGATCTGAGGATTGTGATTTGAATCCAGCTGGGGCAGGAAAGTCTGAGACCCTTAGCTCCATTAAACTACTCAGAAAAAGCCAGAAGTGACACTGTGGCTCAAGTGCTACTGCACCAGCCTTAAACACAAAGAGGCTCAGGGACAGCACCCAGGCCCTGAGTTCAAGCCCCAGCACCAGCAAAAAAAAAAAAAAAAGTCTGGGATCATGGCCCCAAGTGGTAGCCCTGAATTCAAATAAGAAAGAAGAGGAGAGGAGAAAAAGAGAGAAACAGAAAGGGAGACAGACAGACAGAGACAGAGACAGAGAGACAGAGAGAGAGACACATGCAGAAAGGGAGAAAGGGAAGGAGAAAGAGAAGAGAAAGAAAGAGATGTGGGAGAGAGAAGAAACAGAGAGAAACAGACACAGAGAGACAGACACAGAGATATTAAAGTTTACCCATTTTCCCACACTAAATTGCCCCTTTATGTAGAAAAAGTTAAAAGCATAAGTAGAATTATACATTTTATAATAAACAATAGGACAAAGAATTTGAAGCACTGAAACCCAGCTTGGATTTAAAATATCCACAACATAACATTTCTGAGCTGGGAGCCAGAGGTGGGTGGTGTGTGGCGCTCCTGTACGGGGCATGTGGGTAGGGCGGGGGTGGGGAGTGCTCTGTGTGTGGGGGGGACCTGGCTCTTTATCAGAATGGGCCACGGTGGGAGGGAGGGACAGCTGTGCCTGAGGCATGGGGAGTGTTTCTCAGAGCTGAGGACAAATGTGTTTTCTTTCCACATGGAGCCCCATTAAAATGAGACAATATTACTTCAGAAAAGATATTTATGAGTTGGAATATTGTGATGTATAGCTATAATGCTAGTGCTCAGGAGGCTGAGGCAGGATGATTATGAGTTCTAGCCCAGTCTCGTCTAGTAAGACCCTATCTCAAAAACCAAAACAAGCAGCCAGGCACCAGTGGCTCATACCTGTAATCCTAGCTACTCAGGAGGCTGAGATCTGAGGATTACGGTTCAAAGCCAGCCCAGGCAGGAAAGTCCAAGAGACTTTTATCTCCAGTAAACCACTAGAAAACCAGAAGTGGTGCCATGGCTCAAGCAGTAGAGTGCTCACCTTGAGCTGAAGAGCGAGAGCAGGGACAGTGCCCAAGCCCCGAGTTCAAGCCCCACAAGCAGAAAACAAACAAACAAGCAAAAAAACAAACAAACCCAACCCTCCCTTGAGTAATCATAGTGGAAAGTAACTACACAGGAAACTGTCCAGCAGACATTGAGACTTGGCATGTGTTAGAAGTTCATGACAGGGGGTAGAGGGAGGGAGGGCCTGGGAAGAGTGAAGCTTCGGGGTGCAGAGTGTCAGGTGGGGAGGGGGAGATAGGTCTGCAGGTGGACGTGGTGATGGCTGTGTAACACGGCAAAATACTTAATGCATGCGACTCCACACTTAAAAAAAAGGCTCAAATGGTGAAGTTTATGTTATGTATATTTTGCTATATAGTTTTTTAGGTTCATGAAAAGACATTTGGATTTGAGAGAGTCCACTGGGCATGTTAACTATGCACTCATCTTCACTGTATATATTCTCATTCAGAATAGATCATCAGGAATGTGGCTTAGTGGTAGCGTGCTTGCCTAGCATGCATTAAGCCCTGGGTTCAATTCCTCAGTACCACATAAACAGAAAGGCCAGAAGTGGTGCTGTGGCTCAAATGGTAGAGTGCTAGCCTTGAGCAAAAGAAGCTCAGTGCCCAGAAGGACAGTGCCCAGGCCCTGAGTTCAAGCCCCAGGACTGGCAAAAACAAAAAACAAAAAAACAAAATGTTCAGAATAGATCATTAGAAGGTCAAATACCAACGGCAGACAATGAGTTAAAACTAAGTATGATGTTAGCTGTTGCTTGTTTTTCCTGGAGTCTGGGGAAGAGGGGACAGGGGGACTTGGTGACTCCTGTGCTGTGGGGAGCTTTCTGCTCAGTTATGTAATGCTGCTGGCTTTTCTGAGTATTCTTTTCCCATGAGCACCTGAGTGTTGCTTCTCACATGGAAACAGCATTTCTGGGAACAGGAAAAATGATGAGATGACTTGGAGAATAACAAGAAAAAAGTTGGAAACGTGTTTTTTGTTGTTTTTCTTTTAAGATCTTCAGAATGCTTTTTTTTTTTTTTTTTAATTTGGGAATTCAATCAAAGTACTGGACCATGTCATCTAAGCAGCAATTTAAGTTGGAAGAAAACGTGGCAGTACCAGGGCTTGAATGCTAGACTTGCACTCACTCACACCTGGCACTGTACCACTTGAGCCACTCCTTCAGTTCAGCAAAAAGCTGAACTGAACTGAACAATTTTTTTCATGGACAATAAGAATCTTATGGAGTTTTCTGCCTGGGCTGGCATCAAACTCTTGATCCTGATAGTGGCTAGGATTACAAGTGTGTGCCACCAATGACAAGCTAGAAAAAAAAAAAATCCTTCAGTGTTTTAAAAGACCCCTTTTTATATGAATGAGCCATGTATTATTGAGCTTAGCAACCATTTTAAACATCAACATCATATAAACACATACACACACATATATATACACATAGTACTAGCAAGTTTGCTCAAGTCTAGGGAATAATGAGTCCCTCTCTACAGACTGTGGAACTGACCTTCAACACTTTTTTGATGCTGTTGATTGTTGATGTGAGCAATGACCTCACTTTCTGATCATCGTTCAGGTAGTCGGCGTGTCGCACACACATGAACAAGATATACGCTGGCAGCCCTGGGATCAAGTTGACTGCTACACCACGTGGCTTCAGTTCTGTAAAAGCAAAGGAAAGACAAGGCTTTGTGAGGCATGCATTTGTAAGAAAGGAAGGCACAGTTGTCACCTAGCCGCTCAGTCATCCACAGTAAATCATGGAAGAAAGGGTATTTTAACAGCTTCTCTGGTGGAGGATATAGGGTACTGGTTCTACCTAGAGTATATAAAATTAAAATTTGTAGTTATGCGCTAGTGGCTCACATCTGTAATCCTAGCTACTGAGGAAGCTGAGATAAGAAGATTGTGGCTCAAAGCTAGTCTGGTCACAAAAGTCTGTGAGACTCTTATCTCCAATGAACTACCAGAATACCAGAAGTGGAGCTGTGGCTTAAGTGGTAGAGCCTTACCCTTGAGTTCAAGCCCCAGGATTGACAACAAAAATAAGCAAAAATACACAAACAACATGGTTTTGTCCTGAGATTCCTTCAAGCAGCCTCTCCCTCCCTCATCTATAACATTCAACTCTAGACTATGAAATCCTTACCATGTTTTCTGTGATCTCCCCTAGCCTCAGCTCTCTTGGTTCTAATGGGTCTTCTCGTAGTTGGCTGAACATACCTGGCATGCTCCTACCCAGTACCCCTGCATGCACTATTTTTCTGCCTCTCTGTTCTTTCCTCAGCTATCAGTGCAACTAGTTCCCTTGCTTCTTTGCCCTCTGTCCAAAGCGATATGTCCGCCTTTCCTCTTTCCTCCCTGGTTAACCATCAGCTCCCTGTTCTTGCTAAATAAAGATCACGTTGAACCTGCAGCATGTCTGTTCCGTACCCAGCACAGAGTTTAATGCCATGAACCGAGGCATGTTAAATTAGGCGTAATTGCCCATCACGATACTGTCATCTAGCACCTGGGGGGAGGAAAGGCGTGCAGAGGCTGAGGAGAGGCTTTTGGCTTGCAGCTCTCACGTGTTTGCACCTCTCCTCATTTATCACCCAGGAAAAGTCTCATGGAGCCAGCAACCCCCCCAGCCCCCTCCACCGTAGGTCCCGCTATGATCTTCCTTATGCCCACTTGTCCCATCCATCCCTTCATTCACTGGAATTTCTCCCTTAACTCCTTTCTTTCTTCCCCATTATCAACTACTGTCCACAATTCATCATAAGCCTTTCTAAGGAAAGAAGGAAAAGCAGAAATCAGAAAGTAGGAACCTTAATGGGCTAGAGTGGTGGTTATACATTAGAGTCCTTTTGAAAGGTTTCTAGAAAAGTCCTTGATAAGGCCAGGCCAGGCTGCTCTTTCTAGGGTTTGGTTTCTACTTGTCTTTTTCAACAATTATAAAAATGAACACTTTTTCAAAATCTTTCTGGGTGAGTGAGTAGCATCGTTCAGAGGCACAGTGATTGTTATAAAAATAGAAATTAAACCAGCAATAAAAAAAACCCAAACCCAATAACTACCACAACAAGGCTTACTGGCCCCAAGCCTTTAATCCCAGCACGCAGGACGCAGAGTCAAGAAGATTATAAATTCAAGGTGAGCTTGGATTATTACCTAATAAGACCCTGTTTCAAAAAGACGACAAACAGTATCCCCTCCCTCAACTTTCCCCTATTCTCTGGCCTTAAAGGATGTTAGCACACACTAATGCACAGTACATAATGATGACTGAAGCAATGCTAGGCAAGCATGGTAGCACAGACCTATAGTCCATGGCAGAGAGGGAAGGATAATGTGAGCCTCGTGGTTGAAGACTAGCCTGGTCAATATAGTAAGATCCTCTTCTCAAAAATGAAAACAAATTTTTAAAAAGGAAAAAAGAAAGACACTTGAGTGACTAAGTTTTTCCCACCATAGACACACGGACCAGAAAAGTATTTCATTCCATATAGAGAATACTTGCCGAGAATCAGGTTCTTAACCAGCTTCTGCTCGTCCTCCTTCTTGTACTCCAGCATTCCTTGGAAATCCTTTTCCTTCCTGGGAATGTTGACTGGACGAATGGGCTCATCGATGATCTGCCCAGGTGATATATTTTCCATCTGGCCCACTGCACCAGAAACAAAGGAGAGGAAGATGTTTTCCAGAGAGAAAAGATGGACAGGGTCCCACGATCTGATCATTCTAAGGGTACTCTGCAACAACAGAAACTGGACATAGGGGCTGGGAAGGTGGCTCAGTGGTAGAGCGCTTGCCTTGCATGCCTGAGGCCCTGGGTTCGATTCCTCAGCACCACATAAGTAAAAAGAAAAAAAAAAGTCGGAAGTGGTGCTGTGGCTCAAGTGGTAGAGCGCTAGCCTTGAGCTGAAGAGCTGAGAGACAGCGCCCAGGCCCAGAGTTCAGGCCCCACAACCGGACCCCCCCCCCAAAAAAAAAAAATTAAAAAAAAATCTAGGATCATAATTTCTTTAAAAAGACATCCAGCTGGGCACTGGTGGCTCAACCTGTTATCCTAGCTACTCAAGAGGCTGAGATCTGAGGATCAAGGTTCAAAACCAGCCTGAGCAGGAAAATCCGTAAGTCTCTTATCTCCAGTAAACCACCAGAAAACGGAAAGTGGTGCTGTGGCTCAAGTGGTTAGAGCACTTGCCTTGCATGCCTGAGGCCCTGGGTTAGATTCCTCAGCACCACATAAGCAAAAAGAAAAAAGCCGGAAGTGGCGCTGTGGCTCAAGTGGTAGGGCGCTAGCCTTGAGCTGAAGAGCTGAGGGACAGCGCCCAGGCCCAGAGTTCAGGCCCCACGACTGCACCCCCCCCCCAAAAAAAGAAAGAAACTGGCCATAGTTTAACTGAATAATTCCCTCTTAAAATATTATTTTCCCCCCCGATAAATGAAGTAAATGGATAGCAAAATTAAATCGTAATGGCACTCAGAAAGCCTCTAGCTTGATAATTTTAAATAACCTTACCTGACTCATAACTTTTTTTCAATGAAGTTTCCTTAGATTAAATGTCCTAAAAGTTAAGTGGTTTAGTGTATTTTAACTAATCTGTACCAATCAGAAATGGTTAAGTATATTGAGATTTTAATTTCCAGAAGGAAAAAACAATGTTCTATACAGGGCCATGAAGAGTACCTTTAGGTGCTGGGAAGTTGGCTCAGTGGTAGAGTGCTTGCCTTGCATGCATGAGGTCCTGGGTTCAATTCCTCAGCACCACATAAACTGAAAAAGCCAGAAGAGGCACTGTGGCTCAAGTGGTAGAGTGCCAGCCTTGAGCTGAAGAGCTGAGGGACAGCGCCCAGGCACCATGACCAAAAAAAAAAAAATCTGAAAGTTACCCTTAAAAGATGTTTTAGAAAAGCCATGGACTAGAAGAAAATAGTTGCAAGTCATATATTCAACAACAACAAAAAAGAGTACCTTTAGTTCTAAGAATCCAGTTAGTAAAGGCAAAAGAAGGTACTGGAGGCATGGTTCAGTAAAGTACCAGCTGAGCAAGCGTGAGTCTCTAAATTTAAACCCTCCAAAGAGGAAAAGCACATTTACTTCAAATGTAACATTCAATCAGTTCTACCACCTGAAGACTGCTGGCCAAACAGTGCTTTTCCACACCATTGATGTGAAAATGTGCCATTTTTCTATAAGACAAATTCTTTTCTTTCTCTTTTTTTCCTTCCTTCCTTTCTTTTCTTTTTTTTTTTGTTGGTTGTGGGTCTTGAAATCTGGGCCTGGGTGCTGTCCCTCAGCTCTTCAGCTCAAGACTAGCACTCTACCACTTGAGCCACAGCACCACTTCTGGTTTTCTGGTGGTTAATTGGATATAAGAGTCTCATAGACTTTCTTGCCCGGCTGGCTTTAAACCGTGATCCTCGGATCTCAGCCTCCTGAGTAGCTAGGATTATAGGCATGAACCAGCTACACTTTTTGTACACTATCTCTAATTTCCCAAGAAATCCTAAATAAGTAAAACATTTTTATTTAAAACATATTCATAAATATTATGGGTCTTTGTTTTTAATAGAATGGTAAAGGAACTAGGAGGCGATTGTAATCATTAAGTACAAAAAACTTTTTGGATTAAAAATGATCTCTGTTAGCCATGTGCTGGTGTCCATGCCTGTAATATTAGCTACTCAAGAGGCTGGAATCTGAGAATCATGATTTGTAACCAGCCCAGGCAGGAAAGTCTGTGAGACTCTAATCTCCAATGAACCACCAAAAAGTTGGAAGTGGAGCTGTGGCTTGAGTGGTAGAGCACCAGCCTTGGGCATAAAAGCCAAGGGACAGTGGCTAGCCCCTGAATTCAAGCCTGAGTACAAAATAAAAGAAAAAAGAAAATTATCACTACTGTAAAGGCAGAAGGTGAAAAAGAATTATATTAGTGATATAAATCAACCTGCAATTTCACCTAAGAATTGAGACTTGTGAATTGATGAGAAACAAAAGAAAAGGAAGAGGAGTTATGTGAGTTACCAAATGGGTTTGGAGACTCATGCTAGTAAGCAGGTTTTACCCCTCACCCACCAGAAGGGGGCGCTGTTATAAAGTCCATCCAAGCTCAGATTGAGTTCTGAGACTGATGTCAAACACAATGTGCAGCAGATGCAAAACTAGAACGTTTACTGCTGCTTCTGGGACACTTCCTTTGTTAGTGCTGAGAAACTATTTCCAGAAAAGAGGTTATTACAGAGAACACCAATAACTGCCAGTGCTCTTGGCTTATGTGGCATGGAGCCAGGTGACACATTGCCACCTCCTAAGACAGTGTCACACAGTGGGACTATGAGACATCTAAAGAGTGATCAGATGATCAGACTGGGAAGGAACAAATGAGGGCTATGGCCATCTCTCATCATCAAGTGCTATGGCTCCAGGACCCCCAGAGCTGTGGCTGCTCGTGGAAAGTTGCTACATGTAAAAAAAATTTAAAAAGCCAGGCACCGGAGGCTCATGCCTATAATTCTAGCAATTCAGAAGGCTGAGATTTAGAGGATCACATTTTGAAGCCAGCCACAGCAGATACATCTGAGAGACTCCATTACCAATCAACCAGCACAAAATGCCAGACTGTAGGTATGACTCAAATGGTAAAGCACCAGCCATGAAAAAGAGAGAGAGAACTCAAAGCCCTGAGTTGAAGCCTTGGTACTACCAGAAAAACCCCAAGCAAACACACGACAACAAAAAATCCCTGCCACCAATGTCTACTAGTCACTTAGAGCCATGAGACAATTCCAAAGGAGAAAACGGGGTGGGAACAAATTCTACATATTGCATTTATCAATAAGTGTACATAGTTGGGCTTCATGTAACCCACAAAGCTTTTTTTTTTTCTGGTCTTGAGCCTTGAACTCTGGGCCAGGACACTGGCCCTAAGCTCTTTTTGTTCAAGGCTAGTACTCTATCACTTGAGCTATAGCACCACTTCTAGCTTTTTCTGTGATTAATAAATTAATAAGTAAATTAATAGGACTTTCCTGCCTGGGCTGGCTTTAAACTTCAATCCTCAGATCTCAGTCTCCTGAGTAGCTAGGATTACCGGCGTGAGCCACCAGTGATGTTTTAAATTACATAATTCAAAAAATCTAAGATGTCATTCATTATGATATACCATTTGATATTAACACTGTAAAAATTAACAGTGTCAATTAAACTATACAGCATCAACAAATATAAAGCTACATTTTGAGTCTACAGATGTTAAAATGTGAAGCATATATATACTCACATATACTCAGATTTTATGAGATACCGTGAACATTTTTACTAGGAAAGCTTGAGTTTGCTTTTTGTTGTTTTTGTTTTTGTTGTTGTTGTTAGCTGTGGGGCTTGAACTCAGGACCTGGGTGCTGTCCCTGAGCTTTTGTGCTCAAGGCTAGTACTCTACCACTTTGAGACACAGCTCCATTTCTGGTTTTCTGGTGGTTAATTGGAGTCTCATGGACTTCCCTGACCAGGTTGGCTTTGTACCCCAATCCGCAGATCTTAGCCTCCTTAGTCTAGGATTATAGACATGAGCCACTAGCACACGGAATAAGGTTTTTTTGTTTTTTTTTTTAACTGTATTTAAAAAAAAATTGTTTTTTCTTTTTTGGTACTGGGATCAAACCCAGGACATTGCACTTGCTTTGTAAGTAACTTGCTACTGAGCTACATCCCAGCCTGAAAGCTCATGATTTAAAAGAAAGCTTTACTTTCCTTGTATAAAATCACAAACCAGTATATTTTTGGTTCTGTATGAAAAATGTCAGACAGAATTTACCAACCTCTCATTAAACTTTTTTTCTTGCCTCTGAGTTTTAAATACAGCTTTAGGTCTTTATAAAGACCCAGAAATATAAGAAATCCACTCAACATGTTGATTTATTTAACAAAATTATCTACTGACTAAAATAAAATGTTCACTTTTATGTAACATCAGGAAAATATAAAACCTGAAAGACATAGACCAGAACACTACTCCAATTTTCTAATGCCTAAGAGACCATGGTAGTTGCTATAGTTTGAGTGTTTGTTGAGACTTAGTCCCCATGTAACAGAACTTGTGGGACCACCAGATGGCTAGCATGAGAGTTCCAAACTACCTTATAATGAGGTTGAGGGAACTAGTGTAGCCTTTTACCCTTCCTATCCCTCTATAGCCATGTGAACACACAGACTTCACTCCCTTGGAAGAGGCAGAGATAAGGCACTACTAGCTAGGAAGCTGAAACCAGGCCTTCACCAGACCCTGAACATGTGGGTACCTTGAACTTGAACTTCCATCCTCTTCAAGTATGAGAAATGAATTTCTATTGCTAATGACATACCTCCAGGCTGAGGTACGTAGTTAGAGTAGCACAAACAGATTGAGATCTTCATCTTCTAGATTCTTTATAAAATTGAAAGGAAAATATTCTAAGCATTCTTTTTTGGTCTGGGAAAAGTAGAGGAAATTAAGAGGATGTCCTAAAATTTTGTGGGTTTTTTTTTTTTCCCCTTTGCCACCAGGAAGCTCTGGACCTCCGGTTTCATTGAGAGAGATAAGTCCCCACTAGTAGAGAAACTGTGGTGGAAATTCTGATCCAAAGGAGAGAAATCAGCTACAAAAAGCTGGAGTTCTAATCCTGCCAGTTAGATATAACTAGCAAGACTTTGGGTAAGTCACTTATAGTTTCGGGGTCTTTTAAAAAAAAATTTTTACAAAGACAAATAATTTCTAGAATACTCTCATGTCTAACTTTCTTGATTATGAAACACGTATAATGTACTCTTAGAATAAGACACAGCACAAAGCAGATAAAATTTTAGAATATTCTCCATTTAGCTACATGTAAAAAAAAATATGTCGGCTTTTTTTTTTTTTTAAAAACAGTTTTTGGTTAAAAAAAGTTTCCTTATTTAAATGCAGCCTACAGGAAGAAGCAAAAGACATGCTAATGTTAAAACAAAGATTTACATGTATTGCTGTATAGTTAGAGAAAAACATAAATAAACTTTGAGTTTTTTAGAAAGTGTTTTGTTCTACAAAGTTGCCATATTGTTTTCTGTATGATGCGAGGACTTGGGAAGGAAGACAGGTCTAAGGAGAGCTTGTGACTTTTTTTTTTTTTTTTGCCAGTCATGGTGCCTGAACTCTGGGCCTGGGTGCTGTCCCTCAGCTCTTCAGCTCAAGGCTAGCGCTCTACCACTTGAGCCACAACACCACTTCCAGCTTTTTCTGCTTATGTGGTGCTGAGGAATCAAACCCAGGGCCTCATGCATGCAAGGCAAGCACTCTACCACTGAGCCACCTTCTCAGCCCCGAGCTTGTGACTTTTATCCCCTGATTGGAGAGTGGGACAAGAACATTGCCCCTTCTCAGGCATCCTAGCCTAAAGAATTGATTTTTTTCTCCTTTAGATAAGAATCAATTAATTCATTATGTTTCATAAGAATTACTATGCCTTTTCTTTTGTTGAATCTATGAATTGATTTCTCAAATGTTACTTTCATGCTGTAAAACTTGCCAGGACAGTTTAATCAACAAGTTTGGTTTCTGAGTGAGAATGGCCTACAATTAGTAACATCTGAAAACATGACAACGTAACTTTTTGGTTAAAAATACAGGTTTAGCTGAGCTCTAGAGGTTCACGCCTATAACCCTAGCTTCTCAAGAGGCTGAGACCTAAAGATTGTGGTTCCAAGCCAGCCAAGGCAGGAAAAGCCAATTCGTTAGCAAAAAGCCAAAGTAGAACTGTGGTTCAACACCAGCCTTGAGTGAAAAGGCTAAGTTAGAGTAAAAGGCCCTGAGTTCAAATCCCAGATGTTTTTGTTGGTATCCTAATACTCACATGCGAACCTCTATTAGGACACTGGAAAGTGCTATAAAACCAAGATATTGCAATTGTAATAAATATGTTTAAATACCTTCTAGTTCACCAATTTTCTTGGCAAATACTTTCAGTTGTTTTTTTAGTTTCCGGACAGTCTTATCCTGTTTTTCAAGCTGTTCCATCAAATCCTAAAGATCAAGATGAAAAATAGAACAGAAAGATCAAAATAAGTCTTTTAAAATACAGTGAGGGAGACACAAACCACAGAACAGCACTGTTAGTTTTATAGAAAAGCTCCAGAATAGCTCATTGGTGGAGCCACCACCTGGCTAAAACTGGCAGGTGTGGAAAGTACAGCTGTGGTAAAAGCCAAATGCTAAAATAGGCAATGCCATAAAAGGCTTTACAGCGTGATGGAAGGCAGGCTTGCTGTGGGTCTTTTCCATTGGACTTGATGTGGGGGAAAAATGACCGAATGCTTACAAATGCACTGTCATCCCAGTGAAGGGGAAAAGGTACAATGTACAAAACACAAAACAGTGGGAAGATTTAGACAGGTGCTGATGGCTCAGGCCTGCTACCCTACTAATTCAGGAGGCTTAGATCTGAGGACTGGGAAGAAAAGTCTGTGGGGCTCTTAGCTCTAATCACTGAAAACTTGGAAGTAGAGTGGTGGCTCAAGTGGTAGAGCACCAGCCTTGAGCTCTGAAAAATCTAAGTGACTGTACCCAGGCCCTGAGTTCCAGCCCCAGTACTTGTATAAAAATTTTTTTAAAAAGGTGGACGTTTTAAGGATGGCTGCAGTTTGGTGTGGAGACTAATGTTCCGTATGTGTGAAGCAATGGTCTCTTTTAGATCTTACCTTAGCAGATTCTAAAATAAGCCTTGAGGATGGTAGGGGGAAAACAATGGAGGGGGTAACAATGTTCAAGAGGAAGTGTACTCATTAAAAAAAAATAAATAAATAAAATAAGCCTTGAAATCTAGGCAAAGTAAGAAGTTTGGAGAATTAAGATGTAAGCTAAGGGCTGGGAATGTGGCTTAGTGGTAGAGTGCTTGCCTAGCATGCATGAAGCCTTGGGTTTGATTCCTCAGTACCACATACACAGAAAAAGCCGGAAGTGGCACTATGGCTCTAGTGGTAGGGTGCTAGTCTTGAGCATAAAGAAGTTCAGGGATAGCACCCAGGCCCTGAGCTGAAGCCCCAGGATGGCCCCCCCAAAAAAGATATAAGCTAAAAAAAAATAATCAGAGTGATATAGAGAAAGATGTAGCTGACCTAGGACCAAAGGGGCAGGTAGCAGTGTAAGTGGGCATCCATGAACACGTCATGCAAGAAAGCAACAGTCTATTTAAGGGGAGGGTAAAAAACAAAAGTTCTATGATTATTCACTTTCTCAAATGACAGGTACAGCTGGAAACTCAGGAATTAAAAGGAAAGTAGACAAGAGTAGTTTTGGAAAGCTTTGGAAGGAAATGAGTCAATTATGTTTATAGTTGTCATCCAAAAGGGAAAAGCATTTACAGATACAAATTTGTACCAGGCACCTGTGGCTCACCCTGTAGTCCTGGCTACTCAGAGGGCTAAGATCTAATGATCCAAGTTTAATGCCAACCTGGGCAGCAAAGTTTATAGGAATGCATCTCCAATTAACCAGCAAAAGCAGAAATGGAGGCATGGTTCAAGTGGTAGAGCACCAGCCATGAGAGAAAAGCTGAACTGTGACCGCAGCACACCCATGCATACACACACCCACACATACATACACACACCCTCACACACATGAAACACAAATTTATTCACTGTCCACTTTAGACAAGTGTATATAGATCCCAGACCCATGTTTTGAAGGAAATAGTTGCTAATATTTCCAAGTGTTCAGAGTTATGCTTCTTGAATTTTGATCTTTGCAAACACATTTTGCTTCCATCATGCTGTAAGCCCAGCGTTAAAAACGAACCAAACATGGCAATGGACGCAGGACACAGAGAGGTGACACCACTAGCGGAGAGACAGCTGTGGGGAGAAACAGGCTGTGTGCAGGGTTTTCAGGAGATTTTTCTGGGTAGGGGCAGACAGCAGTGGCTGTTCAATTATAGAGGGCTGAAAAGAGCGAGGGAGACAAGGAGAAAGCACTGTGATTTTACATACAATCATCCGTTTGTAAAGTGAAATCCGATAGGATTGATACTTCTTAGGGTCATCTGCATATAATTCCTCAAAATACTGAAAAAACAGGCACAATGGATATTTGTTTTTTTCTTGGGTCTTGGAGGAAAGGCCACCTCTCAGCAGAAGCAATTTTAAAAATATGTGAAAACACAAATAATAAACCTGAATTCTTCATCTGCCAGCACTCTCATTACTGTAATATAAATGATCTGAACTATATACTTAGTGATTTTTTTTTTTTGCATGATAAAGACAGGAGGTGCTGGGCACTGGTGGTTTATGCTTATAATCAAGTTACTCAAGAGACTGACATCTGAGGATCACAGTTCAGAGCCAGCCTGGGCAGAAAAATCCTTGAGTCTCTTATCTCCAAATTAACTGGCCAAAAAGACAAGAAGTAGAACTATAGCTCAAGTGATAAGAGTGGCAGCCTTGAATGGAAAAGCTGAAGGACAGTGCTCAGGCCCTAAATTCAAGCCCCAGCACTGGCACAAAAAAGACAGGTTGGCTGACAAAGACACTGCTGCTCAGCAGGCCACCAGCAGTGAGCCATGTCATCCAGCCAAGACTCAGACTTCTTGCTTCTCTTTCAGTGACATGCTCTGTAGCCAGCCACAGCCACAAGGGTAGGGAATGAGAAACACAGCCCTGGCAGGGCCTCTCATTTGAAGGTAGGGGGGGCTGGTGAGAAGCCCTGTCCCTTCCTTCTTTCCTTCCTTCCCCAAAGGCCATGTGGAGGAGGCTTGTGAATCCTCTTCACTTCATGAGGGAGAAAAACCATTTTTGTATTGGTGTTGGCGGCAGGTGGGTGGTGGATGTTATGCAAGGCACACTTTCCGAAAAACAGCCCAAATCAACTGCTGCTTTCACATTCTGCTCAAGGGCTTTCCTCAAGAATTGCATGATGCAGGCCAGGTGCCATTGGCTCATGCCTATAATCCTCGTTATCCAAGAAGCTGAGATCTGAGGATCACAGTTCAAAGCCAGCCTGAGCAGGAAAAGTCCATGAGACTCTATCTCCAATTAACCACCAAAAAGTTAGAAGTGGAGCTGGGGCTCAAGTGGTAGAGCACTAGGTTTGAGCAAAAAAAGCTATGGGACAGCCCTGAGTTCAAGCGCCAGTGCTGGCAATTAATAAGCAAATGAATTTGAATTTTACAATTCAAACTAAGAAACTATAATGAGTTTGAAAAACTGAAATGAAGTATTTTGTGAACTTGAATATGACATCGTTCTTTGGAATCTGTAGTCAGTATAAGGGCAGGAAAAAAGCTCATCTGCAAAGGGGGTTTTCTGAACTCAGACTCATTAACTAGACCTTTCCCAGCTTAGAATATGGGGGCTTAGTTTATTTTTATGTTAGCTATGAAACATTGCCAAGAAAATGAATGCTGAAGACACAGTGCAAAGAAAACACTTGATCAACTTAGTGAACAAACCCCAAGAATCTGATAGCCCAGAGGCATCTCAATTTCATGGGCTCACTTAGTTATTTTAACAAAACCAATGATAAAACACAGAATTTGTACACTCATCAATCAATATTATTCAGTATCATTCAAAATTATTCAGTTACTTGGTATAGATTTAGCAATTCTTAGCTATGAAAGCATTGTTAGTTGAATATAAGCCATGATATAACTCAAGAGTACTATACAATGACATTTTAAGAGTATTTTATGATTCAGATGATTTCCCCAGACAAATTAAGAGATTTCAGGCACTTTGGAAAGAGTCCAAATACCACCTCTCCCTTCCCATCTCCCATTTCTACCTCGGGGTTTCACAGCCAGCAGAGTGGGGGGGACGGGAGACTTATAACTTTGGGTTGAATAAATGACACTAGAAAAGTATTTGCAATGTGAATGATCATTAATGGAACAATGGAGGGATGATTCAGATTGTTAAGTCTTTAGAGAAGATGCAAACATTTGTATTATAGGTTATTAACAAAAACCTTAACTAGCAGAGTGCCAGATGCTCACAACTGTCTGTCATCCTAGCTACTCAAGAGGTTGAGATCTGAAGATGGTGGTTTGAAACCTGCCTGAGCAGAAAAGCCTGTGAGCCTCTTCTCTCCAATTAACCACCAAAATGCCAAAAGTAGAGCTGTGGCTCCAGTGACAGAGCACTACCAGCTCAGGGTCCAGAACATCAGACCTCCCTCCACTCCCCCAGGAACCTTCTGTGAAAGACAACCTTTGAACATGCCCTTCTCGCTGCTGCCAAATAAGGGATAACAAGTGTAAGGCAGGGTGTTTTTCCCAACTGAGATGTTGGACAAAAAAGAAAGCAGACCATCCAGCATGCTGGCGGAGCAGGAAGTCCCGCCCCTGTCCTTACCAGGTTCTCGTTGGTCAGCCGGGTGATCTCATGCTGCAGGCTGGCCTCGATGCGGGCCTCCGGGGGCAGCTGCAGGTTCTGGGCCAGCAGCTGCTGCTGCCGATTGTTCTCCTCCTTTAGGCTCTGGATCTCCCCTCGGAGGGCCTCAGCCTCGTTCTCGTGGCTCCTCTTCTGTGATTGCAGTTGCGATTCCAAGAGCCTGTGGAAGCCACACCAGCAGAGGGGGAGATGACACAGAGCCCCTGCCTGGGGGGCCTGAGGTCACAGGCTCACTTCCCAGAGGAAAAGCAACTTGCAGCATGTGTATGTCAGCATCTGACTTGATTCAAGTCAAAAAAACGCAAACCAGGGCGATATGCACTCACATACTTGTGTCCTTCTGAACTGTTTAAAGCTCATCATCAGAAACACAGGAGTTTTAACTTTTTGGAAAAAATGTGAGGAAATGATTAGTTAAAAAAAAAAAAAAAAAAAAGCAGAGGAGGGGGTAACAATGCTCAATAGGAAATGGACTCATTACCTTGCTCATGTAACTGTAACCCCTCTGTACAGTATCTTTACATTAAAAAATATGTATTAAAAAATCAATTAGAGCAGGAAATGGTGCTACATCTCTGCAATCCTAGCCACACTCAGGAGGCAGAGATGGGAGACAACCCAGCCCCAGCAAACTCAGCTTGAGATCCCTATTTTAAAAACAACATAAAAGGGCTGGGGACGTGGCTCAAGCTGTAGAGGGCTGGCCTAGCATGCACAAGGCCCCGGGTTCAATCCCCAGCACCAAAACTTAAAAAAATAAAAAGAAATGAAAGATGTAGCTTTAATGTTGGCTTACTATATTTATACAGTAGCATTTAAGTTGGCCAAACCCAACAGAATTATCACCACAAGCTAAGTTGGAATTATAAAGGGTAAGAATGCAAACTGTTAATCTAACCAAATATGCCTTTAAGGATACAGCTACTCATTCCAGGGATAGCCATGGTCTCACATGTACATTAAATCTCTGCTTTAGGGTAGAAAGGCTGGAGTGCTACTTTCAAATACATTTACCCTAATTCAGAGTGACAGTTGAAAATATATATATATATATATATATATATATATATATATATATATATATATATATATATATATATATAAGCATCTGGTCTTTCTACATATAAGTAACACAATCCTAACAAGACAGGGCTTTGGAACTTTAGTATTAAGAGGATCCGACATGCTCAGTAGATCTCTGAGGAAACTGCCAGCCAACTGAGCACATGGAGCAGAGCTGGCACAGACAGCACAGGCACTGGTCAGAGTGTCCCCTTCACCATGTACCACTCCTTTACCAAACTCAAAACAGCCACGGTTAAAAATTAACCAACATGGCCAGGATGCTGTAATCCTAGCTACGCAAGAGGCTGAGATCTAAGGATTACAGATAAAATCCAGGAGACTTATCTCAAATTAACCAGCAAAAAAATGGAAGTGGGGGGGCTGTGGCTCAAGTGATAGAGCATCAGCCTTAAGAGAGTGCTTGAGCCTTGGGTTCGAGCCCTAGTATCAGCACAAAAAAGATAAAAAAGGAAATGACCAACATTTAAAAAAAAAGACGTTCATTTATTCTAATTGTCTCCATTACCACTGCCTGGGTAAAACTCATTGGTGACTCTGCCAATAAAGAATAACAAACTAAAAGTATTTTAATAATTGCAGTATTTCAAAAGGATTTCAATCATTAATACCACAAAGTTAATGGCAATGGTTGACTGTTAGAACAGACAAAGCAGAATAAGCAGAAGCCCCTTGAACAGTGCAAAAATTGTTTAAATGCACTCACTAAAAATGGAATTTTTTATAAGATTTTTAAGATATACATAATGAGTATCTATGTTACAAAGATGCTGCTTTTTAAAAAATTCTGTGTTCTTTTCCATGGACAAATTTAGTGTGCTGCTAAGTTTGGGTAGGTATTCTGAACTGAAGCAAAGCATGAAACCCTCTTGATGTTTTGTGTGTTTTTGGTATACCTACTGGGTCTTGAACTCAGTGCCTGGGTGTTCTTTTCTCTTTGATCAAGTTGCACTTTGCCACTCAAGCCACAGCTCCACTTCCAGCTTTTTGCTGGGTAACTGGAGATATGAGTTTCACACAGCCCTGTCAGGGTTGCCTTCAAACTGCAATCTTCAGATCTCAGCTTCCTGAGTGGCTGGGATTACAGGCATGAGCCACTGGTGGCCAGCTAAAGTTTAGCTTTTACAGCACCTCTATGTGTGTGTGTGTCTGTGTGTGCACACTGAGTATCTGGGCTGAATGTTCTCTGTTGTTATACTGAAAGTAATTTACCATGGAGAAAATCAATACACAAAAAACATGGGAGTTAAAGTCAAGAGATTACTGTTAGTAAGAAAAGAAACAAATTAGTAACAATCCATTTTGAGGGGACAAATATAACCTGTTGGCTTGTTTTAACCCTTCATAAGCCAGCCACAGCTCTCCATCCTCATTCAACTCATGGCAATCCATAGCAGATGATCTTCCATGCAAAGGAACACAATGCAAAACACAAAGGGACACAGGATGCAAATGAGGTAAGGGTGACAGGGAGTGTGCATGCTATTTTAATATTTATCAAGGGGACAAGTTTGTTTTCATTAGTAACTTTATGACAAAAACCACACAAAAAAACTACTTTGGGTGACTTTTTTTTTAAAAAAAGGACATGTAACACTGCAACGAGCAGAAAATAGAGCCAAATAATCAAGAACCTAGAGCTACTTTTCCTGAAAAAAACAAAAAAATCAATGTCAACAAAAAGAAAGAGATTCTGTTTCCAAGATTTCCTTCAGGTGGCTGAATGATCCACGATTCATAGATGGGAAGCTATGACACACATAGAAGAAAAATTCCAGCTCCCACTTTATGTGGCAATCTTGGCCATCTATTTCAAAAGCAAGTTTTAGGTTTTCTGGATAGGAATTTGCTTGAGCTTAATCAAATCAAACTTCCCACTTAAAAACTTAATTTTAACTTGGTACTGGTACAATCCTAGCTACTCAGAAGACTGAGATCTGAGGGTAGAGTGGGGGGGAGGGTGCCCCAAAGCCAGGAGAATCTTATTTCTAAATAACTACCAAAACAGCAAGAAATAAGGGCTGTGGTTCGAGTAGAAAAGCACCAATTTGTGGCAAAAAGGCCAAACGAAAGCCTTCAGTTCAAGCCTCAATACCAGCATTAAACAAACAAACAAACAAATAAATCTACACCTTTTAATAATTTGTCCATGAGAGCAAAGACTGCTATTGCTTTCATGTCCTGCTGGATTGGAAGTGTGTGGCACAGGTATGGCACATAGTAGGCACACAGGATATCTGGATAGATAAAGAGCATATTGCTCTTTCTATGGTAATGTACTCTTAGATATACCCATGTTTTAAATTTACATTTATCAGTTAAAATTTCCGTTTAACCAAATGCTTGTGTATTTCCCATCAGTGACTAAAAAAGGAAGTAAGACTTATTTCACTGTTTACATGGCAAATATCTTTAGTTGGTGATCACTTACTTGTGTGTGCCCATACTGACACTACATACCAGGAAATCTGGACCAAACATTGATAATAGGTATCACCAGAATTGGCTTTCTCTCCTGTCGTCCCTGGCTAGGTCACTTCAAAATCACTTAGCAAGCTGGGTGCCGGTGACTCATGCCTATAATTCTAGCTACTCCGGAAACTGAGATCTGAAGATCGCAGTTTAAAGCAGGCCCAGGTAAGAAAATCCATGAGACTCTTATCCCCAATCAACCACCAGAAAACCAGACGTGGCACTATGATTCAAAGTGGTAGAGCATTAGCCTTGAGCAAAAGAGCTCTGGAACAGTACTCACACTGAGTTCAAATCTTCCAGCCAAAAAACAAACAAACAAAAACACCTAGCAATAGTCTTCAGAATTCAGTAGTACTAATATTCTGTTGAGAAGTAAGGTAATGGGAAAGCGGAACTCCAGATAAAAGGCGTATTCTCCCATCCCTAAAGTCACGCTAATCTTTTTAGTTTAGGGTCTGGAGGTGTTGCTCAGGTGGTTGAGCACCAGTCTGTCAGCCAAAGTGCCAGGCCCTAAGTTTAAGGCCAACACTGAAGAAATTCTGTATACCTCATCATTTCTCTTCTTGACCAAGTTCCCCTTACTGAAAGCTGACATTTCCCTACAGACCTTCCAACAATCATGGGGAGTAGCAATCAGATTATGAAGGGCCCACCTAAGACTGTCCAAACTGCACAACTGGCCTTCTCAAGGCAACACTTGAGGGCTAAGGCCCTGAATACATGAAAGTATCTTTCCCTCGTGCAATAAGCTTCCAGACACCCCTCATCAATAATACTACCTACCATTATCAATGGGAGTTTTGCCACGATGATTTTTATTGTACACTGTACAAGGAGGGTTCACTGTGACATTCCCATACATTATCCAATGTGCCCCAGCAACCTCACCTCCTCTATTACTCTTTCTTTTCCTTCTTTTTTTTCTTTTTTTGTGCCAGTCCTGTGGCTTGTACTCAAGGCGTGGGTACTGCCGTTACTTAAGCTTTTCTGTTCAAAGGAGATGCTCTACCACTGGAGCCGTATTTCCACTTTCAGCTTTTTGCTGGTTTGGATTTGTCTACTGGGGCTGGCTTTGAACCTTGATCCTTAGATCTCAGTCTCCTGAGTAGCTAGGATTATAAAGTGGGCCACCAGCACCCAGATTTTCTTGGCTTTAATTTACAAAGTACTCTTGATTTGATACCTGTGGCTGAGCATGGTGGGTCACCCCCTTCTCAACGTCTTAGAATGCTTTTAATAGTTTTGTGATCCTACTTTCATATATGCATATAAAGAACTTCAACCATATTCATCCTCATTCATCCTGCTCCTACTGATCCATGTTCCTCAATGGGCCTGTTTATAATGGATTGTAACAGGGAGTACATGAGAAGTCTTGGATTCTCTCTGAAGTTGCTGTCTGATTAAGCAATGAATGGTCATGTTGACTTCTGCTCCACAAGGAGGCTGGCTGACTTGGAGACTCAAGATTAATACAGTTAAGCTAAAATGAAGCAAAGAAGAATCAACTTACCTGTTTGTTTCTTTCAAACCAATGTATGCTTGTGCTATTTCGCCTTTATCTTTCATTTTTTGTACATCTTCCAAAAGTATTGTGGCATCTGTCATTGTATTCTGGAGGAAATGACACATTCCCACATTAAGACTCAATTGAAAAAGGTGTGGCCAACATATTCTATTTTCCTCCAGTTTGGGGTGCTTATGTACTTCACCCTACCTGTGTCACAACTGAGCATCAACTCAGCCCCATGCAACCACAGCTGGAAAATGCCTAACACTATACTTTAAAGGTGACCAGATCTGTAGTACCACTGTCCTGCCAATACAATCACTGGTGGGCTCTGTGCATTTGACATATGGAAACAATGTGTGTGCATGTACACACACAAACAGCATAACAGTCTATACAACAACAGAGAAATAGGCAACCACTCAATGGAATGTACAAAAACAATCAATTACTTTCTGACCAGTTCAAAGGAAAGAAACACCAAATAAAATATCCGAAAACTTGGCACTAACTTCATTTTTTTCCCCATTAAAAACTCAGTACAAAGTAGGTAATGTTCAGATGTGATGCTTTATAAAATTAAAGTTTTTTTTTTCTCATCTCATCTTAAGATATATCTAAGTGGGAAGGAGGGAGCTCTTTTTAAATATCTTCCATCTGCCTTTTAATTCTCTTCTCCTCTAGCACAACTCAGCATAGTATGTATATAAATCTACATACATACATATATGTACATGAATTGGAAAGAAACATTAGACAGGTACATTACTGATTTTTTTTCATATAAAAGGGATATTTTGTCAACATTTTAATTTCCTTTTTCTATTTGGTCTAACCTGACATGGAACATAGTATCTATATTATTTATCTATCCATCCATCCCATCCATCCATCCATCCATCCAATCATCTATATATTGTTTGTGCCAATACTGGGATTTGAACTTGGATCACTCTCTTGCTTTTCTTTTTTGCTTAGGGCTGGCACTGTACTACTTGAGCCACAGCTCCACTTTTGGCTTTTTTGGTGGTTAATTGGAAATAAAGAGTCTTATGGACTTTCCTTCCTGGACTGTCTTTGAGCCATGATCCTCAGATTTCAGCCTCTTGAGTAGCTAGGATTACAGACATAAGCCACTAGTACCCAGCAGGGAACATAGTTTTAAAATCTTTATTCAGTTGCTTTCTACTTTGCCAAAGCAGGACAGGAAGAGATGAGGCACACTGTTCTGTATCTTCTTAATAATAATATACTTCAGAACACAATGGCCTGTTCAACTTATCTAAATAGTATTTGTCCGATTCTTTATTCAACATTTGCTCTATGGACTTAGTGGAGTATGTTTCAAATACCATGCTCTTAGAAACTAGTTTGAGATAAGTCCAGTTGTACCTGTTCCTCAGTGGCTGAGAACAAGGTATAGGGGAAGTGGATGCTGCAGCCTCAGCAGGAGAGACTTTTACTCCCTGAACTCCTGGATCTAAGTGGCTCAGCTGCTCAGGCTCCTCCCCTTCCTTGCTGTTCCCACAAACCTACAGCTGTTAGATACAAGAGCTTTGCTGGGTGTCAGTGGCTCATACCAGTAATCCTAACTACTCAAGAGGTAGAGATCTGAGACTTGCTATTTGAAGCCAGCTCAGGTGGACAAATCCTCAAGTCTCTTATCTCCAATTATCCAGCAAAAAGTTGGAACAAGAAGCATGGCTTGGGATGGGAAAGTGGCTTAGTGGTAGAGTGCTTGTCTAGCATGCATGAAGCCCTGGGTTCGATTCTTTAGTACCATATACACATAAAAAACCGGAAGTGGCCCTGTGGCTCAAGTGGTAGAGTGGTAGCATTGAGCAAAAGCAGCTCAGGGACAGTGGTCAGGCCCTGAGTTAAAGCCCCAGAACTACCTCCCTCCCTCCCACAAAAAGGAGCATGGCTCAAGTGGTAGAGCAATAGCTAAGAGTAAAAAGCTAAGCAAGAGTACAAGGCCCAGAGTTCATGTGCCAGTATTGTCACAAAAAAAGAAAGAAAGAAAAAGAAAATAAAAGAACAAGAACTTGAAGTGCCTGAACATCTGAGTGTATGCCAAGCGTTTCCTTTTCTGGACTGATCCTGTCCTACCACAACTGCTGTCATGAGTTACAGAGCTGACACTAGAACTCACAGAGACCAGTCTAGAAACCAGACTGAAAGCTGGTTCCCAGAGCAAATGGGAAATTAATGTGCAAATATCAGAATAGCCTTAAGTGTTCATAAACCATCCATTACCTATACTGAGGAAGACCTGAAAAATGTTAGGACTATCTATAAGTGGTATTAAACATTGGGGAAAAAAATCTTACCATTACCTTGTCATCCTGAAAAATCACAAGTTGGCAGGCACAAAAAAAAAAGGAAAAAAATTTTTAGTTCTGTGATTAAATTGCATCAATGATTCTCATTATAGCAGAAAAAAAGCTAATTTAAAAAGAACTATCAATTACTTGTCCTAAAATGAATTCTGTAAATAAATTAACATTCACGAAAGTGTCAGGTGAACCTCAATATATATATATGATGGCAGCTCTTGTTTAAAATTCTCTCAAGTTGCTTTGGTTTTAATTTTTTATTAATTTTTTAAATTTTTTATTAATTTACTTTATTGCTATTATTACGTACAGAGGGATTAAAATTACATGAGTCAGGTAATGAGTACATTTCCTTCTGTACAGTATCATCTGTTCCCTCATTCTCTCTGCAGAATGAATACATACATACACACACACACACACACACACACACACACACACACACACACACACACACGTTGGTGGTGGTGGTGGTGGTTGTGGGGCTTGAATTCAAGGCTTGGGTGCTGTCCTTGAGCTCTTTTGCTCAAGGCTAGTCCTCTACCACTTGAACTACAGCACCACTTCCAGTTTTCTAGTGGTTTATTGGAGATAAGAGTCTCTCAAACCTTCCTGACTGGGCTGTCTTCGAACCGTGATCCTCAGAGCTCAGCCTCCTGAGTAATTAGGATTACAGGCATGAGCCACCAGAGCCCATCTCTGCAGAATATTTTGAAGAGAACAGCCCTGCTATTGATATACCTCTGTGAGATTTTTGTCCTAGGTCCTTGAGCATTTAAGTAATGTCCACTAGGGGGCATCTGTCCAGGTGGAGCAGACCAAGCTGCAGGGCGAGAATCATCCTCTGGTTCATGGGTATTGCTGGGGTAGACAGCGCTGGGATGTTAGAACATCAGTGTTGTGGGCATCTTTCCTAGACGAGGCTAAGGCAGTTGCCCTGTGTAGGCTGGTGCTGGGTGAACAGGGACCTGGGTCAGACAGGGCTGGCCCATCAGAGGTAGATCAGCTGTCTCATGGGTTGTGTGGGCTGAGTGAGTACATTTGATACCAGAGCTCTAAGCTCTGAAAGCTACTGGTTTTTGTTTTGTTTTTTTTGTCGGTCGTGGGGCTTGAACTCTGGGCCTGGGTGCTGTCCCTCAGCTCTTCAGCTCAAGGCGAGCACTCTACCACTTGAGCTACAGCGCCACTTCCAGTTTTCTGGTGGTTTATTGGAGATAGGAGTCTCACAGTCTCTCCTGCCCAGGCTGGCTTTGAACCGCGATCCTCAGATCTCAGCCTCCTGAGTAGCTAGGATTACAGGCGTGAGCCACCAGCGCCTGGCGCTACTGGGTTTTTATGTTGCACATTTCATTTTTCTCATACTTTCAACTTTTACTACATGTCCTTGTGAGATTATCACCATGTACTCTGCAAGTATATACAATTGTTGCTTGTAAACTTAAAAAAAAACAAAAGACTACCAGTTTTCACATGGGAATCATCAGAAGAGAATCTTGATTTTGGAATGAACCCCAGCAAGCATGCAGCCTTCTTTCCCCAGGCCCAGCCACATCAGACATGAACATAAAAGGGGGTTGTTCTCTAAGAGGGTAAGGTGTGGGAGAGGGAAAAATAGTAGAGCACCTGTCCTAGCAAGTGCAAAGCCCTAAATTCATTCTCCACTATCTCCAAAAAGTACTGAGAATCTGGGTGCTGGTAGTTCATACCTGTAGTCAGGAGGCTGAGATCTAAGGATCAAGGTTCAAAGCCACCCTGGATGGCAAAGTCCATGGCACTCTTATATCCAATTAATCACCAAAAAACTAGAAATGGAGCTATGGCTCCAGTGGTAGAGTGCCAGCCTTGAGTAGAAAAAGCTAAAGGATGGCACCCAGGCCCTGAGTTCAAACCCTGGTAATGACACATTCATACCAAGTATTTGTCGCCCAACAAAGATTAATTTTAAGTCTTGTAGCCAGGCGCTGGTGGCTCATGCCTGTAATACTAGCAACTCAGGAGGCTAAGAGCTGAGGACTGAGGCTTGAAGTCAGCCCCAGCAGGAAAGACTGCGAGACTGTTATCTCCAATTAATCACAGAAAAAGCTGGAAGAGGTGATGTGGCTCTAGTGGTAGAGCACTAGTAGCCTTAGCCCAGGGATAGCTAGGCACAGAGTTCAAGCCCCAGAACCAGAAAAAAAAACTTATTTGTCTGTGAGTAACAGATGAAACTTTGAAGGTCAATTGGGATTCCATTTGTTTTTTTTTTTGTTTTTATGATTGCTTAATAAGTTTGCTTCATTCTGAATTACAGGCAAAGGTTAAGAAGTGGCAGGCTTCTCCCAGACTCCAGCCATGTATGCTGGCGCTTACCTTGGGCTGGATGGCCTCTTTCTGGCTGACCAGCTGAGACCGCAGGATGAGGACCTCCTCCTTGCGGACATCCAGCTCCTCACTCACCGAGGTCAACTGCTCCATGAGGACGCGGTAGGCAGGAGCTCCAGGCGCAGTCACCTCCGGAGCACTTTTCTCACTGAGGGCTTTGCGTAACTCATTGAGCTCATTTTTCAGTTTCTTGTTTTCTGACTCGAGTTCTTGACGCTGAATGAGGAGATAAAGCCAAGTACACTGCTGTCCTTCTTGACAGATGATACATTGGAAAACTCAATTTGCCCCAGGCAGGCTGGTAGAGAATTCTGATTGAAATGGACATTAAAGCTCCCCCAGTGAATGGCTTCCAGAACCTTCTGGGAAGGCTGCTAGGTAAGTTAAGGAGGCAAGGCATCTAGTAGAACTGAGCAAAGCTAATGGTAGTTTGAATCATCAACCTAAATTCCACAGGCAAGTGTATTCTGGAATGCTCCGGGTGTGTCTCCAGGCTAGAGATTGATGAGTGTCAAAAGGGTGGAAGTAGTCTAAGAGACTCAGGTTTTATTTGCAGGGAAATAGAAGATAATTCCAACTCTGAAGCAGAATAAGATACTTTGAATGAATAGTTACAGTGAGTAGACCCTGAAATCTTTTTTTTTTTTTTTAAGGGGGGCAGTCCTGGGGCTTGAACTCAGGAACAGAGCAATGTCCCTGAGCTTTTCTGCTCCAGGCTAGCATTTTACCACTTGAGCCACAGCTCCATTTCTGGCTTTTTGGTGGTTCACTGGAGATAAGAATCTCATGAACTTTTCTGCCTGGGCTGTCGTTGAACCTTGGCCCTCAAATCTCAGCCTCTTTTAGTAGCTAGGACTGCAGGCGTGAGCCACTGGCACCTGGCTTCCTTGGGGCTTTATTTAGCACAGACCACAGGACCAGATGAAATTGGAACTGTCTAAAGATCCCAGAGACACAATCTTTGGGGCTTGTAGCACCATTAATATTCTGTACTCTGCTGTAAAAATGAATGCTCCCACTATTCCCCATCTCTTACCAATTGTAATCAGAGTTGGATAGCTCATCTGTATAACAGAAAACATACAAATGTCTTTAATTTGATGCCTTAGCATCAGTGTTTTCAAACTTCAATGTATATCAGAATCACCTGGAATTCTTGTTAAAATACATATTGCTTGCCCAAGAAGCAGTATACTCAAAACCTGACTTCTGAAATTTTAATACATATTGCCAGATGCTAGTAGCTCAACGCCTGTAATCCTAGCTACTCAAAAGGCTGAAATCTAAGGATCACGGTTCAAAGCCAGCCTGGGGAGGAAAGTCTGTGAGACTCTTATCTCCAACAGAAAACCAGAAGTAAGGCTGTGGCTCAAAGTGGTACAGTACTAGCCTTGAGCAAAAGAGCTCAGGGACAGCACCCAGGCCCTGAGTTCAAGGCCCATGACTGACAAAAATAAGTAAGTAAATGAATAAATAATAAAAATTAAAAAATACATATTGCTGGGAAGTAGAGGTATGGCTCAAATGAGAGAACACCAGCCTTGAGTAAAAAAGCCAAGTGAGAGCACAAGGCCCTGTGTACCAGCCCTGGCACTGGCATACAGCAGTGTCTTTATTTGTCCCTGTGTACATGAGTCAGGAGACAGTCTGGAGAGCATATGGTTACCCCTGTGTCTCAGGTCTACAACACCCTCAGCCCCAATCAGGTTTTCCTGTGACACAAGGAGCACTTGAACCAGGCACTATTCAGCCTATGTTCTTTAGGATTGTAGATTGAAATGGCAGTACCCCCAGCCCTAGTCCTCTCCAGGAGGGGGAGGGATAACAAGCAGGGTGAAAGAGGATGATTATGGTCAAAGTATTATTTGCCTGTATGACTATAAAACAGTAAAACCTGCTGCAACTGGGGCTGGGAAGGTGGCTCAGTGGTAGAGTGCCTTGCTTTGCATGCATGAGGCCCTGGGTTCGATTCCTCAGCACCACATAAGTGAAAAGAAAAAAAAGCTGGAAGTGGTGCTGTGGCTCAAGTGGTAGAGCGCTAGCCTTGAGCTGAAGAGCTGAGGAACAGTGCCCAGGCCCAGAGTTCAGGCCCCACGACCGGACCCCCTCCCCCAAAAAAAACCTGCTGCAATTGTTGTAGCAAGGGGGTAAGGGAGAAGGGAATGTGATAGAGGGGGTAAGATTGATTAGAATACATTATATACATGAGTACAAAGGTCCTAATGAAATCACCCCGTACATAACTAACGAATGCTTAAAATAAAAAAAGAAGAAATAGAATTTATAAAAAGAAGCTACATGGGCTAGAAGTAACGCATGAAGAGGCATAAGCCAGGGCTTAGAGCTAAGGGTGTTCTCTGAGAGAGAAAAAAAAAAAACAACAACCAGATTCTGGGAAGGTCTCTTGTGCAAACAAAGTATTTAAAGTCAGCTAGAAAACTCCCTTTACCTTGAGGGACTCATATTCCAGTTCTGCACCTCTAAGTTGTGGTCTTTCTTCTTCCTGGGAGGGAAAGGAGGGAGAAGTAAAAACTTTACATATAAGTTGGCATGTTTTTATTCTTGCAATATTTATTTGTTCTTCAGAAACCAGTGAAGAAACTGGGTGCCAGTAATCCTAGCAGCCCAGGAGGCTGAGATCTAGAGGACCAAGGTTCAAAGCCAGCCCAAGCAAAAAAGTTTTAAGAGTCCATTTTCAGTTAAACAGCAAAACACTAGACTGGAAGTGTGGCTCAAGTAGTAAAGCCTTGAGTTTTGAAAAAGCTAAGCAACAGTGTAAGGCCCTGAGTTCAAGTCTTAGTCCCAATACAAAAAAAACCCCAAAACAACAATGCTTAGCCCTCACTGCTTTAAACAAACACTGCTTTGATAAGGGTTGAGTTCCTATAAAAGAAAAGACTGCAGGCTAGGTGTGATGATGCACACATATAATCATTGCAGCACTTACAGACTGACACAAGATAATATATTGGAGGCCAGCCTGCTCTATACAGCAAGATATTCTTACCAAAAATGCCAACAACAACAACACACACACACACCTACACACACACACACACACACACACACACACACACACACACACACACACACACACACACACACACACACACACACACACACACACACACACACACACACACACACACACACACACACACAGAGGCCGGCTGATGGCTCACACCTGTATTCCTAACTACTCAGGATCTGAAGATTGGAGTTCAAAGGGAGGAAAGTTCATGAGACCATCACCTCCAATGAACCACCAAATAGCCAGAAGTAGAGCTGTGGCTCAGGTGGTAAGAGTGCCAGGCAGCGTTGATGGAAAAAGCTTAGGGAAAGTGCCTAGGCCCTGAGTTCAAGGCCCAGTGCTGGCACAAAAAAAAAAAAAAAAAAATCAAAATCAAAACCAAAACCCACAAAGAAATAAGAGAAGGAAAGGTTTCAGAAAGGGCCCTGGCCCCAGCAGCTCTGGTCCTGCCTGGGGCTGGGGTCAGGGCACCTGCTCTCCTTGGCCTGCCAGGGACTGGGGCTAGGTGCCTGCACTCTCACCTTGGCCTTGCTGCGCAGCACCTGCTCCTCTCTGCGATCTAGTTCGTCCTGCATCACCTGCTTCTCCTGCTCCAGCTCTGTGACTCGCTTCTGTAGCTTGAGGAACAAGGACATGTCCAGAGGTACTTTCTTCTCGCTCGGCTCCTGGACCACAGAAGTCACAGGACAGTCAAGAGGAGCCAATGACTGGCTTAACAGAAAATTAGTCCAACTGACAGGAGAGAGATACATATCCAAACAACACGCACAACAAGCGGGCTCAAGCTAGGTAACAAGTGGAGAAATGCAATAAACAAAGTACTACTTCTTCCTTATCAGATTGGCAACAACTGAAAAGATTAACAGTGCCCTGTACTGTATTAGCAACAGTGTCTCACATGATAGTGAGGGAAATAGAATATGCTGTGTTTATTTGTTGGTTTGTTTGTAACTCAAGACCTTGCAATTGCTAGGCAAGGGCTGTATCACCCTTTTTCTTTTCTTTTTTTTTTTTTTTGGGGGGGGGGCCAGTCGTGGGGCTTGAACTCTGGGCCTGGGCGCTGTCCCTCAGCTCTTCAGCTCAAGGCTAGCACTCTACCACTTGAGCCACAGTGCCACTTCTGGCTTTTCTTTTTTTCCTGCTTATGTGGTGCTGAGGAATCGAACTCAGGGCCTCAAGCATGCAAGGCAAGCGCTCTACCACTGACCTACCTTCCTAGCCCTTGCTTTTTCTTTTTTATGGTTAGTTTTTTGTGGTTTTTTTGGTCAGTCATGGGGCCTGAACTTTGGGCCTGGGCGCTGTCCCTCAGCAATTCAGCTCAAGGTGAGTGCTCTACCACCTGAGCCACAGAGCCACTTCTGGTTTTCTGAGTGGTTTATTGGAAATAAGAATCTCAGAAAGTTTCTTTCTTTCTTTTTTTTAATCTTCTTTTTATTATTTATTTATTTATTTTTTATTTTTTGGGTCCGGTTGTGGGGCCTGAACTCTGGGCCTGGGCACTGTCCCTCAACTCGTCAGCTCAAGGCTAGCACTCTACCACTTGAGCCACAGTGCCACTTCTGGCTATTTCTTTTTGCTTATGTGGTGCTGAGGAATCGAACCCAGGGCTTCATGCCTGCAAGGCAAGCGCTCTACCACTGAGCCACCTTCCCAGCTCAGAAAGTTTCTTGCCTGGGCTAGCTTTGAACTACGATCCTCAGATCTCAGTGTCCTGAGTAGCTAGGATTACAGGCGTGAGCCACCAGCACTTGGCTTTATGGCTATTTTTTAAGATAGGGCTCCATGGGCTGGGAAGGTGGCTCAGTGGTAGAGTGCTTGCCTTGCATGCAGGAGGCCCTGGGTTCGATTCCTCAGCACCACAAAAGAAAAAAGAAAAAAGCCGGAAGTGGTGCTGTGGCTTAAGTGGTAGAGCGCTAGCCTTGAGCTGAAGAGCTGAGGGACAGCGCTCAGGCCCAGAGTTCAGGCCCCACGACTGGACCCAAAAAAAAAAAAAAAAGGTAGGGCTCCATGCTTTTGCCAAGGCCAATTTCTGACCACCCTGTGGCCGCTGTTTCCCAAGTAGTGGGATTACAGGTAGTCACCACCATGCTCAGCTTATTCTTTTAAGTAGGGTCTTTACAAATTTATGTCTGTTTAATGGTATAGATAGCTATATCATCAATTGTTTAGCTATTACCTTACTGACTGGCATTGAGGCTATTTCTAATTTTTTGTTATTTAAATAATGTTTTGTCATTAAAAATAAACATCTTAGTACATAAATATCTGAACATTTCTTTTTTAATATTTTTTCTCTTTTAATTTATTTCTTTTATTTTTGTTTATGTGGTACTCGAACCTAGGGCATCATGCATGTAGGCCAGGTCTCTACCACTAAGCCACATTCCCAGCCCCATATCTAAACATTTCTAAGTCTCTTAAATTGGGGAAATTTATATTTCCAACAATATATAATAACTTGCCTTAAAAAACAGTGACTGCTATGCTTTAAAGAAATAAAATTTAGCATTACTCAAAGTCTAACTGAGCAAGCACAGGAGGAAAGGAAAGAAGAAAAACTTAGGAAAACGGAATGGCAGGGACAACAATGCATCTCTCTATACTTTCTCTTAATATAAATGGGCTGAATTCGCCAATTAAAAGAAAACGAACTGAGGACTGGATCAGAAAACAAGACCCATCCATCTGTTGCCTTCAGGAGACCCACCTCTCAGCCAAACATACAAACAAACTCAGAGTGAAGGGGTGGAAAAGGATCTACCAATCAAATTCCCCCAATAAGAAAGCAGGTGTAGCTATCCTGATATCTGACAAAATAAACTTTTCATTAAAATCAGTACAGAAAGACAAGGACGGACACTACATATTAATAAAGGGAACAATCCAAGAGGATGATATAACCATCATCAACTTATATGCCCCAAATATTGGTGCACCCAGATATGTTAAACAAATGCTCTCAAACTTACAGAATAAAATAGATCCCAATACGATAATACTAGGAGACTTTAACACGCCACTCTCACCAAAGGACAGGTCTACCAACCAGAGGATTGGCAAAGAAGCTACCGAATTAAGTGAGGCCATACTTCAAGCGGAATTAACTGACATCTACCGAGTATTTCACCCTAAAACAACACAGTACACATTCTTCTCAGCAGCTCATGGAACTTTCTCCAAAATAGACCATATCATAGTTCATTCAAGGAACTTAAGCAAATACAAAGGGATCGACATAATCCCCTGTATCCTATCTGACCACAGTGGAATCAAGCTAGCTCTCAATAACAAAGCATACCGCAGAAATTTCTCTAATACATGGAAATTGAACAGCACACTCCTTAACAAGGCCTGGGTAACAGAAGAGATCAGAGAAGAAATAAAGCATTTCCTAGAACTCAATGAAAATGAAAACACCTCACAAAGAAACTTGTGGGACACAGCAAAAGCAGTCCTGAGGGGCAAATTTATTGCCCTCAGTGCCCACATCAAGAGAATGGAGACAGACCAAGTAAATAATCTCATGTTGCAACTAAAACAGCTAGAAAAACAAGAAAAAATGGGACCTAAAGCTACTAGACGAAGCCAGATAACCAAATTGAGAGCAGAGATTAACCAATTAGAAAATCAGAAAACCATAACCAAAATAAACCAAACAAAAAGCTGGTTCTTTGAAAAAATAAACAAAATTGATGGCCCGTTGGCAAGATTAATTAAAAAAAGAAGAGAGGAAACCCATATTAATAGGATTAGGGATGCCACGGGAAACATCACAACACGTACCCAAGATATCCAAACAATTCTAACAGACTACTTTCAAAAGCTATACTCTCTAAAGGAAGAAAATCTGGCGGAAATGGATGCATTTTTAGAGAAATACAAGTTACCCAAACTGAGCAAAGAAGAAGTTAACCAATTAAATAAGCCAATATCCTATAATGAGATACAGGAAGCTATCAAAAGTCTTCCAACAAAAAAAAGCCCAGGACCAGATGGATTCACAGCAGAATTCTATAAGACCTTTAAAGAAGAACTAATACCCATATTCCTCAAGCTCTTCAGAGAAACAGAGAAGGAGGGAGCTATCCCAAACTCATTCTACGAAGCCAATATCACACTCATCCCCAAACCAGGCAAAGACCCAACCAAAAAGGAGAATTACAGGCCAATCTCCTTGATGAACACAGATGCAAAGATCCTTAACAAGATTCTAGCTAACAGAATCCAGAAACACATAAAAAAAATAATACACTATGATCAGGTAGGCTTCATCCCAGAGACACAGGGATGGTTTAACATATGTAAGTCAATAAATGTAATCCAGCATATCAACAGAGCCAAGGTCAAGAATCACATGATTATCGCCACAGATGCAGAAAAGGCCTTTGATAAAATTCAACATTCATTCATGCTAAAAGCTCTGGAGAAAATAGGAATAGAAGGAACATTTCTAAAAACAATAAAAGCCATTTATGACAGACCAATAGCCAATATTATACTTAATGGGGAAAAGCTACAACCAATCCTCCTAAAAACAGGAACAAGGCAAGGATGTCCACTGTCTCCACTCCTCTTCAACATAGTCCTAGAACCCTTAGCCAGGGCAATAAGGCAAGAAAAAGACATTAAAGGGATCCGCATAGGGAAAGAAGAAGTGAAACTATCCCTTTTTGCAGACGACATGATACTATACCTCCACGATCCCAAAAACTCCATCCCCAAACTTTTAGAAATCATAAGTCACTTCGGCAAAATAGCAGGATACAAAATAAACCCACAAAAATCAGTTGCCTTCCTATACACTGATAACGCACAGGAAGAGAGGGAAATAAAGGGAGCAACCCCATTCACAATAACCTCCCAAAAAATAAAATATTTAGGAATTAACCTAACCAAAGATGTAAAAGAACTATTTAATGAGAACTATAAAAAGTTAAAGAAAGAAATTGCAGAAGACACTAGGAAATGGAAAGACCTCCCATGCTCCTGGATAGGCCGACTTAATATAGTAAAGATGGTGATACTTCCAAAACTAATATACAAATTCAATGCAATTCCTATTAAAATCCCAATGACGTACATCACTGAAATACAGAAAACAGTCCAAAAATTTATATGGAACAACAAAAGACCTAGAATAGCCAAAACAATTCTAGGGGATAAAGACAATATGGGAGGGCTATCCATGCCGAACTTCAAACTCTACTACAGAGCTATAATCACAAAGACAGCATGGTACTGGCACAAAAACAGACCCGAAGACCAATGGAACAGAATAGAAGATCCAGATATAAATCCACAGGCCTACAGCCAGCTGATATTCGACAAAGGAGCCAAAGACATACAATGGAAGAAACACAGCCTCTTCAACCGCTGGTGCTGGGAAAACTGGGCAGCCACATGCAGAAAACTAAAAGTGGACCCCAGCCTATCACCATGCACCAACATCAACTCAAAATGGATTAAAGACCTTAACATTAAGCCTGAATCTCTGAAACTACTGCAGGACAGAGTAGGAGAGACACTTGAACTAATAGGCACAGGAAGGAACTTCCTGAACAGAGTCCCAGGGTCACAACAAGTTGGAGAGAGACTCGACAAATGGGACTACCTTAAAATAAAAAGCTTCTGCACAGCTAAATCTATCGCAACTAAGCTAGAAAGACAACCAACTAATTGGGAAAAAATATTTACCAGCAATATATCAGACAAGGGGTTAACATCCTGTATATACAGGGAACTCAAGAAACTAATCCCTCCCAAACCTAACAAACCAATTACTAAATGGGCAAGGGAACTAAAGAGGGACTTCTCAAATGAAGAAATAAAAATGGCAAAGAAACACATGAGGAAATGTTCATCATCCCTGGTGGTGAAGGAAATGCAAATAAAGACAACCCTGAGATACCACCTTACCCCAGTCAGAATGTCCCACATCCACAAATCAGCCAACGACAAATGCTGGAGGGGATGTGGAGAAAGAGGAACCCTATTACACTGCTGGTGGGAATGTACACTTATACAACCACTATGGAAAGCAGTCTGGAGGGTCCTTAGAAAGCTAAAGATTGACCTCCCTTACGACCCAGTCATACCACTTCTAGGCATCTACCCTGAACAACAGGAACCAATATACAAGGACACGTGCACCTCCATGTTTATTGCAGCACTGTTCGCAATAGCTAGGATATGGAAACAACCTAGATGCCCCACCACAGATGAATGGATCCAAAAATTGTGGTATCTATACACAATGGAATATTATGCAGCCATTAGAAATGACAAAATAATGGCATTTGCAGGGAAATGGATGGAGCTAGAAGGAATCATGTTGAGCGAGGTAAGCCAAGAACGAAGAGACAAACGGTACATGGTCTCCCTCATAAGTGGATGCTAAATCCAAAAGGTTAGGTGATACGACAAAACTAACAGGACTTAAGAAACAAAGAACTCCCGCTCATCTGGTTGAACCACTACTAAATATCCTCATGCTGCTGATCACAAATATGGTATATAACATGTGAACACTGTTATATATTACAGACTGTGGTAGACAATTTGCTCCAGGGAAGTTAGAATGAACTTGTGACTTTGAAATTATGTAATCATTTAATCACAATCAAAAAAAAAAAAAAAGAAAAAAAAAGAACCTCGGGGAAGGGAGGGAGGGAGGGGAAGGTAGGGGGAAAACAATGGAGGGGGTAACAATGTTCAAGAGGAAGTGTACTCATAACCTCACTCATGTAACTGTAACCCTCTGTATAGTAGCTTTACAATAAAAAAAAAAAAAAAAAAAAAGAAATAAAATTTAGCTTATGGGTGATGATCTACCACTTGATCCACTCCTCTAGTGTGGCATTTTGCTGCTTAATTGAGGATAAGAGTCTTACAGACTTTTCACCCCAGGCTGGTTTCAAAACAAGGATCCTCAGATCTGAGTTGCTTTACAGTAGTAAAATAGGATTACAGGCATGAGCTACAAGTTCTAGGCTAAGGTCTTACTTTTCAAATAGTTTATCTCAGCTTGAAATGGATTCCTCATAGCTTATATTTTTTGTACAAAGGATGTGCTAATGTAGAAAATGGAATTCTGAAGGAAACTATCACTATCAAAACATTAGAAACATGGGCTGGGAATGTGGCTCAGTAGTAGATTGCTTGCCTAGCATGCATGAAACCCTGGGTTCGAATCCTCAGTACCATATAAACAGAAAAGGCTGGAAGTGGCACTGTGGCTCAAGTTATAGCCTTGAGCAAAAGAAGCTCAGGGACAGTGCCCTGCCCCTGAGTTCAAACCCCAAGACTAGCAAAAACAAACAAACAAACAAACAAAAACACCCAGAAACAAAAACAAACAAAGATAAAAACAAAAAAATTAGAAATGAAAATGTGGGTATAGGGGGTATCCATCAGTGTGGTACAGCAGGTGCTTACCATGCATGAGGCCCTGGGTTCAATGCCCAGCAGCAAAGTAAATGAAAGATTGATATGTGAATTGTGCAATACATCTACATATGCATATGCATGGCTAATTAAGCACCTGTAAGTCCCTTATAGAAAATGTTCCCTGTAGACAACATCACGGTGCTATCCTCCCTGTAACAGGGAAGATATGTAAAATGTACCTCTGCTCTTGATGGGATGTCTTCCATTTCTGCCATTTCAGAGCTAAAGGTATACTCGGACTCGTTGCTGCTGTGGGTAGAGTCTGTTCTCTTGTGTCCAGGCTTAGGCACATTCTGCAAAGCAAATAATCTGGGTATAATGAACACAACATAACGAAACGAGGCATAATTAAGATTGTACTCGTTTGGACTTGGTCTCATTCCCACTCACTAGCATGTACGGACAGCCCAGAGACCTAGGGTTCTATACTATCATGACCCAATTCCTACCAAGGAGTGTGTCTGCTTGACAAGAACAAAACCAATCCAAATGAAAAATCTTCCATGAGCTGCATGCCAGTGGCTCATGCCTGGAATCCTAACTACTCAGGAGTCTGAGATTTGAGGATATGCAATTGAAGCCAGTCCAAGCAGAAGTGTATGTGATCTTCTTAGCTCCAATTAACTGGCAAAAAGCAGGAAGCAGAAGTGTGGCTCAAGTGGTAGAGCACACTATCCTTGAACAAAAAAAGCTAAGCAAGAGAATAGGTCCTGAGTTCAAGCCCCAGTAATGGTAAAAGACCCAAATAAGACTTTAGAACCTCTAGAACAATCCAGAGGTAGATGCACAGTGATATGGAGAATTATCAGACATAAATGCAAATAGATTTACTCTATTTAAGAGTATCTACTTGCCCATGTAATTGTAACCCCTCTGTACAGTTTTTTCACAATAAAAAAAAAAACAAAGAGTATCGGTTACTACTGTATTAGATGTACTATTGTATAAGATGGTGTTTATTTAATAAAGTGGTTGTATTATTAAGAAAAAGAGGTGGATACACACTAGGACAAAGATCTTTTAAATTAGCATATTAAAATGGGTAAGGGCTGGGAATTAGCTCAGTAGTAAAGTATTTGCCTAATATTCATGAGGCACTGGATACAAGCTCCAGCACTGGGAATGTGGCTTAGTGGTAGAGTGGTTACCTAGCATGAATAAAGCCCCGGGTTCAATTCCTTAGTACCACATACACAGAAAAAGCCAGAAGTGGCACTGTGGCTCAAGTGGTAAACTGCTAGCCTTGAGCAAAAGAAGCTCAGGGACAGTGCCCAGGACCTGAGGTCAAGCCCCAGAACTGGCCAAAAAAAAGCCCTTATTTAGCCCATGTATGTTTATCATTACACAATGAACACCTTAAGATATGAATGGAAGAAATACTACTATCTGTTTTCATCTTCTTAATTTTTTTGGGAGTGGGGGAAATTGTAGAGCTTGAACTCAGGACCTATTTCATTCTTTTTTTTTTTTTTTGTCAGTAGTGGGACTTGAACTCTGGGTCAGGGCACTGTCCTTGAGCTCTTCAGCTTAAGGTAAGCGCTCTACCACTTGAGCCACAGTGCCACTTATGGTTTTCTGGTGGTTAATTGGAGATAAGAGTCTCTCGGACTTTCCTGCCTGGGCTGGCTTTGAACCGTGATCCTTAGAGCTCAGCCTCCTGAGTAGCACCCGGTCATTTCATTCTTATTTAGCTTTTTCTCTCAAGGCTGACATTCTACTACTTGAGACACACCTCCACTTATAGCTTTTTGCTGATTAAGTGGAGATAAGAGCCTCAGATTTGTCTACTCTGGCTAGCTTTGAAATGTGATCCTTGAATCTGAGTATCTATGGTTGAGCTTGGCCAAAGACGATAATCAACTCTGGAACTAGAATGTGAGAGCTGGTGGGCCATACTCTGACCCAATAGGCAACAGAGGGAGTCACAGGTGACAGATACAGTGGCAAGTCAGACATCAAGCAAGACTTGCTGAGCGGGAGAGGGAGCCGGATTAACTGGTGGGAGGATGGTCACCACAGAAGGGCTCTTTCTAGACAGGTGCCTACCTTGTTGACTAAACAAACCACAGATCCCACTAGAAACTCCCAGATAACTCTGGAATATGCTCAGAGAGAGATATAACCATGACACATACGTTTCTCATTTTATTTTCTGTGAGTTACAAGGCTCACGCTATTTATTACAGAACCAATGAAATTCTGTAGGAAAAAAAGTATAGGTTTAGCTTGGCTGACTGCTTAGCATAGCCATCTGAACTCAGATGCAATGTACTTATTAACATTCCAAGTAACTACCCAATGGGAAACAGACCTTAGCTCTAACTGGAACTGAAACACAAAGGAAGCAGAAAAGTTGGCATGGTTATCTAGTAAAGAGAATGAAGAATGGAACTGTGGAGAACATGATGCTGAATGAGAGGAAAAGGATTCTAGAGAAAGCTAAGAAAGACAGAAACAAAGGAAAAAGGTTTCTGTTCCCTTCCCTTTTCTTTCTTCCACTTCCCTCTTTCCCCTCTTTTTCTCTCTCTTTTCCATGAGCACTGGGGAGTGCTGGGGCTTGAACTCAGGGCCTGAGCACTATCCCTTAGCCTTTTTACTCAAGGATTATGCTCTACTACTTGAGCCATGACTCTACTTCTAGATTTTTGCTAGTTAATTAGATACAAAAGTCTCACAGATTTTCCTGCCCAGGTTGGCTTTGAGCCACATCCTCATATCTCAGCCTCCTGAGTAGCTGGGATTACAGGCATGAACCACCAGCGCCGAACTAGGAGGAAAGGTTTCAAAGGGACCAAATGCAGCAAGGAGACCGAGGAAGGCAGACCCCTTGTTAGAATTATGACCAACATTGAATTTCTCTTGATCATTTATCAATTAAGGAAGATTGCTGAGGTTTGAAACAAATCTCCAAATAAGCCTCCAATAATCAGCCTTTGTAATCTCCTTTAGACTCATCTGCAGGGTGAGAATAATTCCTTCTGGGTTACATTTTAAAGAACTCTGACAAGCAGATTCTGACAGAAGTAAAATATGAAATTAAAACAACAACAACAACTCTTACTCCAGATACAAAATTACCTTCTTTCCATAGGAGATGATTTCAGGGCATTCTGGCCCTTCCTACCATTAGATCACCCTCGCGGCTGATACGTGCGGGGGACAAGAAAGCCTGGGGACTCAGCTCCTGATAGGAGGATAGGGTGACCCGGGAGGGCAAGAGCTACTCCAAATAAAGTAAGAAGAGTCTTTGAAAGGGATAAGATAAACTATTACAGAAAAGTCAAATTTCTTTCTATAGGAGTTTATCTTGGAAATTATAGAAGAACCCACTGGAAGAAATACTCATTTATATTAAATATTTGCTTCATATGCAAAGTTTCCATTAAGCCATTCCATGTAGAAAACAAAATCCTACTAGATTGACTTTATGCTGTCATATAACCCAATCTTCAAAGTATTTGACTTTACTGAACTACTGAGAAATAAAGTTGCATTTCTGGGATTACATTATTTTTCCCCCCTGGTCCTGGGACTTCAACTCAGGGCCTAGGCACTATCCCTGAGCTTTTGTTCTCTCTCTCTTTTTTTTTTTTTGGGTCCGGTCATGGGGCCTGAAACTCTGGGCCTGGGCGCTGTCCCTCAGCTCTTCAGCTCAAGGCTAGCACTCTACCGCTTGAGCCACAGCGTCACTTCCGGCTTTTTTCTTTTTGCTTATGTGGTGCTGAGGAATTGAACCCAGGGCCTCAGGCATGCAAGGCAAGCGCTCTACCACTGAGCCACCTTCCCAGCCCATCCCTGAGCTTTTGTACTCAACGCTAGTGCTCTATCATTTGAGCCACTGCTTTATCTCTGGCTTTTTGCTAATTGGAGGTAAGTCTCACAGACATTTCTGCCTGGGCTGGCTTCATACCATGCTCCTTTGATGTCAGCTAAGTATTACAGGCTCTGAGCCACTAGCACCTGCTTATTTTGTTGCTGTTGTCATTGTTATTATTTTTTTTTTTTTTAATTTAATTTTATTTTATTTGAGAACATACTGTACAGAGGGGTTACAATTACATGGGCAGGATAATGCATACATTTCTTACCAAGCATTGCAGCCTCCTCCTTTGTTTACCCTTCACCTCCCTTCCCAGCCTCCCCCCTCCCTCCCACCCAATCATACCCCCCCCTCCCCCCCCCCCCCCGACATTGTAAAGCTGGTTTTGACATGACATTTTGTACTTCTCATTGTTGCAACAGGTCCACCTGAATCCTTAAACGACTTGTTTGTCCCCATCTCCTCCACATGTTATACTGACATCAAATATAGTGAAAGCGGGGGTTACACTGTGGGGGAGGGAGTCATTGTTATTATTATTATTGTTATTATTATTTTGTGCTGGTACTGGGGCTTGAGCTCAGGCCTTTGCATTCTTGCTTAACTTCTTCATTCAAATCTGGCATTCTACCACTTGAGCCACATCCACTTAAATTTAAAATAATATAACTCAGTGGATGACATGAGGTGGAAAATGAAATACAGAAGTGTTGACCATTCTGAAACTGGGTGATAGATAATGTGGAATATGGAGATCATGCTATTACTCTATTTACTTTTGCATATATCTAAAATCTTGCCTCTCAAAGCAAAAAAAAAAAGCAAAAGCAAAGTGTGCTAACACACACCTGTAATCCCACTCAAAAGGAGAAAGCTGGAGGACTGTGAATTCACATCCAGCTTGGGCTATGTAGTGAGACCCTAAGCCTTTCCTCTGGCCTCCCCCCACCAAGTAGTGCTGGGCTCACCACCATCAAGGTCATCTCTTCCTTGAGGTCATCGTATCGTTCTTCCAGGCGACTGAACTCATTCAGAAGGTTCTGATACCTCAGCCTCTCATCATTTAGATCAAGTTCCAGTTGTTTTGTTTCTTCTACTAACTTCTTCTCCATAGTTTCTGAAAGAACAAAGAAAGAAGAGGATTTTCAGAACAAAGATGGTTTTCCAGAAGATGGCTCCCCAAAATCTTCCGGTTCTGTACATGGGGTTCACTTTTAGCACCAGTACTAGAATATCCAGTGAATGCAGAGAAAGCAAAATGTTACCCCCAAAGGAGAAGTCAGAGATAGCCGGGTGCTGGTGGCTCATGTCTATAATCCTAATCAAGAGTCTGAGATCTGAGGATCGCAGTTCAAAGCCAGCCCAGGCAGACACATCCACAAGGCCCTTACCTCCAACTAACTACCAAAATGCTGAAAGTGGAGCTGTGGCTCCAAGTGGTAGACTGGGAGCCTGGAGCCCCAAAGCTAAGCCAGAAAGCAAGCTCCAACAGTGGCACACTCACAGAACAAGGCAGGGACATTTCTCAAAAGAATGGCAAGTTTCAAGAAACACAGCTCCCCTACTTAACAGAGCTTGTCTGTTTTCTTCTGCCTCCTGGCTGCATCATATCATTGAGAACATGGGGTTCCCAGCCTCTTCTTCCTCTGCTAACCAGATACAGTACTCATGCTTTGTCATCTCTGCTATAATCTATCTTGGCCGGCTCTCATGCTTGGGGAACCTGAACTTTTCCATCTAAACCCCTTCTCCCAGTCCCCTACCATTCTGTCTTCTCCTGTCCCAGTGTTTGGATTGCTCTAGGCTAGGATGTGGTCTCCCAGATTCATTTTTAGTGGCAGGTGGTACAAATTAAAAAGACTCATGTCAGCTCTATGTTTTAACTCCATGAGCCAACCAGTGACTTGTAACATTATGCTTCCACCATTACACTCTTTACCCTCACACTTTGTGGATTCATCTTCATTTTCTCTGCCTGCTTCAATATTTCTGTGCTCTATATTTCCATGAGGCAAGTGCCAGGTCACAACTGATACTGCCAGGCCTACCACAGTGCTTCCCCAGGGCTGCTTTCATGGGTCACGAATGAATGAATGAATGAACAAAACAATCAATGAATTGTTTCTCTCTAAAATACTCTATAAAACTACGTTCGAGCCGGGTACTGGTAGCTCACACCTGTAATCCTAGCTACACAGGAGGCTGAGATCTGAAGATCTCAAAGCCAGCCCAGGCAGGAAAAGTCTGTGAGAGTCCTATCTCCAATAAACCACTCAGAAAACTGGAAGTGGCGCTGTGGCTCAAATGGTAGAGGGCTAGCCTTGAGCTGAAGAGCTGAGGGACAGCGCCCAGGCCCAGAGTTCAAGCCCCACAACCGATGACAAAACAAACAAACAAACAAACTATGTTTGGCTCTCATCAGTACTACCAGTAAATTTTCTCTAGACAGACAAATCTACTGTAACTCTACGAGTACCTTCAGGTTTATCACTTGTTTTCTATGTAATCTTTCATCTGGGTTTGCTTCCAGAGCACCTGCACCATAAGGCTCTAGGAAACACTCAAAACATCACTTGTCATGATTCATTTTAAGGGTCAATCTGGCTGGATTTAGGGATCCTGGATAGCCAATAAAAACATTTCTTTTAGTGGTGTGAAAAAGAATGATTCAGAGGAGACTGGCGTGTGGGTCTGTAGTGAGTCGGGGGATCTCCCCTCCATGCAGAAGGCACTGTCCACCAATCCGGAGGCCCAGATGGCACAAAGAAAAGAGGAGAAAGGGTGAATTCCTCTGCCTTTTCCAAAGCCGATGCATCCTTCCATCAGAACTGCGGGTCTCAGGCTTTAGGACTTACAGAGTCACCACGGCTCTCAGGTCTTTTAGCTTCACTGAAAGCTATACCATCATCTTCCCTGGTTCTAAGATCTTCACCACTGGACTGAGCCATGCGACTAGCTTCCTTGGTTCTCCACCACAAGAGCCAATGGCCTCCCATATACTTATATATGAATGTATATTTACATCTTTTTTTTTTTTTTTTTAATCTTGGGGCTTGAACTCCGGGCCTGGGCACTGTCCTTGAGCTATTTTGCTCAAAGTTGGTGTTTTACCACTTCCATGACATCTCCCCTTCCAGTGTTTTGGTAGTTAATTAGAGATAGAGTCTGATAGACTTTCTGCCTTGGCTGGCTTCAAACCATGATCCTCAGACCTCAGTCTCCTGAGTAGCTGGGATTACAGCCAGGTGTGAGTCATTCTTGCCCAGCTATATCTACATTTTTAATCTATCCTCCCTAATTTAAAGGTTCTGTTTCTTTGTAGAACTCTGACAAACACAAACTAATAAGATCACTCCAACAACTGATCTCATTAACCCACCCCATCTACAGGCATTTCTCCCCAATTTCCTCATTACTAATCAGGTACCATTACAGCTTTGATATCTCATCCTAAAATGTCAGGATATTTTTGTCTTTTCTGAATACTCTATGAGCCAGGCAATAGTGGCTCGCACCTGTAATCCTCACCACTCAGGAGGCTGAGATCTCAAGATGATGGTTTGAAGCCATCTCAGACAGAAAACTCTGCAAGACTCCAGCTCCAATTAACTGACAAAAAGCTGTACTGGAGATATAGTACAACACCAGCCATGACTTAAAATGGCAAGCAAGAACAGAAAGGTATGATTTTAAGTCCATCAACACAAAACAAACAAGAAAGCCTAGAAAGACAGACACTGTATGTTGTCACTCATTTGTGGAAACTAAAGATGTTGATCTGATAGAGGAAAAGAGAGAAGTGTTTAGGGGAGAGAAGGAATAGAGAGAATTTAGAACTGGGTATCAAAATAGGATTAGGTAGGAAGCATTCTGGTGTTTACAGAATATTAGCATTGAGTATAGTCTAAGATATACTATGAAGTATAGCTTAAAAATAACTAGAGCTGGGTACCCATGGCTCACACCTGTAATCCTAGCCACTCAGGAGGCGGAGATCTGAAGACTGCGGTTGGAAACAGAGAAGTCCATGAAACTCTAATCTGCAATTAGCCCCACCAACAGGCTCTACCACTTGTCCTATGGCTTAAGCGGTACAGCACCAGTGTTGAGCAGAAAAAGCTATGTAGCAGCAAGAGTCCCTGAGTTCAAGCCTCAGGATCTGCACCAAATAAAACCAAAAGTGCAGAAAACAAGCCTGAGGGTTTCCCACAAAATGGAAGTGAAAATGTTTTGAGGAGAGTAAAATGCTAGCTACTTTGACTTGATCACCACAGAGAGTATCCATGTATCAAATTATTATTACATTATTTCCTATAATTACATATAATTTTCATTTAAAAATGTGTAAGTAAATAAAACAAAATACACAGACAGCTGGGTACCCATGGCTCACGCCTGTAATCCTAGCTACTCAAGAGGCTGAGATCTGAGGATCGTGGTTCAAAGCCATCCTGGGTAGAAAGTCCGTGAGACTCATCTCCAATTAACCCAGGAAACTGGAAGTGGCGCTGAGGCTCAAATGGTAGACTGCCTGCTTTGAGCTGAAGAGCTGAGGGACAGTGCGCAGGCCCAGAGTTCAAGCCCCACAATCAACAACAACAAAAGAAACACATATCTCTGCTACATTAGAGCTTAAGAATTCTTACTAAACCAGCAGGAACACTGTAAGTCATAACTTATAAATCATGTATGCAGAACAAATTAATTTTTTAGCAAGGTTATGTATGTAAGCCCTTTACAATACCTTTATATCACCTTTACAATAAAATTTAAATTAAAAAAAAAATTTTACATGTCTGGGAAGGTGACTTAGTGGTAGAGTGCTTGCCTAGCATGCATGAAGCCCTGAGTTTGATTCCTCAGTACCACACAAACAGAAAAAGCTGCAAGTGGAGCTGTGGCTCAAATGGTAGAGTGCTAGCCTTGAGCTTCTTAGAAGCTCAGGGACAGTGCCCAGGCCCTGAGTTCAAGTCCCAGGACTGGCAAAAAAAAAAAAAAAGAAAAAAGATTACATATGACATTAACTGAGAGTACATACTAATACATGAGAGATCAGGTTTTATTAGTTCACCAACAAATTCAACCAAAATGTTTGGGATCTTATTACTTGTAAGTATGGGAAATGTACTTGACAATAGCTTCCACTTTTGAAAATATTTAAGCTCAGGGAGCCCTGTATCTGCTCACAGGCTGATGAGGGTAGTGGGTGGCATGCAGTAGGCGGACCCCACCAGCCGTACCTGTCATCTCCTTCGCCTGTTCCACGATGCGGTGATTGAGGACCTCTTTCTCCTGCTTCAGCAAACTATTTTCTTCCTTCAGGTTCGACACCAGCTTTAAAAAGAAAACAGACAAATGAGATGTAGAGACCATACAGCCCTCACTTCTGCCTTACAAGACATGCCTAGATAAGTCTAGCCATCCAGAAAAGCTGACTCAAGACGACTCTCTCCACATGGCCTTCTAGGAAAAACCACCATCACACTCGTCTTTTCTCTGGCTATGAGACCCTGTAGATGCCTCTTTCTAGCTCCTATAAATGGTTTACTTTTCTGGCTGCTCTGTTGGACTAGAAACCCCTGGAGGACAAGGATGGTGAGGGTGGTGGTTCTAAAATTCACCATTTGTTCTTAACACCATGAAACTATTTCGACACCAAAACAAAGCTCATGTGCACCCACAATCCAAGTAGGGAGAGTAAGGGGGTTAAAAAGGACATGAAGTTATTTTTGGGAAGTTTATTGAAGACCTTCTGATGCTCTCTCAAACTTATTTTTTTTTATGCATTTTTTTGTCAGTCCTGCAGCTTGAACTCAGGGCCTGGGCACTGTCCCTGAGCTACTTTTGCTAAAGGCTAGCACTCTACCACTAAGCCACAGCACCACTTCTGGCCTTTTCTGTTTGTGTGATACTGAGTAATCAAAACCAGGGCTTCATGCATGCTAGGCAAGCACTCAACCACTAAGCCATTTTCCCAGCTCCTTCTAACTTATTTTGAAAAAGAAAACTTCTTTTTCATCCCCTTTGAAGACTACTCAAGAACTAGTCCTTTCATCCCATGTTTTTCAGAAGTATTGGCCTTATAACAATGTCCATGTGGCTGGGAATGTGGCTTAGTGGTAGAGTGCTTGCCTAGCATACATCAAGCCCTGGGTTCGATTCCTCAGTACTACATACACAGAAAAAGCCAGAAGTGGTGCTCTGGCTCAAGTGGTAGAGTGCTAGCCTTTAGCAAAAGTAGCTCAGGGACAGTGCTCAGGCCTTGAGTTCAGACTCAGGACTGGCAAAACAAAACAAAACAAAAATAAAACAATGTCAATATGCTTTCTGCCAGGAACTGCCCACTGAAAATAGTTAAAATAAGCTCAGCCCCACAGTGGCTTATGCCTGTAATCCTAGCTATTCAGAACGCTAAAATCTTGAGGATTCAGGTTCGAAGCCAGCCCAGGCAGAAAAGTCCATGACACTCCATCCTCAGTTAACCAACACAAAGCTGGGGTGGAGGTGTTAAATATAGTACAGGTATAGAAGGTATAAGTATAGGAGGCATGGCTCAAGTGGTAGAACACCAGCGTGGAACAGAAAAAGTGGGAGCATGAGGCCCTGAGTTCAAGCCATAGAAAGAAATAAGTCAGGGCTGGGAAGGTGGCTCAGTGGTAGAGCGCTTGCCTTGCATGCATGAGGACCTGGGTTCAATTCCTCAGTGCCACATAAGCAAAAAGAAAAAAGCTGGAAGTGGTGCTGTGGCTAGCCTTGAGCTGAAGAGCTGAGGGACAGTGCCCAAGCCCAGAGTTCAGGGCCCACGACCAGACCAAGAAAGGAAAGGAAAGGAAGAAGACAGTAAAGAAAAAGTCAACCAGGATTCTGGCAAGGAGTAATAGCAGACATAGTCAAGTCTGGCTTTGTTTTTGTTTTTTTTTTTTTTGGTCGGTCGTGGGGCCTGAACTCTGGGCCTGGGCGCTGTCCCTCAGCTCTTCAGCTCAAGGCTAGCGCTCTACCACTTGTGCCACAGTGCCACTTCCGGCTTTTTTCTTGTTGCTTATGTGGTGCTGAGGAATCAAACCCAGGGCCTCATGCATGCGAAGCAAGCGCTCTACCACTGAGCCACCTTCCCAGCCCCTGGCTTTGTTAAAGATGGTAATCTCAGTGGAATCTCTCAAAATTGATGACTATTTTCCAGTAAGTTTTCTGCTGAGGTACTTTTGGAAATGATCTCCCCACTACTTGAGCATCTCCAGTGCTCTAGTCTTTAATAGTGTTAATATTAGTTACAACAAATTAGTAGAAATGGAAGATGTCTGAGGGTGGCTCTATCTGCACAGCGCCCCCTGGTTGCAGAGAGAGAGCGAGAGCGAGAGAGAGCGAGAGAGAGCGAGAGAGCGAGCGAGAGAGAGAGAGAGAGAGAGAGAGGGAGAGAGAGAGAGAGAGGTCTTTCTCTCTCTCTCTCTCTCTCTGTGTCTGTGTCTGGACTTCACACATGTGACTGAAGGTTTCCATAAGGATTCCCACCCTCAGGTACTAATGGCTCCTTGTCTGATTTGCTTCCTAACAGTGGTAGGTTTTCTACTTATGAAAAGGACACTTGGGAGGCTACATAGGAGGATTGTGAATTTGAGGCCAGCCAGGGCTAGTAAAAGACTGTATTTAAAACAGTGTTTAAATATACCCCTAAATTTCATGTGTTGGAAACTCAATCGCCACATCCACGGATTACCTGTGACTGGGGCATGAGGACTCCACTCTCTTCAATGGAATAACCTATTAATGGATGAATGGGTTATTGAGGGTGTGGCTTTGTGGAAGTAGTGATCTTTCTCTGGGACACTGGCTCTGCTCTGTTGTGCCAGTGATGCCTCTGCCATGTTAAGACACCTCACCAGGCGCTCTCCTGATGCTGGCACCATGTTCTTGAACTTCTAGGCCTCTAGAACCATGGGCTAAGTAAACCTCTTTTCCTATTCAACCCAGGTATTTTGTTTCATGGGGGAGAACTGTCTCATATTTGTATTATATTTTCTTTTCTTTTTTTTTGGGGGGGGGTCCGGTCGTGGGGCCTGAACTCTGGGCCTGGGCGCTGTCCCTCAGCTCTTCAGCTCAAGGCTAGCACCCTACCACTTGAGCCACAGCGCCACTTCTGGTGTTTTTTCTTTTTGCTTATGTGGTACTGAGGAATCGAACCCAGGGCCTCATGCATGCAAGACAAGCACTCTACCACTGAGCCACCTTCCCAGCCCCTACATTTTCGATTAAAATGAATGTTGAGCTATATATATACCACATCAAGATGACAGCATATTTACTTGTGCAAGGAATAGAAGAGAATATGGCCTTCAGTTCCTACCTGCTCAGTTTCTTGTTTATATCTATCTGCTCGTTCTTCAATGGATTTTTTCTCTGACTGGGTTTGTTCCAGGTCTTTCCGGAGCTTGGCAATTTCTTCCTGTAGACTCAGGACCCGTCCAGTGGCAACCTTAGCCTCCTCCTCACTTAGCTGAAGACGTTCTAAGTCGCTTCGTAGTTTCTCAGTCTCAGAGCTGTATGCGCCTTCCAGACTGGTCAGTTTCTCCATTAGGCATTTGTAGTCTTTATTCTTTAAACAAACACAGAAGGAACAATAAAATAATGAAAACAAACCAGCTTACTAATCAGACTCTTGTTATCTATCATAACACTGATGCAGGACCTAAACTTGCAATACTGAAAGCATCACAACACTCCTTGATTGCACATTTCCTTTGCATAAGGAGTAGATGGAGATGGACATTAGTTACCACCTGCTCAACATTTATAACACAACCAGTATCTTCTAGTGACATAACTAGAAGAAAGCGCAACACAACTGTCTTACATGATATGCAACATGCATGTGATTTTCTCATAAATCACAAATTGAGTTAAATAGTCAATTCTTAGTTTTGTGACTCTTTTTTTTTTTTTTTTGCCAGCCCTGAGGCTTGAAATCTGGGCCTGGGTACTCTCCCTGAGCTTCCACTTAGCCACTAAGGCTACCACTTAAGCCACAGCGCCACTTCCAGACTTTTCTGTTTATGTGGTACTGAGGAATCGAACCCAGGACTTGACGCATGCTAGGCAAGCACTCTACCACTAAGCCACATTCCAAGCCCGATTTTGTGACTCTTAATGTATAAACAGGGGAATGTACACTTGGTCTTGAAAATGGATAGGGTGCTATTAGAAACCATGTAAAACTGAGTGCTGGTGGCTCTCACCTAGCTACCCAGGAGACTGAGATCTGAGGATTGAGATTCAAAGCCAGCACAGGCAGGAAAGCCCCTGAGACTCTTATCTCCAATTAACCATTAGAAAACTGGAAGTGGCGCTGTGCCTCAGTGGTAGAGTGCTAGCCTTGAGCAGAAGTACTCAGGGACAGCATCCAACCCCAAGTTCAAGCCCCACACCAACCAAAAAAAAAAAGAGCTCAAGGACAGTGCCCAGACCCTGAGTTCAATCCTCAGGACTGAAAAAAAAGCCAAAAACAGGGTTGCAGGCATGGCTCAAGTGGTAGAGTGTCATGTGAGCAAGCCTAAAGCCCTAAATTCAAACCCCTGTACCTTTAAAGCAAAACAAAACAAAAAAATCACCAAAATCTTATGTACTAGCTAAATGATACATAAAAATGATAAAATGGGTTTAGAAAAATCATTAGTTTTTATACATCTCTATGTATCTCAAAATTCCTCATTCAGAAAACCTTCCTAACAAGTATTATTTCATTCTACCCCCTACCTTTTCTATCCTATTGTTTACATGCTCTTAATTACCTTTATGTAATTTGCATGTGCTAAAATATTATTTAGGAACTATTGCCAAGCAATCAAATCTTATCTCTGCAAACAGATTATAGCTCAGACTTCTTCCCGCTTCTGTGCTAAATAACCCATAAAAAAAAATTTACCTTTTGAAAAGAAATGATAAGGGTAAAAGAGTCCTATAAATTATAAAATGCAGGGGAAAAAAGCGGGGGAGTATAGTCGTGGAGATGGGAGGGCAGGGATGGTAGGGGAAAAACAAAGGAGGAGGCAACAATGCTTGATAAGAAATGTACTTATCCTTTTCCATGTAATTGTAACCCCTCTGGACAGTATTTTCACAATTAAAAAAAAAAAGAAGTCTCATATAATTAATATAGCAGAATATTTATAATATAGTAAAAATAAGCTCAAAGAATGAGAAAAAAAGAAATGTACTTATTACCTTGCTCATGTAATTGTAACCCCTCTGTATGGTATTTTCACAATAAAAAATGTACTAAAAATTATGAAGTGCAAATATAAAGTACAATATGATGGACTGGGAGTTGGCTCATTAGTAGAGTGCTTGCCTTGCATGCATGAGGCCTTGGGTTTGATTCCTCAGCACCACATAAGCAAAAAAGAAAAAAGCCGGAAGTGGCGTTGTGGCTCAAGTGGTAGAGCGCTAGCCTTGAGCTGAAGAGCTGAGGGACAGCGCCCAGGCCTAGGCCCAGAGTTCAGGCCCCACGACCGGACCCAAAAAAAAAAATAAAGAGAGAAAGAAAGAGAGAAAGAAAGAAAGAATGAATGAAAGAAAGAAAAGAAAAGCAAGCCAGCCAGCAGTGGAGGTGTGGCTCAAGCAGTAGAGTACTAGCCTTGAATAAAAAAGCAGTGAGAGTGCAAGGTCCTGAGTTCAAGCGCAGGACTGGCACACACACAAATACAAACACACAGATGGGGTTTGGGTTAGGATTAAGATGTTCTCAAAAACAAATTTCTGCCTTCTTCCTTGGGATTGTAATCTGAAGGATGACTACAAATGATGATAATCCCAAATGACCATAAGCTTGTCATCATTTCTATGCTCACTCTTATCATTTTTTTACTTTGTAGTGAGACTAAAGCAGCAGATCAAGAGAGACCACACTAAAATGTCCATTCTTGGGGCTCCTATGTAAACCTACCTGCTCATCCACCTTACGCTGCAGCTGCATGATCTTGTTCTCCATGCCGATGTGGAGCTTCTTGTAGCGCTCCACGGAGCGAGCCTCAATTTTGAGTTTCTTTAACTCACGCTTGGCCATCATCCGCCGGAAGCAGCACTGAAGGTAGATGATAGCTTCCAAAGTCCTCCTGTAGTGTGTGCGGGCCAGCCAGCCCCGGACCCACTTCTGAATGATGACTGCTTTGTGCTCACGGAGAATCTGCAGAAAGGACAAACAATGTAAGAGCCTGGACCAGACTACCAACCCATGTTTATTAAGCCAAGGAGCTAGATATAACATAAAAAAGCTGGGCCAGAGATAATGATTTTTGAACTTGTGGCCTCCAGAAAAATGAGATAAACAATTACTGTTGCTTAAAGCAACCAAGTTTGCAGGGTTTTTTTTTTTTTTTACACATTCATGTTTCTTCTTTTTTCAAATTATCTGGACAAGAAGAGAAAGGAGAGAGAAATCTTCCTTGGATATGTCTGAGTAAATGCATGTAATTACTTAACGCTTTAAAATACATTTCAATGGTTGGCCATCTCCCTTTGGTTCTTATGTCCTTAGCAGCCCCCTTGGTCTGTGTATGGATGCAGAATTTGATTGTTAGTAAAATGAAGAAATGGGGTTGAAAATAACATCTCACCCTGCACAGCTAAAGACATAGCTACCAAACTAGAAAGACAACCAACTAATTGGGAAAAAAAATGTTTACCAGCAGGGCCTAATATCCATTATATACAGGGAACTCAAGAAACCAATCCCTCCCAAATCTAACAAACCAATCATTAAATGGGCAAGGAAGCTAAAGAGAGACTTCTCAGAAGAAGAGATAAAAATGGCAAAGAAACATAAGGAAATGTTCATCATCCCTGGCTGTAAAGGAAATGGAAATAAAAACAACCCTGAGATACCACCTTACCCCAGTCAGAATGGCCTACATCTAAATTTAGCCAATGACAAATGCTGGCTGAGATGCAGAGAAAGAGGAATCCTATTGCATTATTGGTGGGAATGTACACTAATACAACCACTTTGGAAAGCAGTCTGGAGGTACCTCAGAAAGCTAAATATAGACCTTCCCTATGACCCAACCATACTACTCCTAGGCATCTACCCTGAGCAACAGGAACCAGGATACAAGGACACATGCACCTCCATGTTCATTGCAGCACTGTTCACAATAGCCAAGGTATGGAAAAAACCTAGATGCCTCACTACAGATGAATAGATCCAAAAATTGTGGTACCTATATACAATGGAATATCATGCAGCCATTAGAAAGGACAAAATAATGGCATTTGCAGGGAAAAGGATAGAACTAGAACAAATCATTTTGAGCAAGGAAAGCCAAGATCAGAGAGACAAATGGCACATGGTCTCCCTGATATGTGGATGTTAAATCCAAAATGCAAAGAGATATGACAAAGTGAATAGGACTCAAGAGACAAAGGACCTCCACTCATTTTGTTGTATCATTACTAAGTGACTCCATGTTCTTGACCACATATATGGTATATATATATGTGCACATCTGAGGGAAGCTAGGAGGAGGACATAGAATCAGAGGGAAACAGGGGAAAATATACTACAGAGGGACCCATCAGCTGCACTGGATATTGATGAAAACAAACTAAGCAACTCAAGGGCAAGGAGGGAATGAGAGGGAAAGAGGGAACAGCATTCACGAAGCAAAAGGAAAGAAATGTACATATAACCTGATGTAGAAGAAATAGCTGGATTGTCAAAGCTCATAGAATTCACAAACATTATACACCATAATAATGACAATTTGCCTTGTGAAGGTTAAAATGTGTTTGTGACTTTAACTAAGTATTGTTATCTCACAATACTGTGAAATTTATGTAATCACTTAATCTCAATAAAAAATTATAAAGAAAAAGAAAATAACATCTCACCTTGTGATAGCGGTTCCTGGCCAAGTAGCCTCGCAAATATGACTGAAGGGCAATAGTGGCAGCACGTCTAATCTTGTACTTCTTGCGGACCACGTACATGCGCCAGTTCTTCTGAATGATGGTGGCTGCCTTGGTTCTGCGCAGAAACTTAGCATAGCTGGATGAAGAAAGGAGCAGTGCATTGTCAGTAATCAGAAAAAAGCAACACTCGGTGTCAATGTCTTATGCATAATGAGCAGTTGCCTTAATGTAACAATGGGCACCAAAAAGCAACATTCATATTTACTTATATCTATAGTTTCTCAATGTATTTTTGCTTTCATGATCTCATCTGAAGCTCTGCTAATTCTGGAAAGTAGGAGGTCCCTTATTGCTGGAGAGAGGGAAGTTAACAAGAGATCATGCTTTCTAGGCGTAAGCTCTTCAGTCTGCCCTATGTCATTCTATTCTCTGCATAGCAGACTGATGTATGCATTAATCCCATATATGCAGATTAGGAGCTATTTTAGATCCATCCACAATTAATTCCCATGTTCTTCCTGAGTATTTGAGTAAATGGTCTTTGTCTATAATTCATGTCTATTTGCACATCTAAATTAACATTGTCTTAACATACAAGCACACTCAAGTATATCTAATTCTTTTTAAGACTTTAAAATGTTAATTGCTCAGGGATACAGGAGGACCCATTGCAACTATGAGATGTATAAGTCGTTATGTCGAAAAACAAACTTTACAACTTTGATGGGGGGGATGGGGGGAAGGACACGAAGGGATGGGAAGGGGAAACAAAGCAGGAGGCTACAATGCTTGATAAGAAATGTGCTCATTATCTTACCCATGTAATTGTAACCCCTCTGTACAGTATTTTCACAATAAAAATATATTTAAAAAAATAAAATGTTAATTGCTCCCTAAATGGAGTCATTATTAACTAGTTCCTATGCATGACCATTCTAATTAACATATGACTTCTTTTTTTCTTGGTGCTGCTACTAGGTTTGAATTCAGGGCCCCATCCTCTCACTTGGCTTTTTTGCTCAAAACTCGTATGCTCTACCACGTGAGCCACAGCTTTTTTTCCAGCATTTTTCTGGCTAATTGGAGAGATGAGGCTCATAGACTTTCCTGCCTGGGCTGGCTTTGAACCAAGACCTTCAGATCTCAGACTCCTGAGTAGATAGGATTACAGACTTGCTCCACAGCATGACTTAAACATGACTTCATCCAGCTCCACAGGAAAGTATGAAACAAAGGTCTGAAGGCCCGAATTGGCTGAACTTTATACCTACCATCGAGCCTGATAACCCCGCACATATCTCTGCACAGTGATGGCAGCCCTCTGCATCCGCAGGTACTTCTTCCTTAGCAGCCACCCTCGGATGGTTTTCTGGATCCGGATACAGGCAGCCCTCAGTTTGTCTGCCCTGAGCTTTTCTAGATAGGCCACTTGACCAGCCCGGAAAAAGATCTTTGTCTTACCAAACTGGTATTTGTCCTTATCCTATATTAGAAAGAAAAAAATTGTATTTTCTTCAGAAATAAAGACTCCATAAATGAAATAAAAAAGAGAAACAATCTATCTAAAAGCAGAAATCAGTAAAGGGGTGAATCTATTAACCTAAAACTTGGGCTACACACAACAAATTAAGGGAGCCAGATTTCTGACCCTCTGCCAGTGGGGCAAATAGAATTCTAGAGAAACTGTAGTTTGATTTACTTTCCACGATTATTCTCCCTGGAATTATTTTCTGAGGGCCAAAACTTGATTAAGGGTTATAGGCTGCTATTATTTGCTTGTTTGTATTTTAATATCTCAAGGAAATGGAGATGTGGACATGCCCTCTGACTGACCCAGGCTGTAAGTATTACATCAGGCTGCATATCCTAATAAGGGGCTGAAGGGGAAAAACACCAATTTGAATAATAAGGTAGAAAGAAACACACATGAAATCAAAGTTCAAAAACAAAACAATAAAAATCACTGGGTATTCATATTCAAGTTAAGTTCCCAACAGTTATCTCTGGCCTTGAATGGTTCTTAAAAAATAAACAACTTCATGCACGTGTTTAAAAATCCAAATTCAAACACATTCCCCCCTCCAAAGTAGAATCATTTAAATATTTATTGACTTCTACACCTAAGCGGAGCCAAACAGTCCACCTGCATGCTATGATTCACCTTACCTATGTGATCACTATGTGATCCAAATTCTAAGCCAAAACAGAGGGTTCTATCATTTGAGCCACACCTCTAGCTCTAGCTTTTTGCTGGTTAAATGGAGATGTGTCCTGAAGAGTTTTCTGTCCTGAGTTGACTGCAAACTGGGATAGTCAGATCTCAGTCTCTTTGAGTAGCTAGGATTACATGCTTGAGCTACTGCTGCCTGGTTTCCATTAACTTTAAGGCATTTTACTTACCTTTAAAATGCACTGTTAACAAGATGGACTTTGTCCCTTTAGATTAAGACTCCTTTTTTTCCCCTCTTTAATTATGCATCACCTTGCCTGGTCTCTCAAGTCTAGGTCTAGGCTTTGTCACACTGTTTCCTCATAGTGGATCATCATCTTCTTCTTCTTCATCATCATCATCATCATCATCATTATCGCTAGCATCCCAAAGACAGTGAGCCTTGATCACTGAGACAGTTCCCCTAACAATCCCCTCTCACACACAATCTGGATTAATGATCTTAACACAAACGTTTTCAGGGCTTTCGCACATCACAATGGCAAGGCCAGACAAGGAAAGTCAAAGTCTTTCTCACCAGTATGAGTTTCTCTAACACATTCTTGCAGGTTTGCTTTCTGTCACCCAGTACATCCTTTTGCTTCATTAGGACTCGGTAACGGCTGAAAAATTCCTGATAAGTCCACCTATAAAACGACAATCACATCAGCTTAAGGCACCAGGAACCTGTCCCAACAGGCCCCTTATACAGAAGTTGGCAGGCTCACCGGGAGGGGAAGCCTGCTGCACTGATTCGGATGGTTTCCAGGACGCCACATGCTCTCAGCTGCTGAACAGCCCTCTTCTCATCAAACCTACATGTGCAGATGACAGCCATCAGTCCCTGAAGAACCAAACTGCAGTGTTCCTCAGGGGGGACTCAGATGCATTTGCAAAGAACCAAGTAGATAAATTAGGAAAGAAAGTATTCAGAAGCTGAAGCAAATATCCAAATGGAAAACTCCATGAGACAGTGGAGAAGAGACAATTAGCAGGAAAATAAAGACCTAGAAACATCTCCTATGATTCATAAGAAAGCTCATGTTGCACAGCACACACACGCACGCGTGCGTGCGTGCACGCACACACACACACACACACACACACACACACACACACACACAGAGGGAGAGCAAGAGAACTGGGAAGGGGAAGAGAGAGTACAATCTCCTGTGTGTAATTTTGAAATCTAGAAAACTCTGAAAACTAAGTCTTTCCATAGCTTACTAAACAGCTCAACCAGATTTCTGACCTGAAATGAACATGAGAGTATCTTCCTGAACTGCTTAGTGGATCTCACATTTCAAATTCTTAGAATGCTAATTTGTCCTCAAAAGGAAGAAAAACTCCAGTAATTCTATTAATTCCCAGTTTCCTTCTAAGACATAAAGATTTACTTGAGTTATTTTTTCCCTCGGGTTTGGCAACCATTACACAATGCGGCCACTTTTTGTTCTGTGGCTGAGAAATACTTACGTGAAAGGAAACTTGAAGTCATTGGGCTTGATACAGCGCACGTAGTGAGGGGTGGTGGCATTGAGGGTCTCCATTAGCAGGTGAAGGGAGTTTCGGAACTGTGTGAGAAAGGGTGACGAGAGCCATCAAGTCTTGTCAAGTCAAAGCAATTTAGAATTCTCTTCCTATGGCATCAATGGGCATGATCTTCCTACCTCTGAACATGATCCACTTTCAGAAGAGGAGCTGCTACTACACAAGAATGCTAAATTTGCACTTAAAATTTGCCTAAACTTTACCATTTAACTCAGAGATAGATAGATAGATAGATAGATAGATAGATAGATAGATAGATAGATAGATAGGTAGATAGGTAGATAGGTAGATAGATATAGATAGATAGATAGGTAGATAGATAGCTCGATCGACCAGAGGTAGGTGTGTGTGTGTGCGCACACAATATTGAGATGGAGAAAATTATTCCGGGAAAGGCTGGTATAGTCATGTGTCTAGTACAGGGGGAGAGGAGAGAGTGGGCAGGACTGGCATGTGTAATGGAAGTACTCATCCTCGCATCCCACCTGTGAGGCTGGGGAAGGAAGAGCTGAGGCTTCAGGTAAGCAGAGGGAAGGGAGCATGGTAGCAGTAGCTCCCTGAACTTACCTGGTGCCCCACTGTTTTCTTGTGCTCTTTGGCCATCTGGCCTGGCCTGCCTTTAGTGGGCTTTACTGGAGTGCGGCTGAGGGATGTGCGCCCCGAAGAGGTGGCTGAAGTTGGGCTGATGGCCTTTTCATCATCTTGAAAAAGTTCTGGCAGCATCTTAAACTGAGCCAGGAACAGTAAGGGAAATTGTATTTTTAACAGAAGCCCCATCACCCCTTCCCCAAATACACACAAAGTAAACGCCTAAGGAAGTAATTCGATTTTTCTTTAATATATCTTGGTTAGAATAAGCCTATCCATAATTACCTTGCTTGACTTAAGAACTTTAATTTGTTCTTCAAAAACGGTGTCTTTGTTCTTTTCCAGAAAGCCTTCACACTGATATTCAACCTGAAATCACATGAGAAATTATCTTTAAGTAGTAACAGTTTTAATACTTTCATCATAGATAATGCTTAGGCTATATGACCAGCTCTCAGCAGCCTGGTACCATCATCTGTATCTTTTCCTGAGAAACAAATGTGATTCTATAGGTGTGTGTCTGTACACACACACACACACACACACACACACACACACACACACACACACACACACATACATACACACACACACACACACATACACAAACACAGTTTTTGTGTATATATATAATTTCATCATCTGATTTGCTAAGTAAACTGTAAAATTTGTAAGGCAGTATGTTACCATGCCTTGCTAGTAGAGATATAATGAACAGATCACAGAAGGTATCATAGACCCATTATCTCTATCCTGAAACCCAAAGGACTAGCTATGCCTTAGAACTCAGAATTCTTCACACATTTAGAGATGCAATATGTACCCGTACCATTATTTTAATACCCCCAGAATCGTCTAAGGCATTGGTCTATATTATATATAATATCTATGTATAATATAATAATATTTCTTCATGGATACTTGTAAATATCCACCTTAACTGGAATAAAGACAATAGTTACTTTCATGTTCATTTCAGGTCAGAAATCTAGTTGAGCTGCTAAGTAAGCTATGGAAAGACAGTTTCCAGAGTTTTCTAGATTTCAAAATTGTAGACAAGGGACTGTAATCTCACATTTATGAGGCATATAATTTAACTTAGGTTAAAGAAAGAAAACAATTGATTTTCTACAAGACTTTTAAAAAATCAAGTATGAGTAAGGAAAAATATTTCTTCACTATTTTCTCCCCACTTAAGTATTACAAAAGAAAATAGATACAGTTTCCTTACTTTGTCAGCAAAATGTTGGATGATGAAAGCTTTGTTTGACAAACGGGGCTTTTCAAAGAGTGCACATTTGTTCAAGTGTGTGTTATACAATTTCTGGGCCCAAGTGTCATCTGAACCTTTGGGCATCTACATGGAGAGGAAAAAGAAGGAAAGAAGAAAATACTGAACACGGAGACCCTTTTTCTTCACTGGCTGCCAAGAGAGCATTTTTTGGCTTTTACCTAATAGTTTGCTAATTCTGTCTGTCTTTCTATCTGTTTCTCTATTTGTCTGTCTGTACGGTGCTGTGGCTTGAACTCAGGTCTTGGATTCTGGTTTTTAGCTTTTTTGCTCAAGGTTGGTGTTCTGCCACTTGAAGTACAAATCTACTTCTAGCTTTTTGCTGGTTACTGGAAGATAAAGTGTCTCAAAGACTTTCCTGCCTGGGCTGGCTTTGAGCCATGATCCTCAGATCTCAACCTCTTTAGCAGCTGAGATTACAGGCATGAGCCACTAGTGCCCAATTATCTTCCATTTCTTCACTACACTCTGCCCCTAAAAAATGTATTAAATATAAGCAAACTAAAAACCAACATTATTTTTAAAAAAGTGGTAGCAAGCACATATCTCAAATCAATTATTACATAATTGATAATTATCTGAAACAAGAAGAGAAATTGTCCCAGTATGGCTTACAACTAGAATCCTTGAGGGGTATAGTGACCTTTCAGAATGAAAGGATGATGGTCAGAGGTTGCCACAATGGCACTTCATGTGGCACGTCATTGTACATACCGTGGTATACTAACAACTCTGCTTGAACCCACTACCTTCTGACCTTGCCTCTCTCTCTTGATGCTCCAGGTACTCTAGAAAGCCATCTCACCTTGCATTCCTCATCCAGCAAGTCTAGAATACCCATCTTAGATTCTATTAGATTAATACAAGGCTGATTATCATAAAAATCTATAAGTGTCCACGGGATTTGTTCTTTCATATATTCTTCTTGTTCCAGTTTGAAGACATGCTGGAATAACAAAGAAAATAAAAGTAGGCATTATTGGACCAAATGATCCATTTCTGGTCAGAAAGAATGGAGTCGAGAAACACATTTTCATTAAAATGCTAAGATATTAATATAATTGAAGAGAAACTCATATAGCAACAACTCTTGTTGGAGGAGTATATTTGATACATAGAAAAGAGCAAATAAAACTACAAACAGAGCTGGGCGCCAGTGGCTCACGCCTGTAATCCTAGCTATTCAAGAGGCTGAGATCTGAGGATCGTGGCTCAAAGCCAGCCGATGCAGGAAAGTCCATAAGACTCTTATCTCCAATTAACCACCAGAAAACTGGAAGTGGCACTGTGGCTCAAAGTGGTAGAGTGCTAGCCTTGAGCTGAAGAGCACAGGACAGTGCCCAGACCCAGAGTTCAAGCCCCACAACCAACCAAAACATATATATATATATATATATATATATAAAATCTAGAGACAGGGTCTCAATATGTAGCCCAAGCTGGAATTCACTATGTAGTTCAGACTGAAAATCCTTCCAAAGTTCTGGGATTACAGGAATGTACCACTTCAATAAGCCAGATAAATGTAGTTATCTTAGTGATTTGATTATGCCTATTTCCAAACTGCACTACGTACTTCTGCTTTTTTAAGCAATTTGACAGGGATGCTAACAACATGGGACACAGGAATGCCTTTGGTTGGCACAGATCAACTATGTACAATGGACGGCCTCCAGATTACTCAACAGCCTGGGCAAAACTTGCAGAATAACAAATTCTCCCAAGGGACTGTGGTGCTGAAATCCACGTGCCTCTGAATTATATAACACCTGTTTTTCTTATTCTCCTCAGTCAGGGAATCTAGGACTCATTTTTCTGAATTCTACATCCCACACTTCAGGAAGTTATAAGCACTACCAATCCATTGCTTATTTCTGCCAAAGACTTCAACCATCATCCACATTGCCACTCTCATCACCAGTTATTCATTAAATTTTATATATATATATAGACAGTGCCCTTTGGAAACCATAAACAAAGCAGACAAAGTCACAAATGGGACTGGATTATAAAGGGAAGCATGATAGGCTGTGAGAGTAAGAGCCCTCGCCTAGTCTCAACACAGAGTGATTAGGGTGGGAAGGAAAGGCTCGGGATCCAAGTTCTGAAGATGAACAGGAGCTGAGCTGGTCCAGATGGGAAGAGCAATCCAGCCATGGCTCATGCTCAGGCTGCTCTACCTCAGCCCCGGCAGCCAACATTCCAAGTTCTGGTCCACAGATGCTAAAGACACTGCTTGTGCTTAGAGGGTTTCTCTTTTCCTTTCCTTATCTTTCTTGTCTTCTTCTTCTTCTTCTTTTTTTTTTTTTTCAGTCGTGGGGCTTGAACTCTGGGCCTGGGCACTGTCCCTCAGCTCTTCAGCTGAAGGCTTGCACTCTACTACTTGAGCCCACAGCGCCACTTCTGGTTTTCTGGTGATTACTTGGAGATAAGAGTCTCATGGACTTTCCTTGCCTGGAATCCTCAGATCTCAGCCTCCTGGATAGCTAGGATTACAGGCATGAGCCACCGGTGCCCAGCTTTCTTTCTTGTCTTTTTTGGGTCTGTCACACATCTGGTTATTTTTCTGTGAAGACAGACTTTTGTGACTATGATCGGACAACACATCTTTTCTAGGACCTGAGGCCCCATGCAATTTGGGTGATTTCTGCTGCACACAATCCTAGTGTACCTGGAACATTCTCCCTTTATTCTCTGCTTACTGTAATGTCTAGCGCCTAACCAGCTCTAATAGCCCTAGTTTAAAAGGGGGAAAAATCCATGTGAATATTTATATCATGCTAATTAGCAAACTTTTATTCCTTTTGATTAATGAGGTAAATAAGGGTGTTATATGTCAGCAGGGTGCCTTGATGGATGGTACCAATATCTTCCAAAACAATAAACTCTATCTTCTGAAAAATTTCATTCATTTATATGTCATGTCTTAGACTGACAACAGAAACACTAGTCTAGACCTTAAACAGAACTTATTTCTTATACACATGCATCTGATTTGGAAAACTCCATGGTGTATCAAAAATTCTGGATGTTCCATTGCCAAAAAACATGGGCATGAGTTCAAATAGCTCCAAGCAGTAAATTTGCCAACCACATGGTTTCTGATACCAATTTCCCTCAACCAATTTCCCTCAACTACAGCCCTAGCTCAGGGGCAAGGCTATGTTGTCAAGCTCTTTACTTGAAGACCCCAAACTCCTGGCCACAGCTGATAAACCAAATGTGCAGACACACAAGGGTGCACTATGGCAGAGTCCTCTGATGACAAAGTGAGCAGGTTGCTTATTCAGTATCAGAAAACAAGGAGGTCATCAGGCAGGTAGCAGGAAAGGAGGGAGGGAGGCAAGGAGGAAAGGGAAAGGAAATAAGAGGTTAAATCTACTTCTATATACCTTTTGCCATCCTGACTTTAACCAACCCCCAATTTTGTGTCTGTGAAGGTCGGAGGCTTAGTGGACTGAATATAAGGCTTTGTCAGATTTGTCTACCCTGGATGGCTTCAAACCATAATCCTTAGATCTCAGCTTCCTGAGTAGCTAGGGTTATAGGTGTGAGCCACCAGCATCCGGCAGTTTCAATGCTTCTTTTCCTTCTCTTTGCTTGTCCAAGTCACCTCTTGTTTATGTCTGGGGTAGTACATCACCTGTTCTCTCCTCCCAGCCTGGAATGAGCCATGAGCTCCCAAGCTAGTATCTGAGCAGTTTCATTGTTTTCTAAACCTCTGATGAAAATTTTTGTTTTTTTGGTCGGTCGTGGGGCCTGAACTCTGGGCCTGGGCGCTGTCCCTCAGCTCTTCAGCTCAAGGTGAGCGCTCTACCACTTGAGCTACAGCGCCACTTCCCTCTGATGAAAATTTTAATCCAGGAGTTTACTTCAGGGACCAGGCCTTAAACAAACACTAGGAATTTGAGAAAATGACTTATAGCAGAACAATATTCAAGAAAGAAGAAAACAAAAAATCTTACCATGTTGAATTGTTGCTGTAGTTTTTCATTTGCATAATTTATGCAAAACTGTTCAAAACTATTTATCTCAAATGTTTCAAACCTGTAATACCAAAAATAAAATGGGAAGAAAAGAGAAGAAACACTTTTTTTTCTCCATTACTGAGTCTTGAACCAGAGCCTAGGGGCTATCTCTGTGCTTGCAAGCTCAAGGCTACTGTTCTACTTGAGCCACAACTTCACTTATGGATTTTTTGGTAGTTAATTGGATATCAAAGTTTCACGGGCTGGGGCTGGGAAGCTGCCTCAGTGGTAGAGCACTTGCCTTGCATGCCTGAGGCCCTGGGTTCGATTCCTCAGCACCACATAAGCAACAAGAAAAAAAAGCCGGAAGTGGTGCTGTGGCTCAAGTGTAGAGCGCTAGCTTTGAGCTAAAGAGCTGAGGGACAGCGCCCACGCCCAGAGTTCAGGCCCCACGACCGGACCAAAAAAAAAAAAAAGTTTCAGGGCTTTCCTGCCCAGGCTGGCTTTGAACCTTGATCCTCATATCTCAGCCTCCTGAGTAGTAAGGATTACAGGCATGAGCCACCAGCACCCAGCAAAATGAATACAATTTTAGAAAAATATTCAAAATGTGCACATTAGGAAGAAAAATAAGAAGCTTCCCAACATTACAAAACTTTCTCTATACATCTATAGAGATAAAGCTTTGTAAATCAGAAGAATTGACTAAGTACCCAGTAGGTAAACATGAGTCAAGAGACAGATTTTTTTTAAAGGCCCTAGCCTGCAAAGGTGCTCACCACCTAGAGTGTTTTAGGCTCATTCATCCCCAAGTAGAGAACACAAAATTCCAATAAAGCCATCACTCAGGCAATTTGTATATTCAGAAAAGGAAAATTAGCAAATGAAATTAGGGTTTTAGAAATTCAGTGATAATTTACCACTAATTTATCACCTAAGAATCTGACAGCCAATTAATTCCACCCATGAGCCTAATTAATTAGCTCAGGAGTTGACCTAACTTTTTTGCTTTAGTTAAATCTGAGGCACCATGCTGGTAGTAGGGCTTTTACTTAGGGCCTTGTGCTCTCATTTGGCTTTTTCACTCAAGGCTAACACTCTACCACTTGAGCCATACCTCCACTTCCAACTTCTTACTGGTTAATTAGAGATAAGAGTCTCACAAGGGCTGGGAAGGTGGCTCAGTGGTAGAGTGCTTGCCTTGCAAGCCAGAGGCCCTGGGTTCGATTCCTCAGCACCACATAAGCAAAAAGAAAAAAGCCGGAAGTGGCGCTGTGGCTCAAGTGGTAGAGCGCTAGCCTTGAGCTGAAGAGCTGAGGGACAACGCCCAGGCCCAGAGTTCAGGTCTCACGACCGGACCCCAAAAAAAAAAAAGTCTCACAAGACTTTTCTGCCCAGGCTTTGAACTGTGATCCTCAGATCTCAGTCTGGGATTTCAGGCATGTGCCACCAGCTCCCAGCAACTTTTCCTCCTTCTTTTCTTTTTCCTTTTTAGTCTCATGCAATTCTATTATCATCATCAAAGTACTCCTGAATTGAGGTAAGGGTCTTCCTTCTCCCCACCAAAAGGAGACAAATACTCAGATACTAAATACTCTGGAGAGAAATGCTCTCAGGGAAGGGGTTAAGGAAGTGTGATGGAGGGCTGAGTGCATTGTATGTATATTTGGACATGTCTTAATGAAACTCCTTTGTACAACTAATTGATGGTAATTTTTTTAATGTGGAAAAAAGAAAAAAAAAGCAACAATACTCTCTGGAAGACCAGTAGCCAATGTCCTTACCCATAAATGTCTAGCACGCCAATAAAAGAGTGTTGCTTTACAGCAGAGTGGAGTGCCTGATTGACATGATCTACAATCCAGTTGAAGAGCTTGGCATAGATGTGCTTGGCCAAAGCGTCGCGGGCATTTGTGGCCTGCAGCTTAGAGATGGGCTTGATGTACGTCTCGGTGGCTGTGGCCAGCTTCCGGTGGCAGAGCCAGTGAGACATCTCCTCATAATCCACGCCCATGAGGTCACAGAAGATGCTCAGGGGTTCGTGCTTGGGCTGTCAAAAGAGAACAGGTTATTTCTTATGGCCAGCTCAATCAAGTAAGAATTTCCTGAAAGACGTAACCAAGAGGGAAAAGAGACAACTCAGCAATTTCTTTGTTAAAACAAACATTCAGATTACTCAATCCTGATGAGTGATAATAGTATAATTAACCATAAGCCAGCATCTGAGCAGCATTTTGCAATCTCTTTTTTTAGGTCTCATTTTGTAACATATCATCCTTGATTCTTCCTAGATTTGTTAGTATGCCTCTTATAGGACATTCTGCAGGTCCATCAGAGAATCAGCTGACTAGTTGACATGAGGTACCAGTGAACAAAAATAGACATGATTCTCTTCTATCTAGGGCTTACTGCAACTAGGGGTCATTGGAATTCATCCAATTATTGCTCCCTAAAATGTAAAATGCTACAAAGAAAAAGGAGTCTGCCTGAGTGAAGTGTGTGCTCTCTAGGGAGGTGGGAGGCAGAATTGAGATCTGAAGGAAAATAAGATGCAACTGAATTAATGGGGGGAGGAGGAGGGTATTTTCTAAGACACGGGAACAGCTGGAACAAAGATACTATCGTAGGAGGGAGGAGGAGGGAGATCACCCATGGGAAGGACTGAAACAGAGTGAAGGACAAAATGTACAGGAGGGAGCAAGAGAGGCAGGCAGAGGCCACATGCCTAGATTCCCCCAAGAGTGTCTCTTGTGGGCCTCATACGATTAAGCCTGCTCCCACCCCTCCAATTTATTGTAATTACAGGACTGTTTGGAGGACAGGGGGTGGAAGGTGAATAATAATAAAGCCCATTGAATCCAGGTATGAAGATGGCAGAGGGAATCTCACTGAAAGCTGTAGAACAATGGGGGATAGAGGACAGAGAAGAATAAAAGGTTCTGAAAAAAGATAACACAATGGCTGGGAAGGTGGCTCAGTGGTAGAGCGCTTGCCTTGCATGCATGAAGCCCTGGGTTCGATTCCTCAGCACCACATAAGCAGAAAAAGCCGGAAGTAGCGCTGTGGCTTGAGTGGTAGAGCGCTAGCCTTGTGCTGAAGAGTTGAGGGACAGCGCCCAGGCCCAGAGTTCAGGCCCCATGACCGGACCAAAATAAATAAATAAATAAATAACACATGCATGCATGACATTCCAGGGACTCTCATACACAAAAAAATATACCAACAACCAGGCATCGGTGGCTCATGCCTGATTTTTAATTCTAGTTACTCAGGAGGCTGAGATCTGAGGTTATGGTTTGAGAAGCCAGCCTAGGCCAGAAAGTCTGTGAGACCCTTAACTCTAATTAACCACCAAAAAAAAAAAAAAAAAAAAAAAATCACAAGCCTTGAGTGAAAAAGCTAAATAAAGGACAGCACCCAGAATCTGTCCCTTATATATAAACCAGCATATATGAACAAGAGGAGAGTCAAATTGGTTCAGTTTGGGGAAGTGGCTGATGGAAAAGGTAAATGCATGTGGACACGCAGCAGGAATTAGAATTGCTCTGATAATGTCAGAAAAACTTCAAGTATAGTCGGATGCCGGTGGCTCATGCCTATAATCCTAGCTACTCAGGAGGCTGAGATCTGAGGACTGAGGTTCAAAGCCAGCCCATGCAGGAAAGTCCATGAGACCCTTACCTCCAATTAATCACCAGAAAACCGGAAGTGGCACTGTGGCTTAAGTGGTAGAGCACTTGCCTTGAGCTGAAGATCTCAAGGACAATGCCCAGAGCCAGAATTCAAGCCCCAAAAAAAAAAAAAAAAAGAAAAAGAAATCAAGTACACAGTGTCTAAAAAGAACCAACAGAGGGCTAGGAATGTGGCTTAGTGGTAGAGTGCTTGCCTTGCATGTATGAGGCCTGGCGTTCAATTCCTTAGCACCAATAAACAGAAAAAGCCAGAAGTGGCACTGTAGCTCAAGTGATAGGGCACTAACTTTGAACTGAAGAGCTGAGGGACAGTGCCCAGGCTCAGAGTACAGGCCCCATGACCAAAACAAACAAACAAAAAGAAGAAAAGAAAAGAACCAACAGAACTAGGAGCTGGAGATGTAGCTTAGTAGTAGAGCACTTGCCTAGCATTGTAGGCAAGGCCCTGGGTTCAAATCCCAATACCACACACTAATCAATGAATGAATACATGAAGAGAAGAGAATCAACAACAGTAAACCACTAGTTAACTATCACCATATTAAGCTTGTTCTGAACTTACAGGAATTGTGCAGCTGTCCGAATCTCGAGATGTAAACCCAACATTGCCTAAGTGAAGGATGCCAGCAAGTATTCGAAAAATTCCCATTTGATAAGATTCACTAATCCCTGAAACAGAATAAATGAGCAAGTGATCAATTTCAGGATAACAATGAAACAATTATAGCAGAAGAGTTTAATTCTAGAATATTGCCAGATGCTGTGAGCACAGAGTCAGAGGTAAGAAATTAACACCATAGGCCCCTGAGCCTCAGAGGGCAGATTGCAACACCTGTCTCTGCTTCCATGTTCTCTGAGATAAGTGGCTTCTTTAAAGATGCCACTTCTTTGTCAATGTAAGACAAGACAACAGTATACCTAATATACTATGGTACCCATGGAAAGTAGGAAATAAAACATTATAGGCACACTCTGAATTTAAGTACTTCATTCATTTTTTTCCATTTTTATTTATTTCTACTCCACATGTGAGCTGTAGTCCAATAAAGCTGTTTTGAGCTAGATTATTTAATTACTTCCAAGTATAAATCAATGAGATCCTATGATCTAAAAGGCTCAGTCTGGTTTTATACTCTGGCCTGATGGATGAGTGTCCAAATATAGCATGGAAGAGGACCTGAAGACTGAATGAAGTAGGATGGGAAAGTCGGGCAGTTGCTGATCATTATTAGATCTGGCTTCATATGTCAGTAAAGGAAATAATTTCTAGAATATTAAATGTAAAAATAGTTAAAGAGAAGTAGTGCAATTATTTCCAAATATGTAATCTTACTCATGGAAATTGAGAATTGACCTCATAATGAATGCTTTTTGCTTTGTAAAATTCATAATTTAGCCCTATCCATTTTATGATCTTTAATATGCACATAAATCATTAACAGATCTTGTTAAAAGACAGATTTACAATCAGTGGGTCTGGGAAGATCAAAAGAGTGTACGTTTTTAACAAGCTCTACAGTGGTTCTGAACTACACTTGGATTAGCAATGTTTTTCAATTACATTAACTCATTTAAGGATTCTTTTAAATGAAAAAAATACATGATTTTTTTTAGTTTTTGTATTTTAAGGTAGCTCTTTTAAAAAAATAAAAATTCACCTTTGAAGTTGTAGAAACTATAGCTGTAAAGATGAATTTATTCATACAAAAACCAAACATTCTTTAAATCCCAGAAAGAAAATAGTAATGTCTGTGCCATTTCAAACCACTGGAATAATATAATACAATGTTCTGTCACCATACCAGGTCAATCACATTTCCAAGCTAAAAAAGACTCCCAAAACCAACCAGCCAAACACTTCCAAAAACGTGATCTTGTACAGGAACCTATTTCATTTAGCTTTATGTAAAAATGTACATAAACAAAAAATATGTTGTCCTCTCCCTGATACTTTAGATCTGTGTGTATGATTTTTAAACAGCTTTCTGGAGAGATAATTTGCACAGTACAACATTAAGTGCTCAATGACCTTTGGTAGAGTTAAAAAATTACCCAACCAGAGGCTGGGAAGGTGGCTCAGCAGTAGAGTGCTTGCCTTGCATGCGTGAGGCCCTGGGTTTAATTCCCCAGCACCACATAAGCAAAAAGGAAAAAAAAGCTGGAAGGGGTGCTGTGGCTCAAGCGCGAGCCTTGAGCCTTGAGCTGAGGGACAGCACCCAGGCCCAGAGTTCAGGTCCCATGACCGGACCCCCCCAAAAAAATTACCCAACCATTACCACAATCTAATATTATAACAGTTCCATCACCCCAAAGGAAACCTTATGCCTATTTGTCTGAATGTGTTCTGGTAAGGTATGTTAACTCTCTGAGCAATGTTCACTACTTAATATAAAGCCAAACTTGTATTCCACACAAAGGTTGTTTATGACAAAAGCTATTACTCAGATGAGCTCAAGAATCAAATGACAGTTGGGCGCCACGGGCTCACATGTGTAATCCTAGCTCCTCAGGAGGTTGCAAACTGAGGATTGAGGTTAGAAGCCATCTTGGGCCAACAAATCTGTGAGACTCTTATCTCTAATTAATCAGCAAAAAGCTGGAAGTGGAGGTTGGCTCAAGTGGTAGAATACCCAGCCAAGTAAGCAAACTGAGTAATCACAAAGTCCTGAGTTCAAGTCCCAGTACTACTGAAAACTGAAAGGATATTACCCAGCAGAGTGCAGGCCTGCCTGGTGTGGGCCATCTCCTTTGCATCATCCACTCCTTCAATCACAGGACTACCTCCTTGCTTTGTGTAATGGAAGTTATTTGCATCTCCTGCAATGATGGAGACATGAAAGGCTTAAAGTCAGAAACTGTGATGTGTACAGGCTGCACAGTCTGGAGTACTTCCTGTGTTTTCAATTATACTGTAACACAAAACTCCAAAACTACATAATGGGATACAATATAAATGTAAATACCTTAGTTGGTGATATGGGCAGTACTTTTCTATGAGTTTAGTTCCCAACTACATGTTAGAACTATTTCTTCAAATATTTTGCTCAAGGCAAAATATTTTAAATATATGCAAAAATTTTCAGATTAGAATAATGAACCCTATACATTCTTCACTTGTCATAAACAAGCATGACCTTAAGGCCAGCCCTGTTCTATATAGAGAGAGCCCCTCCCTCTTCCCCAGGCCTATGAGTTATTCATAAGCCAACTGCAGACTTAAAAAAATCACTTCACTCATAAATACTTCAGCATAAAGTAATACTATATTTAACAAGTAAGTTTTAGAACCTCAGAAATTAATGGAGAGCAATACCAACATAAGTCTCATGTGGCATCATACCTAATCGTAGCATTTTAAATTCAGGTAACTTTGCTGAAGCACAAAGCTGATAGAAGATATGGTAGTTTCTCTCTTCTTCTGCCTTTGGAGGAGGAAAAAATTTCAATTATAGCATTTTAATATAAAATCTCAGAAAATTCCATTGTAAAACATACTTTTAAATATTTAATTACTTCAGGGCTGGGAAGGTAGCTCAGTGGTAGAGTGCTTGCCTCACATGCATGAGGCCCTGGATTCAATTCCTCAGCACCACATAAGAAGAAAAAGCTGGAAGTGGTGCTGTGGCACTAGCCTTGACCTGAAGAGCGGAGTGACAGCGTCCAGCACCAGAGCCCAGGCCCCACGACCAGCCAAAAAAAAAAAAAAAAAGGAATATTTAATTACTTCAATTAGTAAAAATCCCCAAAGTTATTATTACTTATTTGTAATTAAACTTTCTGATTCAACGTATTTATGCAAGCCAAGCACTGTGTATGGCAAGTACCTTAAGTCCCAGCTAATCAGGAGGGGGCTTGAGACCAAGAGTTTGAGGCCAGTGTGCAAAATACAGTAAGATTTGGGCTTTTAAAAGATAAAAACAAGCTAGGAACTGGGGGATCATACTCAACTAATTAAGAAACGAGAGAAAATAATATTTTGTTTTGTTTTGTTTTTGTGTGTGTTGGTTGTGGGGCCTGAACGTTGGGCCTGGGCTCTGTCCCTCAGCTCTTCAGCTCAAGGCTATCGCTCTACCACTTGAGCCATGGTGCCACTTCCAGCTTTTTCTGCCTATGTGGTGCTGAGGAATTGAACCCAGGGTCTCATGCATGCAAGGCAAGCACTCTACCACTGAGCCACCTTCCCAGCCCCGAAAAAATATTTTATAACTGGACATTCATAAAGGTTGTATAGGATGAGAAAGGACAGAGTAGAAAATAATTCAGTAAGAATTATTTTTAAAGAATAGAACCAGCTGGGCACCAGTGCCTCACGCCTGTAATCCTAGCTACTCAGGAGGCTGACATTTGAGGATCACAGTCAAAGCCAGCCCAGGCAGGGAAGTCCATGAGACTCTTATCTCCAATTGCCCACCAGGAAAGTAGAAGTGGCTCTGTGGCTCAAGTGGTAGAGTGCTTGCCTTGAGCTGAAAAGCTTGGGAATGTTGTCCAGGCCCAGAGTACAAGCCCCATAACTGACAGAAAAAAAGAAAAGAAAAGCTACTCAGGAGGCTGAGATCCAAGGATCCTGGTCTGAAGCCAACCCAGGCAGGAACATCTATGAGACTCTTGTCTCCAATTAATCAGCAAAAAGCCAAAAGTGGGGTGTGTTTCAAGTGCTAGAATGCTAGCCTTGAGCTACAAAGCTAAGGGAGAGCATCCTGACTCTGAGTTTAAGCTCTGGTACTGGCATAAAAATGAGTAAAAAGCAAGTGGCACTGTGGCTTAAGAAGCAACATTAAAACTGTTAAAAAAAAAAAAAGAGTAAATAAATGAATGAATAAACTAAAACTTATATAGGCTAAATGCACATCTGCACATACATGTGTAAATCTTATTCAATATGAAATATCTGCTAGTTGAATTAGTGAACAATTTGATATATAGATGGCCATAGTCATAAGACGTAAGTGCAATGGGGAGGCTAAATGATTTTGTGCAATATTCAATGCTATTTTCTAATGACACTTTGTAGTTTCGTATGTATACAAATATTTTGGCTGAAAAAATTATCCAAAGCCGGTGTCATTGACTCATGGCTGTAATCCTTGCAACTCAGGAGGCTGACATATTAGGATCGCAGTTCAAAGCCAGCCCGGGCAGGAAAGTCTGTGAGACTCTTATCTCCAATAAACCAATAGAAAACTAGAAGTGGTGGTGTGGCTCAAGCGGTAGAGGGCTTGCCTTGAGCTGAAGAGTGCAAGGACAGCGCCCAGGCCCAGAGTTCAAGCCCCATGACCAAAAAAAATAAAATAAAAAAATAAAAAAAAATTCAATCTTTGCTAGAGTCAACTGTCTTCTGTAGTTGTTTTCAGGAAATACACAAATGTGCTTAATCTTCTGTATCCTTTGTTTTTGTATTTTAAAATCACTATTTTCCAAATTTAAAAAATCATGTATAATTCTAAGGTCATTCAAAAATGTTTCTTGAAGGGCTGGGAAGATGGCTCAGTGGTAGAGCGCTTGCCTTGCATGCCTGAGGCCCTGGGTTCAATTCCTCAGCACCACATAAGCAAAAAGAAAAAAGTCGGAAGTGGCGCTGTGGCTCAAGTGGTAGAGCGCTAGCCTTGAGCTGAAGAGCTGAGGGACAGCGACCAGGCCCAGAGTTCAGGCCCCATGACCAGACCCAGAGTTCAGGCCCCATGACCGGACCCAAAAAAAAAATGTTTCTTGATAGTCTTTGCCCCACATATGTCCCTACAAATACAATTACAATAACAGTACATTCAAAATTGAACTGTAATATTCTATCATCACATCTGTTGATTCAGCAGTATATCCAGATGTGTGGATATTACTATTAATAAGGTCAAGGTGAGATTTTTTTCATGATTAAAGAGGACTGATGTCTGGCGTGGGGAAGGAAGACACTGGTCAAATTAGCAACATACCAACAATCCCAATGCTGAGTAGGTAAGAGACCAGTGGCTGAGCATGCTCAACTAGAAAAGCAGGTGGGTCCGTTCCTTTGTACTGTTAGGACCACATCCAGTCTGATTTTTACTGGCTGTGTGACTCATTTTGACATACTGAGCATTCTCAGTATTCTCTACTCTGGGAACTGGGGAACAATGGAAATCACTGCCGCATCTCTAGATAAGACAATAAAGATTAGGCCTTACCATTTAATATTAAGCAGCATACTAACCAAGGAACTATTTTTCCTATTAATTTCACCTTTTGATTTCAGTTTTTCCTATCAATTTGACCTTTACTTATCAATCAAATCTTGGGCTTGATATTCTTGTAGATGTACCTATGTCTCACTCTCTTCTGACTACTAGTTTTCAAAAAGTCTTGTGGAAGCATGCATGGGTGGAATAACACTGCTCTGTGTGCAGCTGGATAGTAGAACACTATATCCCTATTCAATCAATTATCATATTTTAGGTGCTCACAATCAGACACAACCCTAAGGCCAAAGCCAGGATGGGTAGATGAGACTGCTAATGTGTGCCTTTTGACATGCCCCAAATATTTTCAAGAGCATTACAGACTTGGCAACAGAAGCCCCATTAAGGAGCTCCTGAATCTCCAGATCTCACAGTCTGGGTCACATACTGGGTTATGAAGAGTCGGGCCTGGGCATTGCCCTGAGCTCTTCAGCCCAAGGTAAGCGCTCTACCTCCCTTCCCAGCCTGAGCTCTACTACTTGAGTCACAGTGCCAATTCTGGTTTTCTGGTGGTTAACTGGAGATAAGAGTCTCACTGATGTTTCTGCCTAGACTGGCTTTGAACCATGATCCTCAGATCTCAACCTCCTGAGTAGCTAGGATTACAGGCGTGAGCCACCAGTGCCCAGCCATGAGGAGTCTTGTTTGTTTTTTTTGTTGTTGTTTTGTTTTTTGTTTTTTTGTTTTTTTTTTTTTTTTGTCAGTCGTGGGGCTTGGACTCTGGGCCTGGGCGCTGTCCTCAGCTCCTCAGCTCAAGGCTAGCGCTCTATCACTTGATCCACAGCGTCACTTCCGGCTTTTTCCACTTATGTGGTGCTGAGGAATCGAACCCAGGGCCTCATGCATGCAAGGCAAGCACTCTTACCACTGAGTCACCTTCCCACCCCGAGGAGTCTTATACTAGAAGTTTCCCAAAGATAAATCCATACTCCCTAGTAGGCTATAGGTGAATACATGCCTCCTGGTACTGCAAACTTGCAGATCAGAAAAGATCGAGAAGCCAGGTCTGCTGATATATATATAACCTATAATCCCAGCAATTCAGAGGTTGAGACAAGAGGATTGAATTTGTGGCCAGTTTGGACTACATATTGAGATCCTGTCCTAGAATAATATAATAATACATATATATTGTTAGTGACATGAGCTCTCTTCCCAGAGCTTAGTATACTCCTTCCCTTTTCCATAGCTTAGTAATCTCCATTCCTAGGCAACACTAAGCCCATTTAGTAAAGGCAGTAAATAATCAACTCCAATCCCCTTTACCTTGGGATGGCACTTCTTTGGGGCAGCTACAACCATATAAGGCAACAAGAGCCCCTTGGAGTGACCTTCAGGTCTGGGAAGTTGCTGAACCCCTTATCTATTATTTGGACAGCAACCATAAATCCTAGTCCACCATGATGAAGCCCTTGGCCCACATGTCCACACCAGGTCTCCGTCTCCTAGCCTCTTTTAGCCCTTCCTAAACCTCCTAGGTTATATAGGTCACTTCAGACAATAGCCAGTGCTTCTTCTCACTTCTCCCTTATGAGAAGGGGTCTTGCCTGCCCCTTTCCTGGCATTAAACCTTGCTTTGTTCTCTGTACCTGGGTATCTGCATGGTTCTCTGGCAAAGTCTAATTTACCCTATCACACATGAATGCAAACAGTGAATATATGTATCAATAACTGTCTTAGATACACATTTACACATGGGTTATGAAGATTTTTTGTTGTTGTTGGTCATGGGGCTTGAACTCTGGGCCTAAACACTGTCCCTCAGTTCTTCAGCTCAAGGCTAACGCTCTACCACTTGAGCTACAGCGCCATTTCTGGTTTTTTGGTGGTTTATTGGAGATCAAGTTTCACAGACTTTCCTGCCTGGGCTGGCTTTGAACCATGATCCTCAGATCTCAGCCTCCTGAGTAGCTAGGATAACAGGCGTGAGCTACCAGTACCTGGGTATGAAGAAGACTTCTTTAACTGTCAATATTCTACCTAAACAATACCACACTCTAAGGGAAGAGAAGGAAGAAGATGGAAAGAATTTTGTTTTTCTTGAGTTGAGCTCAAGAGGTAATTCAGTGAAGGAATAAACCAACACCATCTTTCCTACCAATTTGAAAACATATGAGACAACACTAAAATAATAGCATCTCTTCTTAATTAAGCTTTCCAACAGGAATGTATAAGAAAGTCAAGATTATCGGAGCACTGGTGGCTCATACTTATAATCCTAGCTACTCAGGAGGCTGAGATCTGAGGACTACAGTTCATGACCAACCAAAAAAAGAAAAAGAAAAAGAAAAAGTCAAGATTATTAAACCTAAATTGGTACCCACTCCCAAAGACTATTATTAGCCTTCTTCTAACAAGTCTTCACTTCCCATATTTCTGTCCAAGTGAAGTTTGTAGTAATGTGTACAAACAAAACACATCACACACTACCAATCACACGGCATTCACACAGCAACATATATGAGTCCATGTACATGAGTGTAAGCCTGCTTACCTGGAACACCACTCTGGATTTCTCTAAAAGGTAAGTTCTCATATTGGCACCGATGATTCGATATCGCTTATCAAAGCCAATCTCAATATACTTCCCAAAACGGCTGCTATTGTCATTTCTGGTTGTTTTAGCGTTTCCAATTGACTAAGGAACAAGGAGAAAATAAGATTTTAGAAGTGTTATTTATCATAAGACATTTACAAAGTTTGTGCAGAGAGAGAAAGGACAGAGTAGAACATAATTCTTTAAAACATTCTTTTAAGAACCAAGCCAGATGCTGGTGGCTCTTGCCTAGCTAATCCTACTCAGGAGGCTGAGATCTGAGGATCAGTTTGAAGCCATCCCGGGCAGAAAAGTCTGTGAGACTCTTACCTCCAATTAACAAGCAAAAAGTTGGAAGTGGAACTATGGCTCAAGTAGTAGAATAAATGACAGAGTTAAGATAGATCATTAATTTGCTTTAGTCTTTAGGGTCTCTTTAGAAACTATAAGTTTCTATCATCTTCAAGCTACAAATCTCGAGTCCAACTGCTTATAACCGTGTAATACTCATCAAAAATTTAATGCCATTTTTAGTAACCAGAGGAAGTAAAACTTGGTTCTGGTTTTTGATCGTTATTATCTAACTTGGAAAACATCTGCTACAGAATGCAGACTGTAACAGTCTCTAAGTTAAAAATTAAAATGGCATACATCTGTTTTTTGACTTAGGTGATATGCTTCTAAAAATTCTCTCTCAAGGCAAAGCAAAAGAAAGTGGAGTTAGAAAAGCAATTTATTCACATAATGCATACATTAAGTGTTAATAAGTTTATTTCATTTTATAAGCTTATCACCTTTCATTTTAGCAAAGTGTGTTTTAGGATTAGTATATACAAACCAGATGTGAAGCCAGACACTGGTAGCTCATGCCTGTAATCCTAAAATACCCAAGAGACTAAGATCTAAGGATCCTGGTTTAAAGTCAGGCTTAAGTCCTTGAGACTCTTGAGTCACAGCTCCACTTCTAGTTTTTTGTTGGCTGAATGGACATAAGAGTCTCTTCAACTTTCCTGTCCAGGCTTGTTTTGAACTTGAATCCTCAGATCTCAGCTTCCTTAAGGAGCTAGGATTAGAGTCATGAGCCACCAGAGCTCAGAAAAGCCTTTTAAAATCTTAAATTTGCTTAAGACTTGTTACTCTCTTTTGACAAAAATACCATATTTCCTCCTGCCATGCTACTTCACAGAACTTTCCAGTTTTCTCTAGCTTCTTTCTGTAGCACATCTAGCCCTGTGGGCCTCTCAATTTGCCAAGAATAGAAATCCTACTGCTCCCAGAGGTGGGGAACCATTTTTTTGCCAAAGTATTATTGTGACATAACATCATTCAAGGGTCATAGAAAAATTATCAATACAAGTGGAAGGTCCTTGGGCAGCTGAAGAAGAACACAGATTTCTGTCCTGTAGGGACCAGATTTCTCAGGCCTTATGCGGCTCGCAGGCCGGAAGTTCCCCACCCCTGCAAGTCTAAAGGGAAACCCTGTAGGGGGGAGGTCACAGCTCTGTGACTTGAGGTGTCACACACAGCACTGCAAACCAGGCACAATTACCTCTGCACAGATTATTGCAAACACGGTGTACCAGGCCAGTGCTAACTCCGTCTGTGATTAGCTGATAAATAACGCTTGACAAAGGAAAAAGACAGGAATAAAAACAGGTCCATCGGAATTTTAAACAACAGAGGTTTCTGCATGTTCCAGTTAATTTCTTTCTACTTAATAAAACTTGTTTTTTTCTCTATTTTCTTTTCTCTTCTGTTTCCTCTCTCCTCCCCCCTCTTTCTGTTTCTCTCTCCCTTGCTCCCTCCTTCCCTCCCTTCTCCCTCTCTCTCTGGAAGTCCTGGGGATTGAACCCAAGACTTCAGTAAGCACTCTACAACTTGAGTCATGTCCCTGGTCCTTATATTTTTTGTTTGTATTTTGTTAGCATGACCCTATCTCACTAACTGCCTGAGCTACATTGAAACTTACAAGCTTCCTATCTCTGACTCTTCTAGTTGGAATTACAGGCATGAAACCACGACATACAACCTTTTTTCCATTTTCTTATAAAACTATAACTTTCTTAAAGGCATTTAATAAGTATTCCTCTAGTCATAAATCTTTTTTTTTTTGTCGGTTATGGGGCTTGAACTTTGGCGCCTGGCATAAATCTTAAAATATCGAATTCTCATGCGACCAATGTCATTGCCTTCAGCATAGGCATATTAAGTTTGTGTGTCTGACTTTTGAAACTACAACATATTTTCATAGTTCTTCTATGCTCAAGAACATATAGTTAAGGGGCTGGGAAGACAGCTCGATGGTAGAGTGCTTGCCTTGCATGCATGCGGGCCTGGGTTCGATTCCTCACCACATAAGCAGAAAAACTTCAGCTCAAGTGCACTAGGCTTGAGCTGAAGAACTGAGGGACAGTGCCCAGGCCCAGAGTTCAGGCCCCACTACCGCCAAAAACAAAAAAAACAAACTAACAAACAAAAAAAAAACACACACATAGTTAAGGGCTGAGGCTACAGCCAGTTGGAACAGCCCCTGCCAGCCAGCATGAAGCCTTGAGTTCAAACCCTAGTACTGCCAAAAAACCAAACAACAACAACAACAACAAAACCATTATCATTACTGAATCTCTCCACCGAGCCATACATGTGATAAAGTCAATAAAAAAAAGAAAAAAGCCAGGTGCCAGTGACTCACGCCTATAATCCTAGCTACTCAGGAGGCTGAGATCTGAGGATCACAGTTCAAGGCCAAAGCCAGCTGGGGCAGACATGAGCTTCTTGTCTCCAATAAACCACTAGAAAACCAGAAGTGGCTCTGTGGCTCAAGTGGTAGAGTGCAGGGACAGTGCTTAAGCCCAGAGTTCAAGCCCCACGACCAACAAAAAAAAAAAAGAAAGAAAGAAAAAGAAAGAAAGAAAGAAAGAAAAAATGTTTATGAGATCATGGTTTAAATTTATAATTTGAATTTAGGAAAAATATTAAAATTACAATTTATGAATAACTAGGTTGTCCTAAGCATAGAAAATGAACTCTGAAGGCACATGCCTTCAATCTCAGCACTTGGGAGGCTGAGGCAAGGATGTGCAAGTGTTAGACCCCCTTGAGCTGTCTCAAGGTAAAGAAAAAAAAAAAAAAAAGAAAATGAATTGTGAGTAAAAGAATAATGGAACTCCCTAGGCACCAGTGGCTCACACCTGTAATCTTAGATACTCAGCAGGCTGAGAGCTGAGAGTCAGTTCAAAGCCAGCTGACACAGACAAATCCAAGTGATTTTTAAATCCAATTAACCAGCAAAAAGCTAGATGTATAAGGTGTGCGCCAAGTAGAACACCATCCTTGAGTGAAAAAAGCCCAGTGAGAGTGTGAGGCCAGTATCAAGCCCAGTATCAACACAATAAATAAATAGGATTACAGGTATTACTCAGGAGGCCTGTTCTGAGAATCACAAGTCAAAGCCAGCCTGGGCAGGAAAGTCTGGAAAGTCTGTGAGACTCTTTTTTTTTTGGATCCGGTCATGGGGCCTGAACTCTGGGTCTGGGCGCTGTCCCTCAGCTCTTCTGCTCAAGGCTAGTGCTCTACCACTTGAGCCACAACACCACTTCCGGCTTTTTTCTTTTTGCTTATGTAGTGCTGAGGAATCGAACCCAGGGCCTCATGCATGCAAGGCAAGCGCTCTACCACTGAGCCACCTTCCCAGCCCCCATCTGTGAGACTCTCATGTCCAATAAACTACCAGGAAACGGGAAGTAGTGTAGTGGCTAGTGCTCGCCTTGAGCTGAAGAGCACAGGACAGTGCCCAGACCCAGAGTTTAAGCCCCATGACTGACAAAAAAAAAAAAAAAGACGACGACGAAAAAGAAATTCATTCATGCTTGAGCAATAGCAAAGCCTATGTTTTAGAAAAAAAAATTAATTAGAACTCAGGGTGGAATGATTAAGTTGTACTCTCGTTAGCAGCTATGGGGGAAAGGATGAGTCAGTCAGCTCACTAGGCAACTATTCTGTTGGTTTAAAATGCAGTGTTAGGGATAAAAGCAGATTCCTCTCTAGCCACGCTTCACTGAAAATGTCTATCTTCATGGAACATTCAGTTTCCCTAGAGCTCTTACTAGCAAAGAGAAAAGGGTTTTCATAAGTTGACACTTTTTGACATGTGCTATACACAACAATTTTTATGTTACTTTATTTTTTGCAACATGCTTCTTCATACAAGACTAGAGAACACAGCTTTCTTACCTCCATGATGGGGTTGGAAGCCAAGACTTTCTCCTCCACATTGGCCTCACTGGCGGAGCCACTCACGGTGGCAAAGTATCTCATAGCGTACTTAGCCGAGACGGTTTTTCCTGCCCCAGATTCTCCGCTTACAATGATGGACTGATTTCGCTCATCTCTGCAAGACAAAGAAGAGCCTTCTGGTGCTGCCTGCTTCTGACTGTGACTCCCATCCAAGGGACCAAAGTCTCTCCCTGTCCCCCCATAACATTGTGGGAAGAAATGATTATGAGCAACTACTTATAAACTAAAAAGTGAACTGAGGAGAGCCAGGCAGGACCTCTGGTGGTTACACTTGTAATCCTAGCTACTCAGGAGGCCAAGATGTGAGGATCCCAGTTCATAGCCAGTCCTAGGCAGAATAGTCCGAGAGACTCTTGTCTCCAATTAACCAGCAAAAAGCAAGATAGAGAGCTGTGGCTCAAGTGGTAGAGTGCCAGCCTTGAGCAAAAAGACCTAGAAAGAGCAAGAGACCTGAGTTCAAGCTCCCCACTCCATAAAAACAAAAACTGAAACACCTCTATGCTCCTTTAGTATTTTAATATTTAATAACAATCCAGGCCATTTTATATTTACACATAGCTAGTCACCTTAAAATATCTAAGACTTAGCAGAAAGGAATTCATTTTTGCTTCCCATTAGCAAAAAAAAAAAAAAGAGAGACAATGAAAGCTCTCCCCAACCTGGCCATTTGCTTATAAGCTTCTTCAGCTACTGCAAAGATGTGAGGATCCATGTCCCCCATGTTCTGACCACTGTATGCATTGATGATGTCTTCTCCATAGATGGGCAGCTGTTCATAGGGATTTATAGCTACTAGGACGATTCCTGAGAGGAGGAAAACACAAAGAAAAATGTCAGCAACACTCTAGAAGATACTTCAAACTTGTACAACAACATGGTCAATACAAACTTTATTTCAATTGAGTTCATATCCAACTGGTTAACTTCTAAGGGTCAAAATACATTTGCCAAGCACTGGTGGTTTACACCTATACTCCCAGCTACTTAGGAGCTGATATCCAGAGGATCATGTTTCAAAGCCATCCAGGAGAGGCTGGGAATGTGGCTTAGAGGTAGAGTGCTTGTATAGCATGCATGAAGCCCTGGGTTCAATTCCTCAGTACCACATACACAGAAAAAGCTGGAAATGGCGCTGTGGCTCAAGTGGTGGAGTCCTAGCCTTGAGCAAGAGAAGCTCAGGAACAGTGCCCATGCCCTGAGTTCAAACTCCAGGACCGACCAAAAAAAAAAAAAAAAGCCAACCAGGAAAAGTCTACAAGAGTCAGTCTCCAACTAAGCAACAAAAAGCTGGGCCCAGCCAGCAGAAGCAAAAAGGTTTATCCCAACAAAAGTCTATCCTACACTTCTGAGCAATTGAGAAACAAAAGAACTGCGCTAAACTTGAACCCACTCCCAAAGATGTCTCATGGACATCAACTCTTCAAGTAGTTTTGATTTGTTTTTTTATGTAAGGGATGAAAATGGCTGGGAATGTGGCTTAGTGGTAGAGTGCCTGCCTAGCATGCATGAAGCCCTAGGTTCGATTCCACAGTACCACATACACAGAAAAAGCCAGAAGTAGTGCTGTGGCTCACGTGGTAGAGTGCTAACTTTGAACAAAAGAAGCTCAGGGACAGTGCCCAGGCCTTAAGTTCAAGCCCCAGGACCGACAAAAAAAAAAAAAAAGATGAAAATAATTGGTAAAGTTGGCATTATGCGTGACATATAACTTTTGTGGGGGCAAAATCCAAAAGATGGACCTAGTGCTTTTTATGTTAACTGCATATATTCACAAATGACTTAATACTGCACAAAATGCAACTTAGCTAAATGAGTACAGGAAATCTTCCTGATAGCTCCGGAGTAATTTTTGTCCATCACAAGAAGTCTAACCATGGCCTGCTTTCCCCAAGCATGAGGTATTTTCAATGCTTTGGCCATTAGCAGAACGAGTGCACAATGCCCTCAGACAGTGGGGCGTACTTACCACAGTATGTATAAATAAGTTTGGAGTCAATAAAACGGACTCTGAGATTATGGAGCACAGCAGGCTCGTGAAGGTAGCTGAGAGCTGTGAGGTCATTTTCACCAACGAGGATGTCTGGGTTTCGTAAATGAGGCAGCTCCTTGGTTTTTGGATCGAGACGGTACTCCAAATCCTGAAAACACAAAATACAAATGTCTGGATCAGTCATGGTAATGAATGTGGAACAGGCCCAGCCACTGTGCTTATTTCCTATTTCTGATTTGCTTCTCAGTTCTTTTTTTTTTTCTTCTCAGCTTTTAAATATTCTAATTTCCTGCCTTTTCTCATGTCACAAATGCTGGTGGAAATGAGAAACGAGAAGGGTATCTTAATGTATATTCATTATGTTTGTGAGCTGCACATGGTGGTACATGCCTGTAATCCCAACATCATGCAGCAGAGGCAAAAGGACTGTAAGTTCAGGGCCACACTAGGATACATAGCAAAATCTTGTCTAAATAAAATAAATAAAAGGCTGGAAATGTGGCTCAGTGTAGAGTGTTTGTCTAGCATGCATGAAGCCCTGGGTTCGATTCCTCAGTACCACATACACAGATAAAGCCAGAAGTGGCACTGTGGCTCAAAGGTAGAGCACCAGCCTTGAACAACGAAGCTCAGGGATAGTGGCCAGGCCATGAGTTTATGCCCCAGCCAGTACTGGCAAAAATAAATGAATAAATAAATGAATAGCTGGGCACCAGTGGCTCACGCCTTTAATCCTAGCTATTCAGGAGGCTGAGATCTGAGGATCACAGTTCAAAGACAGCCCGGGCAAGAAAGTCTGTGAGACTCTTACCTCCAATAAACTATTAGAAAACTGTAAGTGCCACTGTGGCTCAAGCAGTAGAGTGCTTATCTTGAGCTGAAGAGGGCAGGGACAGCGCCCAAGCCCAGAGTTCAAGTCCCATGACTTAAAAAAAAAAAAAAAAAAAAGAAATGAATAAATATCTTACCTTTCCTTCCTCCAGGTGAAGTAGGAGGACTTTATCTCCAGGCTTATAATCTTTGAGCAACTCTGCTGACTTCCAGACTTCCTCAGGATCAGGTATCCAAACCCTGGCAAACTAGAAGAGAAAAAAAAAAAAATTTAAACTAGCAAATTGCTTTACAATCATAGATAAAACATATTGAGTTTGTGTGTGTGTGTGTGTGTGTGTGTGTGTGTGTGTTGTGTGTGTAGGGTGAGCTGCACAGCTCTATTTCCAGCTTTTTGGTGGTTAATTGGAAATAGACACCCATTTTCCTTCCGCAGCTAGCTTAAAACTTCGATCCTTAGATCTCAGCCTTCTGAGTTGGGAGTATTATAGGCATGAGCAATTAGTGCCTAGCTTTACTTGGTTTTAATAAAACAATTTTTTTTAAAAAGAAACTTTAGCCAATATGTAATACTTATTTGTTTATTTATTATCAGTCCTGAGACTTTAACACAGGGCTGGGACTCTTTACTTGAGCTCTTTTGCTCAAGGCTAGCGCTCTTCCACTTCGAGCCACAGGGCCACTTCTTGGTTTTTTGGTGGTAAACTGGAGATAAGTGGTGATTTGGAGACTTTCCTGAACTGGCTGGCTTTGAACCCCAATTCTTAGATCTCAACCTCCTGGGTAGCTAGAATTACAGGTGTGAGCTATCAGCCCACAGCTCTGGATTTATTTTGAGATAGGATTTTGCTGTATACCACAGGCAGGTATTGAACTCAATCTTCCTACTTCTGCCTTTCAAGGGTTGAGTTTACAAGCATGTGCCACATTGCCTAGAGGGAGACTGAGCTTTTATTTATTTTTTTAGTTTTTGCAGTACTGGGGTTTGGAGTTTCCCACTTATTATTTTTTTGGTTGGTCGTGGGGACCAAACTCTGGGCCTGGGCGCTGTTCCTCAGCTCTTCAGCTCAAGGCAAGGACTCTACCACTTGAGCAACAGCGCCACTTCCAGCCTTTTCTGTTTATGTGGTGCTGAGGAATCGAACTCAGGGCCTCATGCATGCGAGACAAGCACTCTACCATTGAGCCACCTTCCCAGCCCCAGAGAAGACCAAAAAGTTAGCCAGCACTGGCACCAGTATTTAGCCCCAGCAGCACGATCTTTCCTGAACTGTAGAAAAATTTATTCTGGGATGGGGCTGGGAAGGTGGTTCAGTGCTTGCCTTGCATGCATGAGGCCCTGGGTTCTATTCCTCAGCACCACATAAGCAGAAAAAGCCAGAAATGGCACCTAATCTCAAGTGGTAGAGCACTAGCCTTGAGCTGAAGAACTGAGGGACAGTGCTCGGGCCCCATGACCAACCAAAAAAAAAATTTTTTTTTATTCTGGGGTGAGGGGAGCCAGAATTAAAGCTTATGTTTGCTTTATATAGTAAATGTCACCTGAAAATGTAATGTTAGGTAAAAATTTACATATAATTTTTTGTTTGTTTGTTTGTTTTGTCGGTCGTGGGACCTGAACTCTGGTCCTGGGTGCTGTCCCTCAGCTCTTCAGCTCAAGGCTAGTGCTCTACCACTTAAGCCACAGCACCACTTCTGGCTTTTTCTGCTTAAATGGTGCTGAGAAATCGAACCCAGGGCCTCATACATACAAGGCAAGCATTCTACCACTGAGCCACCTCCCCAACCCAAAATTTACATATAATTCTATTTTTACAGCTTGAGTGGTTCTGCTGGTTTAGTAGCATAACCATCTCTTTCAGGCAGAATTTACAATTTGAATCTTTCCTTCTGTGTTTCACCTCTGCAAAACCTCAGTAACTTGGAAACCACTGTACAGGGGAGGAGAAGAGGGAATCTGTGGCTAAGGGCCAGAGAAGTTTCACATACTGGACATCTGCAATTTTCTTTTTTTTTTGCTCATGCAAGGGCTTGAACTCAGGCCTGGGCACTGTCCCTGAGCTTCTTTTGTGCAAGGCTAGCACTCTACCACTTGAGCCACAGCACCACTTCCAACTTTTTCTGTTTATGCAGTACTTACTGAGGAATTGAACCCAGGGCTTCATGCTCTACTAAGCTCTACTAAGCTACAATCCCACCCCAACATCTGTAAGTTTCTTTGAAAAAGACTTCTGATGTCAACTGGAACCACCTTGGACAAAAAACAAAACAAAACAAACAAAAAACACTTCTGTTTAGATTTTTGCCCTTTTATTGTGTGGGTGTGTATGGGTGCTGAAATTGAGTCTTGAACTCATGCCTGGGTGTGTCCCTGCGCCTTTTTGCTCAAGATACTCTATTACCACAGTTTCACTTCTGGCTTTTTTGGTGGCACTTCGTTGAAGATAAGAATCTATTGGATTTTCCTGCCCTGGCTGGCTTTGAACCGTAATCCTCAAATCTCAGCCTCCTGAATAACTAGGATTACAGGCATGAGACACTGGTGCCTGGCTTGCCCTCTTCATCTTATAAAAATGTGTGGAAAATGGCCCAAATGGTCTGTTTGACCAGCAGTACATTTTGCTCTCTGTAGGCTTGTATTATGAATATTCATAGTAATGAGGACTCCTAAAATGACAAGTGTTTAGACTCAAGTCATGGTCAATTTTGAGAAAAACAATTAAATATACTAACGTGCATAAATCCTACAAACACTACATTAAAGAAACATTTTGTCTATCCAGACTCTCCCTTTAAAACATGTATATACACAAACCAAGTCCCATCCCCCTAAAAGACTCTTCCTGGAGGCCCGTACCCGACTCTACAGCATGCAGTCATCCAGTGTGTTCTCTAATGGTCCAAGAATGGGTATGAGAGAGAGAATGGGAACTATTAAGTAGATAGAGACAGAAGGTGGCAGACCTTACACATGGCAGGTAACGTAGCCCATCACAGAGCTTCTTCTTCCTATAGTGCCTCGGGTCTCCACTGGGAACACTTCTTCCCATAACACTCTTGGTGTCTGCTCAACCAATGAAAAGGATTGGGGCAGGTCATGCGCAAACCCTTGAGCAATCAGCACAAAGCCCAGGCAAGAGGACATGGGAGAAACTCTTTACTATAATAACCACCCTCCAAGAGGACTCCTATGGACTCTTCTTTGGGACCTCTGCAGCTCTCCTTTCACTTTCAAATTAACTTATTCTTGTTTATTTAAAAAACAAATAAAATATGTGCATAACTGGGTGCAAGTAGGTCATACCTGTAATTCTAGCTACTTCAGATGTTGTCATCTCCAGGCACATGGTTCAAACCCAGGCCTGGCTGGTGTGGTGGTGCATATCTGTCATCCTAGCTGCATATAAAGCAGGAGGGTCTCACTTCTAGGCCAGCCCAGGCAGAAAACCCATAGGATACCATCTCAATGAAAGAAGCTGGACATGGTGATATATGCCACCATTACAAGAAGCTTATAGTCTAGGCATTTGCTGAACAGGGAGCAAGACTCGAAGTTAAACATAACCAGTCAAGAAAAGGGCTAAAGGTATAGCTCAGCAGTAGAAAACCTGTCTAGCAAGTGCAAGGTTCTGAGTTCAAACCCTACTCATAGACATACACACACACACACACACACACACACACACACACACACACACACACACACAGTGCATAATAGGCCCTAATATACAGTCTTATGAACAGATCACATTTGAAATGTGACACAATACTTTTAAAATGGAATTGGAAAACTTGAGATGGGTGGGAACAGGATGGGACAGATGAGGGGAACATGTTGGATGGGATGACACAGATCAAAATGTATTATAAATGGACAGATTAAACTGACACCTCTGCATACAATTTTTTGGAGATAAAAAAAGAAAGTAAGACATTCTTGATTCAACTGGCAAACCAAAGGGGGAAGAGATACTCATGGCTAGCAGACTAGAAGAAGATCCTTACCAGCAATACATCCGACAAGGACCTAATATCCAAAATATACAAGAACATCAAGAAATTACCCCCAACCAAAACTAATAAGCCAATCAGTAAGTGGACAAAGGATCTAAAGAGAGACTTCTCAGAAGAAGTGAAAATGCAAATACATACATGAAGAAATGCTCAACATCCCTGCCACAGAGGAAATGCAAATCAAAGTAACACTGAGGTTCCATCTCACCCCAGTTAGATTTGCCAACATGGAGAATTTGAACAATAACAACAAATGCTGGCAGGGATGTCAGAGAAAAGAAACCCTATTGCACTGTTGATGGGAATGTAAACTAGCACAACCACTCTGGATGGTGGTTTGGAGATTTCTCACCAAAAAAAAAAAAAAACCTAAACATAGAACTACCTTAGAATCCAGCCTTACCACTCTTGGTCATCTACCCAGAAGATTACAAATCAGGATAAAGAACTTGCACATCCATGTTCACTGCTTTGCTAATCACAATAGCCAAGTTATGGAAACAGCCCAGATGCCTTTCAATAGATGAGTAGATTAAAAAAGAGTGGCACAAAAAATGTGGTACATATGGCACAATGGAATTCTACTTATTATGTCATTTGCAGGAAATGGATGGACCTAGAATAAATCATGTTATGGTGAAGTAAGTAAGCCAAGCACAGAGAGACAAATGGCATTTTTTTTTCTCATATGTGGAAGCTAGATTAAAATACAACTGGACAGAATAATTTATACAGGGCTCTATGCATATTTACATACACACACACACACACACACACACACACACAAGGAGGATACACTTAGAAACCCAAAGGCTTAGGCTCCTCTGACTATCTAAAGTACTGAACATCTAAGTACTATTTATCAAAACAAATTCTAGGAAATGGAAACAGATCTTATTGGTAGTGGTGGTGTTTGCTGTTGCCTTTGCGGGGAGCAAAAGGGGACACGGGAATGGATGGATGAAGAGTGAACAAATATAGTCATTGTACTCAATATACACTATGTAAAAGATTAACTACTTGTGGGCAGGGATGGGAGGGAGGAAAGCAAAGGGGTGGCATTATCCAAGAACTCATTAACTGACTTATGGAATTGTAGCCCCTTTGTACAATTCTTTAATAACAATTTTTTTAAACACATGATATAATCACAGTTGACATGGGCCTGACTAAATCTGGTCTTTGGCCTACAATAGTATTCTTGATTCACATAAATTCACCTCTACCTTTCACTTTGTTTATTTTGTACAGGTACCAGGGCTTGAATTCAGGATCATTTGTTCTCATGTAGCTTTCTTGTTCACAGCTAATGGTCTACCACTTGAGTCATACCTCTAGTCCAACTTTTTGTTGGTTATTTTGGAGACATCTAATGGACTTTTTTCCCTAGGGTAATTTCAAACCACAATCCTCTAGATCTCAATCTCTCACCTAACGAGTATGATTACATAGATCATACTTCAGAGTGTTATGACCGTCTGCAATTACTGTGATGTTATTGTTTGTTTACTTCTTTCTTTCCTCATTAGAACATAAGCTGTTCTGCTGTTCAACAATACATCCAGTACTCAGAACAGTACCTGACACAGATGGTGTTCAGTATTTAAGGGTCTCAAAATAAAAAACCACTTCAAAATTTTTTTTAAAAGAGAAGATTTTTCTCTCTCTTTTTAAGGGTAATGGACCAAGGACAAGATCTCACTATCTTGCCTTGTTTGTTTTTAATTGTCAAGGTGATGTACAGAGGGGTTACAGTTACATAAGTACTTTTCTTGTCAAACTTGTTACTCCTTCCCTCATTTTCCTCCCACTTTCCCTCTCTCCCCAAGCACCCCACCCTCAGTGGTACAGATTATTTCCAACATATTGTCTTATGATTTTTGTTCCCCCTTGTCCTTTGTCTCACCATTCTGTTGTTTCCCTTCCCTTCCCTAATTCAGATAAACGTATGAATTTTAGAATAGCATGGTGGAAAGAATCACCCAATCACTTTATTTTCTCTTATTATTATGTAATTATAAAAACTTGTAACTTTCACTGGGCGACTGCACCCATCTATAATCCTAGCTATTAAGAAGGCTGAGATCTGACTCCTGCAGTTCAAAGCCAACCATGGCAGGAGGGTCTGTGAGACTTTTACCTCCAATTAACCACCAAAAAAAAAAAAAATTCAGAAGTAGAGCTGTGGTGTAAGTGGTATAACACTAGACTTGAGCAAAAAAGCTCAGGTGCAGTGCCTTGGCCCTGAGTTCAAGCCCAGGACCAGCATCAAAAATCAAACAAACAAAAATAAAGCCCTTGGAGCTGGGCACCAGTGGTTGACTTCTGAAATCCTAGCTACTCAGGAGGCTGAGATCTGAGGATCCTGGTTCAAAGCCAGCCAGGGCAGGAAAGTCCATCAGACTCTTATCTCCAATTAACCACCAAAAAACTGGAAGTGGCGCCGTGGTTCATGTGGTAGGGTGCTCGCTTTGAGCTGAAGACCTCAGGGACAGTGCCCAGGCCCAGAGTTCAAGCCCCACGACAGACAAAAGACAAGACAAGACAAGAAAAGAGCCCTTGTAACTTGCATCATTTACAGAACAAAGAATATTAAAAGTAACTGAAATTGTGGATTAAAAAGTCCTACTTTGGGGGCTGGGAAGGTGGCTCAGTGGTAGAGCGCTTGCCTTGCAAGCCTGAGGCCCTGGATTCAATTCCTCAGCACCACATAAGCAAAAAGAAAAAAGCCGGAAGTGGCGCTGTTCTACTCAAGTGGTAGAACGCTAGCCTTGAGCTGAAGAGCTGAGGGACAGCGCCCAGGCCCAGAGTTCAGGCCCCATGACCGGACCCAATAAATAAATAAATAAATAAAAAGTCCTACTTTGGAACTGAGGATGTCACTCACTGATAAAGTGCTGCCCAGCACACCCAAGGCCCTGGATTCACTGAGACAAAAACCCAGCATGGGGGAAGGAATAAAACAGGGAACACTTTACAAATTTCCTTATCATTCCCTGCACCAGGGCCATGCTAATCTCTGTATCCTTCCAATTTTAGTATATGTGCTGCCCAAGAGAGCACTAGGCTACAGGTTCTAATCAAGGACTAGCATACTGACCTTTACTTCCGGCAATTAGAAAATAGAGGTGACGGCAAAATTAGACTTCCTGTAGTCTTTCTTAGGAATTGCCACATAGAAACTTTGTAAAGGATATATGTAAGCACAGGGATGGATGATTATTGTTTTTTTCTTTTCTGTAGGAAGCAACGCCTAATTTTTTTAATAGCTTGTCTCCCAGGTCCATGGGCCATAAACTGAACAGCATATGTGTGTATAAAATAAGTATTATTGAAATTTTATATATAATTATTTTATATATTTTTTTAAATTTTTTATTCATTAAATAAGCATTCTGTTTTATTTTGGTGACAGTGGTACATGGGTTTTAATTCAGGGCCTTGAGCTCATTTAGCATGCTTGCTCATGGCTGGTGATTCACCACTTGAGCCATGCCTCCAGCCTAGCTTTTTGCTGATCATTTTGGAGAGGCAGTCTAGCGAACTTTTCTGTCCATGCTGGCTTTGAGCTGTGATCCTCTAGCTCTCAGCCTCTTGAGTAGCTAGGATTTACATGTATGAGCCACTAGCACCTAGCAATAAGCACTGTTGCTATCTATACTTTACAAAGTCAATATTCTTCTAACTTTCTCCAGAAGGATTTACTAGTTCCAGGAGAGAGAAATACATGACATTCAGAATCATGAAATGACCTATTACCCTTACTGATGAAAACCTCAAATAGACAAACCCAGAGAGCTTGTATGACCTGATCCTAAACTGGAGAAGACTCAAACTAGACAGAAATGCCTTTGTGTTTCTAGTGAGCAGAGAGCTCTAGCTCAGATTTCCACAAGGATTTTGCAATGAGTAGGTGCTTCGCCAAGGGCTAGATTTCTAAGAGCAAGCTGTTAACAACCCATAGAGATAAGCAGAGAGAGGCTTGGGCACTTTCAAGCACCAGAGGCAAGATACTTAAACACTAAACATCACCCTGATAACCAATTACCTCTTTATCTGTATCTTTTGTGAAAGTACTGGAGGAGAGAGGGCAGAAACCAGCCTGTTCTTTCCTTGGCTTCTTTAACAAGATCAGAACTATGTCAGAATTGTTATCAGTCCCCATCAAACACCTGAGGTGCTGAAACACATGGAAATCTCTCAGTCACAAACTCCTTCCTTGCCTTCCAACCCTCCCCTCCCCCTTGCTTTCCTAACCCCCTCAAAGCAAAATAAGCCTGAGGGATAGGACTAAACTTATCTGGGCACGTGGACAATGGTTACACAGGACACTGGGGAAAGAAGATAAGAAGACAAGGTCCCTAAATCATATGGATCTAAAAAGGGGGACAAAGAAGTGACAGGCAGGCAGGAATCAGAAACAGGATAAACAGGGAACCAAGCCTTTAATCCTAGCAACTCAGAAAAGAGATCTGGAGGACTGTGAGCTGAAGCCAGCCCAGGCCAAAAAAAAAAAAAAAGAGCTTAAGACATCATCTCTGAAAATAACCAGCAAAAGCTTGGACTGGAGACATGGCTCAAGTGGTAGGAGGCCAGCTGTGCGCAAAAAAGCCAAGGGAGCTTGAGACCCTGGTACCAAAAAAGACAGAAGAGAGCCAGGTACTAGCAACTCATGCCTGTAATCAATCCTAGCTACTCAGGAGGCTGAGATCTGAGGATCGTGATTTGAATCCAGCCAGGCAGAAAAGTCCCTGTGAGATTCAACTCCAAAACTCAAAAAGCATCAAAAACTGGGAGTGCCACTGTGGCTCAAATGATAGAGAGCTAGCTTTAAGCACCAAGAGGCTCAGAGACAGCCCCCAGGCCAAGTTCAAGCCCCACAACCCCCCCCCCCAAAAAAAAAGAAGGAGGGAGAGGGAAGAAGAGGGAGAGGAGGAAGGAGGCTTTTGCTCAGTAAGTCTTGAATTTCCAGGTGACAGAAGCAGGAAAGAAGTCCCTAGCCAAGGCCAACTAGACTAGACACTGCTCCAGCAAGAGAAAAGGACTGTCTTGTGGGTCAGCCCTGCCGTGGTTAGCTAGTAAAGGGTTAGGCTGTCTCACACTACTTCCGGTTCCTTCCTTTCCTTTCATACAACTCTAGTCTTTGTCTCTCATTATTTTATTAAAGTGACTCATGAATCTGCCGACCATATTTTCATTATATATGCATGTGTCAGCCTCCTGCACTGGACTGTATATATATATATTTTTTTTTTAAGCCACATATGAATTCCTTCTGAGGTCCTTGTACACGACGCATATATTATGCTCATTTTATTTAAGACCAGGAGAGGGCAGGGAAGGAGGAGAGATGGGAAAATTGGGGTGAGAGGCAGCAGAGACAAACCCACATGCTTAACTTGGGATTTTCCCTGGAGCCATACCAGAGCTGAAGGCCAAAAGGATGTTTGAGTCAGGGTTGAGTCAGAAGCTTAGAAAACAGAGTGGAGGAAAAGACGATATAAGAACTGGTAGGAGCGAAAAAAACAGGGTTTGGAATCTGAAATTTATACTATGATTAAAGAAAATACAGAGAGAGAGGAGAGAGGAGAGAGGAGAGACAGAGACAGAGACAGAGACAGAGACAGACAGATAGACAGACAGAGAGGGAGAGAGAAATAATAGCCTAATCCTAGCTACTTCTAGCTACTTAGGAAACTGGTATCTGAGCCTCACGGTTCAAAGGCAACCTGGACAGGTAAGTCCATGAGACTCTCATCTCCAATTAACCAGTAAAAAGCTAGAAGTAGAACTGTGACTCAAGTGACAGAGCACCAACCTTGAGTGAAAAAAGATAATGGACAGCATCCGGGCCTTGAGTTCAAGCCCCCAAAACAAAAACAAACAAACAAAACCTGTAGAAGAAAATTGAGGGCAAAAAAAACTTGAAAGAGATAAAATTAAGATGCAACCACACATCCGAAGATGTGTGCCCATTCAAATGAACTACCGTATTGGAAACGACAGGGCAAAACAAAGTCAGGCTAAATTCTGTAATGATCAAAATCTGAGAAAATAACACTCGCACAGATTGGCATTACATAATAGCTTGCTAGGGAAATAGAAGCCATCTGTAACCTGCACAATACAATTTGATGAGCTTCGCTGGCTGGGATGAGGTCACTGTGACAACGTCTAATGGAAGTGCACAGGAAAGGCAGGTTTGCAGGATCTTGCTTGGACCAGAGAAGGTATTAAGTTGTACCAGCTTACCCAGCACTGTCCTGGCACTGGATGGGTTGGGCTGTAACCCTCCCACTCTTCTTTTTATATGTGTCCTATCTATCACAAGGACAACCCTGAAGAGGTCCAGGATGAAAGCAGGTGACTCACTACAAGTTCTGCTCACTTGCATTTTTTCAGTCAGGAAGCCCTGAGGCGTGCCCCAAATGCAGTAGTACCTGATAGGCCAGGCACTTGGGAATAAAGCTAAAGCAGGTAGCACAAAATGAGAGCCAGTGGCTTACATCTGTAATCTTAATGACACTAGAGGCTGAGATCTGAGGACAGAGGTTCAAAGCCAGCAAACGTGTCTGTAAGGTTCTTAGCTTCAATTAACCACCAAAAAGGTGGTAGTGGGGCTGTGGTTGAAGTGGGAGATCACTAGCTTTGAGTGAAAAAGCTAAGTGACAGTACCTAGGCTCTGAATTCATGTTCTAGTACTTGCGCGCACACACACACACACACACACACACACACACACACACACACACACGCGCGAAAGGAAGGAAGGAAGAAAGAAAGGGAGGGAGGGAGAGAAAAGGAAGGGAAGGAGGGAGGGAGGGAGGGAAACAAAAGAAAGAGAAAGATCTTGGAAATTGATGTTGTATCAATTAAGGTTGCAAAACGTTAATTTTATTTCTCTAGAGTTTTAATGTAAGATGACAGAGTTCTGAAATGAGTATTTTTAGACACTGAAGTTCTTTAAGATTCCTGTAAAGGTTATTTTGGGAAGTAGGTCTCACTTTATAAGAACAGCTTTAATGTGCACACCATGCAAAATTACTATTTCCACCTACAGTTAGCTAGTGATATTTGTAGATATATTATAAAATTCTAATTAAGAAAAATAATCAAAGGTAGAACAGAATCAGCAACCAAGAAAGGAATCCTACTGACCACTGTCACCACAAGGATTTGTGAGATTAATTTTTTTCCCTTTACTTCATTCTTTTTTATTTTTGATGGTCCCAGGGCTTGAACTCAGGGCCTGCATGCTGTCCCTGAACCTCTTTGTGTTCAAGGCTAATGCTCTACCACTTGAGCCACACCACTACTTCTGGCTTTTCTTAGGTAGTTTATTGGAGATAAGAGTCTCACAGACTTTCTTGCCAGTGATGGCTTTGAACTTTAATCCTCAGATCTCAGCCTCCTGAGTAGCTTGGATTACAGGAAGGAGCCAAAGGCGCCTGGCTTTTAACTCTTTTTTTTTTTGGGGGGGGGTCAGTCGTGGGGCTATAACTCTGGGCCTGGGCACTGTCCCTCAGCTCTTCAGCTCAAGGCAGGCACTGAGCACTTTATAGCACCACTTCCAGTTTTCTAGTGGTTTATTGGAGATAACAGTCTCATAGACTTTCCTGCCTGGGCTGGCTTTGAACCGTGATCCTCAGATCTCAGCCTCCTGAGCAGCTAGGGTTACAGGCGTGAGCCACTGGTGCTCGGCTTGGCTTTTAACTCTTGAAATTTGTTTTATAATTGTTACTACAGTTGTCCCTTGTTCAACAAAAATCTGAAAGATTATTAAATAATTGCCCTAAAGTCAGTCAGCTAATCACTGACGGGATCAAGATTCAAATCAAGGAAGACCTCTGATTCCCAAATGTTTAGGATGGCCAGGTGTGGTGGTACAGGCCTGTAATTCCAGCAGTGAGGAGACTGAGGAGACTGAGGGTAGGAGGAGGTTAGAGTTGGAGGCAAGAATTTCTCGTTAGCCCAGATCTTTCCAATGAGCTTCTGTCCCCCAAACCTGAATAACCATCTGCACTCTTTATCTGTCCCATAGGAATCTTAAGTATAACAAGTCC